TTGTCTGGCCCAGACTCGATTATTTACAGACCGCCGTCATATAGCTGGAATATTGCTGAATGCGGTGTTAAACAACCAACCAACCAACCAACTTGGTCGCGATGTTAAACCCCATTTCACCTCACCTTATTGGTGATAGGTTTCACCTCCAATACCATGAACACGATGTGGAAAGTAAACAACAGCTGTGTTTACGCAAGAAACTAATGAGTCCTCTTGCTTGTTTAAGTTAGACATACATAATTTCTTTTGACATGTTTTCGACACTATGTGAACGATAACTTCCAGACGAGATTTGTGAAAGTATAGTTACATGGCGTTACCGACGGGCCTGTTTATTTTCCCTAATGAGGCAAACGTAAATAGGCACGGGCAGGTACAGTACTTTTCCCATGCGTTCGTGTTCATACATAGAGTGTGGGAGTTTGGTGTGACAGTATTTTCCTAACATCACGGAATGTCCGCTTAATGAGTAATGGCCTAAGTGATGCAGGTCTTAGACGTTTACCACTTTGGTTAAACCGACGAAACCGGGTATTGTGATGACAAATCAAGAAACATCTTCGGGGCGACCCGGGATTCTAACTCTCTATCTGAGGTTTCTGGCGTGCCCATGGGACGCAATTCTGCACAGCGAATTGTACCCAACAACCCACCCTGTAGCGCATATTTTAAATTAAGTGTTTTCACATTCTGGCGCCTACTCAAAAAGATAGAGAAACGCTTCGAAAACGCATTGTTCAGTAAACTATCTCATAACTCTCTCTCTCTCTCTCTCTCTCTCTCTCTCTCTCTCTCTCTCTCACACACACACACACACACACACACACACACACACACACACAATACATACGCGCGGACAACATGTCATCAGTCAATACGATATAAAGAGCAAACGCCCTGTGACAAAGTTGCATTAGCCCGTGCAGTAAATATTTGACTATATGCTGTTTGGAAGAATACACTGCAGAAAAATGGCTACTCATTCCTGATTTCCATGCTTGGCTTCAGTGGGCGGAAGAAAAGGAAAATATAAAATTAAAAACAACAACTTTGGTACCATCTCAAGTGTTAATAAATGTTGAATGTTTTCTTAAACTAGCATTGCTCTTAAACTCGCGGCATAAACTGCAAATTAGAATTAAATAAATATCTGTATGATATTGGAATTAAAACATAACCCCGTGTTTTGTAGCAGTGATACTCGTACATTCGTCTTTGTTCACAGAGACAATTTATTTCGCTCAGATCTACCAACTGTCATATTTCGTGCGTCACATGGCTATTGGCAACACTTGATTGATTGACAGTTCGCTGGACGCAATAACCGGATTATCGACACCCGATCCCGGGTGAAAGTAACGGAGTGGAAACATTGCGGACCAACGCTTGGCTAAAATCCAATTGGCTTTTCCGTCGCAGTAAATATACATCAACACAAGGAATGGTTTACACTGACCATGCGAACATATTTGACACGTTATTTTCGTTGTAATAAAGACATGAGTACACAATATGTACTCATGTTTTGATGTAATTAGGGTAAAATCATTTATGGGACATTTGTTTGTATAAAATGGACTGTTGACGCTAAATCGATGAAACCCTTTAAGCTGTTGTTTACCATCAAACTGTATCTTCAGGTGTCCAAGCAATGACAACCATGTCACGATGTCAGGTAAATATGTGCTTATGTGGGTCTAACGATGTATGTTTCTTGTAGGCTATCGATTTTTCCCTTTCTCTAATAATCGGACCGCCTCCGTGGTCTAGTGGTAGAGCGTCCGCCCGGAGAGCGGAAGGTCCGGGGCTCGATCCCTAGCCGCGTCATACCAAAAGACGTTAAAAGATGGTACTTGTTGTTACCCTGTCTGGCGCTCGGCATTAAGGGGCTAAAACAAGGACTGGTCGCCTCGGAGTCAGTATACTGTGTCTGAGTGGGGTATTAATGTTAAACTGCGGCATGGTATCTCAGTGTGCTAGCACTATAAATCGGCATCAGTCCGGACTAGTACAAGCAGCCACACACACACATATACACGTGCATGCACGTCGCTATATAAGTGCAATAATCTCGGACGCGACGTTAAACCCCATTTCACCTCACCTCTCTAATAATCGTAACAATATCAGGTAAATATGTAGATATGTGGCGATGTAGTTTGTTTTATGTCCATGCTTTAGAAATATAGCAAGGAAAAGACACAAAAAGTGTTGTTTCGGTGTTAGCTATGCGTTACAGGAACTTTATTAATTCGCTGAAGGCATCTTCGCCCTGGGTATAACCTAATTTATATGAATATAACTCAATAGTTGTCGTTTTTTAATTACTTCTTTACAACTTGTGCCACCTTACCTTGTAATATAATAAACAGGAATCGGCCATGGTTTTCAAGATTTGAAATAATTACGCATTAAATCAGCTTACAAAATATGAGGATTTAGGCCTTATGCCGCATGGTGATCACCAGTGTTCATATATTGCAATTAAGGATATAAGTAATTATCATTATGACAAATCCCGCCAGCACAGCGCTTAACTGAAGACAAAAGCTAAAATCGTTTTGTTGCATGTTGGTTGGTTTGTTGTTTTACGCCGCACTCAGCAATATTCCAGATATAAGACGGGGTCTGTAAAAAAATCGAGTCTGGACCAGACAATCCAGTGATTGATACCATGAGCATCGATCCACGCAATTGGGATCGATTACATGCTTCAACCAAGTCAGCGAGCCTGACCACCCAACCCCGTTAGTCGCCTCTTACGACCAGCATAGTCGCCTTTTATGGCTAACATGGGTTGCTTGAAGACCTATTCTACCCCGGATCTTTGTTGCATTTATTCACACGACTTTTATATTATATATTCTTATTTTGTTTGATAATGTATATTCCGACCCAAATTATTTGATCGTGGCCATATATCTATCCCTTCCATTTACTAACCCCGGGGTGCATGGCAAATAAAACATGTTCTGGGTTTTATTAATGTCGCTATATGCCAGAGAGGAAGACAAATACTGACCCTATTCAGCTGCCGAAATGATAAATTACCTGGCTGTTTAAACCTAAATCTGTAGCACCATTCGCTGTTTGACATTCTTCTGTTCTGTGATAGATTCTCTCCCAGCTCTGTTGGTGGTAGATTGACATAGCAAAATTCCTTCTTTGATTTTCGTTCCTTTTTATTTTCAATACGATTTATTAATCAACTTACAATGGATATGTTTCAACACACTGAGATTTATGGCGGAATGAGGTAAATGGTTATTCGCCTTCACTCGCTGTTTGTGAGTTCTTTGGCCTCTGAGACTCGTGAAGATCCGGGGTAGAATAGATCTTTACCAACCCATGCTTGTCGTAAGAGACGAATAACGGGATCGTGTGTTCAACTCGCTGACTTGGTTGATACGTTTCATCGTATCCCTATTGCGTGGATTGATGCTCATGAGATCGATCACTGGATTGTCTGGTCCAGACTCGATTAGATATACACCGCCGTCATATAGCTGGAATATTGCCGAGTACGGCGTTAAACAAACAAACAAACAAACAATCATTGACTTCTGAATCGACGGACATTGCTTCGACCTTAGTCTGACGTCTACATAATAGTGGTAACCTTATAACATGTTCAAGTGAGTGAGTGAATTAGGGTTAACAGTATTGTACAGTTATATCCGTGGGGTGGGGTGGGGGAGAGATCACAATGACTGCAGACTTTAACCACTTTGGTGAAACCCCTTGACACGAGTCTGAAGCTGGCAGACCAAAGACGATAATCGTCAACTAAGGGACACAACTCTGCAAAAATAAGACATCAATGCTTTTATCAACACATACATTCAGGGACGGGACTAATGTTTCGGATTTTTAAGGGAATGGTTCACTTTTAGGTCATATTCCCAAACATTTCCCACAATCTCTCTCTCTCTCTCTCTCTCTCTCTCTCTCTCTCTCTCTCTCTCTCTCTTTCTCGGGGCGGTCGGGTAGCCTAGTGGTTAAAGCGTTCGCTCTTCACGCCGAAGACCCGGGTTCGATTCCCGACATGGGTACAATGTGTGAAGCCCATTTCTGGTGTCCCCCGCCGTGATATTGCTGGAATATTGCTAAAAGCGGCGTAAAACCAAACTCACTCACTCACTCACTCTCTCTTTCTCCTTCAGTGTATCTCACTGTACATCTGTGTGTGTGTCTCTCTTTCTCCATCTTTCGCTCTCTGCCCCTCTCTCTCTGTGTGTTTGTCTCTCTCTCTATGGCTCTCTCTTTCTGTGTATCTCACTGTACATCTGTGTGTGTCCCTCTCTCTCTTTCGCTTTCTGCCCCCTCTCTCTCCCTTTCTCTCTCTCTTTCTCCTTCAGTGTATCTCACTGTACATCTGTGTGTGTGTCTCTCTTTCTCCATCTTTCGCTCTCTGCCCCTCTCTCTCTGTGTGTTTGTCTCTCTCTCTATGGCTCTCTCTTTCTGTGTATCTCACTGTACATCTGTGTGTGCGTGTCTTTCTCTCTCTCTTTCGCTTTCTGCCCTCTCTCTCTCTTTGTCTCTCTCTCTCTCTCTCTCTTTGCGGTTCTCTCTTTCAGTGTATCTCTCTGTGAGTCTCTCTCTCTCCCTCTTTCGCTCTCTGTCTCTCTCTTTCTTTCTCTCTCTCTCTATCTCTCTCTCGTAATACATATATCCCAAGATTGGCTGCAAATTTATATACGAGCTCGCAAAATGGGCTGACAAAATATATACACGGATACATAAATCTTTCTTTTTTAACAGTTGAAACGAAATTTGCCACATGCAGGCAAAATTCAATATACACAACCATAAGTACCCAGCACAGATAACAAATGTGTTCTGTTCTGAGACACACTGTCACCACAAGTTCCTAATCCTGCTCCTATCCAACTCCCAGCTACCAGTCAAAGCTCTAAAACTTTTCCCAACCAACAGCCAAGCTATCGATCTCCAAAACGCAACCTTTTTATAACCGTTCGTGCGTAGGATCACCCCCTGTAATCCTAGCTTATCAGAGAGTACACCGAACTTCTCGATATCGCCTTAGATTGTTGATTGTAACAGTCAGCTAGTCGGGTATTGAGCGTCCGATTGTCCAGCTACGTGGACGCCGAGCTATGTCCATCTGTACCTGGATCAGAGTCGCAATATTGTACACAGCTGGAGAATCTGATAGGACAGAGAACTGTTGGGGCTTGAGTTGCCTTGTGTTTTACTCATAGCGTTATCCCGGAGCTGATAGTTACCGGTGTGTTCAGGTAAGTCGAGGGCGAGGCGGTTATGTCGGTTGCTGTTCGAGCGAGTGCATGAATTGGGGTGTTAGAATATGTGTTAATTAATTTGTCGTACGGCTAAATGGAACGTTTATTTAACAAGTCGTATTTGACGAGTGTGTTGGTCGTATTTCAGCAATGTGCCAATACTGTTTCAGCAATAGTTCAGTACTTCAACAGTGTTGATACATTTCAGAAGAATATCGACCTTCCGTTTTGTATTTCAGCAGTATATTAACTGTACGTTTTGTATTTCAGCATTGTGTCAGTTGTATCTCAGTTGTGTGTCAGTCATAGTTCAAAGTGTTGATATTTCAACAGCATTTCAACAGCACGTCATCTGTTTTTCAACTCTATGGCAGTGATGTGTAGATGTGTGTGTACCAGGTAAAAGAGTCAGTACTAATTATGCATTTTTTTCAACGGAAAGACAGTTGCACTTAACAATGTGTCAGTCTTACTTAATTGTTTGTCAGTATTAGTTCAACAGTGGTACGGTTTCAGCAATAATTCAACAGAAAGACAGTTGTACGTGAACAGTGTGTCAGTAGTACTTTAATTGTTTGTCAGTCTTAGTTCAACAGTAGTACGATTTCAGCAATATTTCAATAGAAAGACTCCAGTATGTTGACAGTGTGTCAGTCGTTCTTCAATTGTTTGTCAGTCATAGTTCAACAGTGTAAACAATGCACCTAATCAGTATAAGTCAGTCTTATTTCAAAGGTTTTATTCAGAAGCCTAAATGTTCCCTAACATGCCGATATGTAATGTATAAATCAATTAGGACACAAATTTATATTCATGAAAACAGATACTCAAGCTGTATGATATATGGTGTTTTAACCAGCAAGTACACCCTTGCGGTAACACCCTATTTCATCACGTCACGTAACACATCACTGACCTAATATACTTTGACATACATATTTTAAGAGCATAATAACATGCGTAATAACTAATAACACCGAGGTATTAACTACCTGACTCACGACACTCACATACGGCCTCAACAAAAGCCCTGGTTAATCGCCCGTGTTTCGTCATTAGTGCGTGGCATAGTTTTTAACTGAGAGGCTTAAGTAAATAGTGGTTGATTTACTTCTGGTTAATCCCTGTTGAGTAGGAGTTTGTAAGACCGTAACTTTCATATGTACAGTGGGAGACAATAGGCTCCCAAATACATCTACGATTTTAATTACCACGAAGATAAACATTCTGAGAGTGATTGGATATGGTTTTACGCCGCTTTCAGCAATAGTCCAGTAATATTACGCGGGGGACATCGGGAATGGGCTTCACATATTGTACCCATATTGGGAATCGAACCAGGGCTTTCGGCGTGACGAGCGAACACTTTAACCACTAGGCTACCCCACTGCCCCCTATACATTCAGACATACGAAAAACTTAGCCTCTATTCAGTGCTTTTGTCAATTGGTTCGAATTCTCCCCCGAATGTATAGTAATTAGACCGGGTCGAAGGAGCCGTAAAATAAGTATTTTTGTAAACTTGTTACCAAACGATTTAGTGTTATTTAAATGTTATTTTATATGTCAATGTTATTAGTATGCCTGAGGCACCTCTTCTCATATGTGTGTTATTATATGTTAATATTTAGTGTCATAATCACTAATTTTGTTTACTGCCCCACAGTATGCTTAAAGTTAAGACCGCCTCCGTGGTCTAGTGGTAGAGCTTTTCGCCCGGAGAGCGGAAGGTCCGGGGTTCGATCCCCGGCCGCGTCATACCAAAAGACGTTAAAATATGGTACTTGTTGTTACCCTGTCTGGCGTTCAGCATTAAGGGGCTAAAACAAGCACTGGTCGGCTCGGAGTCTGTATACTGTGTCTGAGTGGGGTATTCATGTTAAACTGCGGCATGGTATCTCAGTGAGCTAGCACTATAAATCGGCATCAGTCCGGACTAGTACAAGCAGTCACACAAACACACACACGTACATGCACGTCGCTATATAAGTGCAATAATCTTGGACGCGACGTTAAACCCAATTTCACCTCACCTCACCTTAAAGTGAAGAGGATGGACGTCCCCAAGATAACCCTTGTGGTAAAAGGTTCACTGTTTGATATTTTGTTTGCCTGTGTGGACTTTGTTCTCAAATAATTCTGTGATACCCGTATCAAATACATCACCATCGAGTAACCATTGTTTGCCATGGGTGTATACTTTCCTTTACCAGGCAGTTTATTTCACGGTCCACGTTCGACAGCTTTGTATGAATGTATAGTTTGGTCTCGGTATTGGTATTGTGGAAGCCAGCCACTCACTCGACCAGATACAGCAACAACAACATCAACAAACTTACCCAAACCTATTTCAAGTATAGTATTATGTGCCTGTGTGTAGATTACAATGGTTGCCAACATTAGCAGTACACTAAGGACTGAATAAACTTCATAACAATACACTTGTTTACATAAACACACTTGAACTGAAGGGTCAAATTTACATATCAGGGATTCCTGTCTGTAAGGGACCGGTCATTTATTTACAGGGGAGGGTTTTGATACACTAATGTACTAAATTATAATGACCCCCCTCCTCCCCAAATGCATGTCACATTTTGGGATGACCCATTACCTTGTACATTCGATCCTGCCCCCAAATATGTGTATTAGGTTTTGTGACCCTTATTACCCCTGACTCACACCCCTATAATAAATGACCGGTCCCTGAAGTGAGAGTAAGTTTGTGGAAATGAATCCTCTTGACTCTCCGACCTTTAAGATGTTTCCCATGACGCACCAGACCTAACACAGAGGATCATAAAACCTCCATTTACACAAACTAAAGCACAGTTACCTCTATGTCTCTGAAAAGCCAGTCGTATTCAAAAATATTAATTCACATAACAAAATAAATTCAATTGAAACTTATCCCGCGGTGGTAAAGGAAATAATGAATAACTTTACACAAATGCGTTTCAAATCAATGCGGGTTTCAACACAATATTGGATTTAAATTCAAGTTTGACAAAGAAGGCATTGGTATGTACAGAAAAGATTAAATACGATTTCGTAACCTAAGTACACCCATATCGATAAACATATTTGCCAAAGGCTTCTCTCATTGTACTCGGAATAATTTGTTCTCCTTTGCATGTCTCACAACGCAAACCGGAGATACAAGGCTAACCTTCCCATAATGAGTGAAGGCCATTCAAAGGAATTGACACATGAAAAGAAGTCGAAGACGGTTGGGCTTAGTGGTGTATGCTTCCCTTATGGGGAGAATTTATTGCCTTGTGTGAAAAGACCGATTGTCGATGATAGGTAGGACTCTAAATACAGCCTGCTTAAGCTGGGAATAACTACCCATATCGGCATGTGTAAATAGCACTGGGGTAACGCTGGGTGCTATACTCTGTCCGGTGCTTTTATGCTACAAAATATTACTTGATGTATGTTAGTTGTCTAGTGGTGGTGATTTATGAAGGTACATGGGAACATTAAAAAACACCAGAGCATGGACTGTATCGTGCATCAAGTGAGGTAAGTGTTGCGTTATTGTAACAGTTTTGTTTTTATCTTACAAAGAATATATTTGCCGCTAAATGATAGCTTTCATGTAGCTATTAATGACAGAGCATGGATACTTATTGTATGAGAATGTGTACAGCGTATTACTTTTATCCATACGTATGGTATAACAGTTTAATAATGCCGTGATCATAATGCAAGGAGGCGATGGTGTGGCCTTGTGGTTAAATCGTTTGCTCGCCACCAAGTATAACCCCCCTACATCGATACAATGTGTGAAGGCTATTCTTGGTGATATTGCTGGAATATTACTTACGGTGTGAATACATACTTATTCACTTAATTAGAATACCGACAGAGGTTGTTAAAAAGGGTTCCTTACTAGCAGCTACAATATATATGGTTACATCCAGTGAGTACTATATAAAAAGTATAAAAGGCATATATAGTACTAACACTGGGTGTTACCATATATCTTGTAGCTGCTATGTGTTTGCGTAACAAGCCTCTGTGGTCTATAATACCACCGGGGGCACGGGTGGCCCAGTCGTCCAAGGCGCCGCGATTCGCTGTGCAGAATTGCGTCCCTTGGGCACACCAGAAACCTATGATTATGGGTTCGAATCCCGATTCGCCACGATTATGTTTCTAGGTTTGTCAGCACCAAACCCGTGCTCGTGGGTTTCACTGAAGTGGTAAACGTCTGAGACCTGCATCACTTCGGGCTTTCCTCCCACATTCAGCTGACACGCCGTGATATAACTGGAATACTGTTTAAGGCGCCGTTAAACCAAACTCACTCATTCTCTCTCACCATTGTTGAAACCATTTTTGAACTTATTTGAAATTAGATTGGGAACGAATTGTAACCCAGTGGGTTCTGTTTATTTCATTTTACATTCGTATAAAAAAACCTAGTCAAAATAACATCTAAAGATCTAAATGGCCCAAAAGAGCAGATTTGGAAAAAAAAGGTTGAATCCAACTTCGTGTTTAATAATAAAATGAAACTTCTTGAAAGATTAATAGTCCGACTGAAATATTACTAGCTACAAGACAAGGCCAGGGATGCTTTCTGACTTTGTAAACAAAGTATCCGAAACAGTGTTTGTTTGCTAGTTTACTCGGTTGTCAGCATTATTCCATCTATAGCACGGCTGTATACGTAAGTTTGTTTGTTTGTTTGTTGTTTAACGCCGCACTTAGCAATATTCCAGCTATATGACGGCGGTCTGTAAATAATCAAGTCTGGACCACACAATCCAGTGATTGATATAATGAGTATCGTTTCACGCAATTGGGATCGATGACATGCATGTATACGTAAGTAATCAAGTATGTACCAGGCATACAGTTGTTGTTATCACGATCAACGTCCCACCCCGTCGATGATGATGATGATGACGATGACACACAATCAACCAATTCAGCGAGCCTGACCACCCAAACCATTTAGTTGCCCCGTACACGCATTTGTTGCTGGGGAACAATTCTACCCAGGCGCTAACAGGGTTGATATATTTACCTAGCCTAGTGGACAATGCACACTGCAATACGGGTTCGGTTCCAATATTGGTACAAGATTCCCAGTGGGTGTCCCCTCCCCGATTCTTCTACGCGAGGACTAAAACCAGACCCCGTGAAGATCCGGGTTAGAATTGTTCTCTTCAGCAACCCATGCTTGTCGTAAGAGGCGACTAACGGGATCGGGTGGTCACGCTCATTGACATGGTTGATGCATGTCATCGTATCCCAATTGCGACGATCGATGATCTTGTCAATCCCTGGATATTCTGGTCCAGACTCAGTTATTTACAGGCCATTATTTAGCTGGAGCATTGTTGAGAGCTAACAAACAAACAACAAACAAACAAACAAACAAACTGAAACCAGAAAGTCTACACTAAATCACTGAATTTATTCCACATCCACTCCACGTCAGGTTTAGGCCATACCATTGCGGGAGACACACAACCAATGAGAGGCAGCAAGTACCAGTTACAATAAGCCCTCAAGGTTTTCCATTAAATGCTATGTTTACCTGTGATTGATATTTCCTACCCCGAGAAACACTACAAGTGGAGTGGTCGATATGACGCCACAGTAGTGGCGACTGAAGGCGAGGTGTGTCGCCCTTTCATTGCCAGGGAAAACAAAACTAGAGTTAACGGTAGCCACAGAGGCGTTGTGGTGCTGAAAGTGTCCAAGCATGGAGTGTGTGTACATTGGAAAATGGTTAGTATATCACGTTACGGTGTATTTTGTTAACGTATTGTAAAACAAACGCAGGTATAGAGGTGAAGGAGAACCTCAACCCTCCCTAGAGTAATCCTGTATCGTATGTATGAGCTGAATTATAAACTGAATTATATGTTACTCCGATCGTCACGAGTGAAACATGTCTACTGCCTGGGCAGGCTTATTTTGTCCATATATTGTTGAAATAATTCACGACCGGTATGTATGGATTAGATTAAAGAGTGGGGTATATTTATCTTAATCACTAAACGTGATGTTATCGTGTGGGTGTGATGGGTGTATTTGTGTGTGTGTGGTAAGTTTTTGTGTGTGTCTGTGTGTGAGTGGTGTGTGTGTGTGTGTGTGTGTGTGTGTGTTAGTGTGTGTGTTAGTGTGTGTGTTAGTGTGTGTGTGTTTTTGTGTGGTGAGTGAGTGTGAGTGTGTGTGTGTGTGTGCGAAATGGATATGCTTGCATGTGTCTTTCTGGTCCACCATTTGCAATAATGTTTTCTAATGATGTGTGTTTTATGAAAGACGCGTTAAAGCTCTAAAGCAAACACGAAAGGTCCGTTACAAGAATGTTAGATGTCATCGACGGAGGGTCTATATTTTAGGCGTCTAAAAGCACATATTTTTTTCAAGAAACAAGACATGATGATGAATAACATCAATGATGTTGTCACACCAACCACTGAGGACAAAACAGATCCGAGTGCCATATGTTTGTAGTCAACCCTACTAAATGTGGATCGGGTGGCGACTGAGTGAACAGGGTGGCAGGGTAGCCCAGTTGTGTTGGGCTGTCTCGTCATCCCACACCAAGGTTCGATTCCATCATGGGTATAAGGTCCATTATTTTTATTTCCGTTGTGATAAAGCTGGAATATTGCTGAATATGACATAAAAACAAGCGTTGTTTCATCAACAGTATCTTGTGGATATATCAATCTCTACCGGAGGCAAGGTGGTATTTACAAACAGGGTATCTGAGGGTCAAAGTAATATGGTAAGCTGTTTGTCTTTCTGTGACATGGTTTTGGCCATTAGATTTTGTAAAATCTTCGTAAAGGGTTCGTCTGAAGCTAGACAACAGAGCAAACCAGTTACACCAGCAGCCGAAGCTCTTGTTAAGATAGGCCAACGTTGACCGTGTAGTTGCGAGCGAATTGTGAATTAACCCTACAGTGCATTTTATAACTATTGTCAGGTGGAAGGAAAATTATTGCCTTTTTACTGGCAATGTCACCCGGTCGATACCAAGCCATAGAACCTGGCGTTGGTATGTGGTGTTATGTTCTTAAGGGGAAAGGCAGTGGGTTTATTATGTGTCAGACTGTGGCTAGCATGACTCTCGTTAACCTAGGTCTTCGTGACATTAGGAACGGAACTGAGTCCTAGATCGTTATTCTCAGTTTTAACAGTTCTACGGGTACCATGTCCTATTAGAATTACTAGTCGTTGTGTGGTATGTAGTACTATGTACTCTCAAACAGTGAACGCCTTTGGAGTTGAATGGTATGGCGTCCACTGTAATATAATTCCAGTTATTGCGAATTATTGAGGCTGACGCCGATATTATGATTTTCGTAGTATTTTCGATAAAGACTGCATTATTGGTTTCTTGATCGAGACAAATACTTGGATTCATGCTTGTGGGAAGTGTGAAAGATATTAAGAGAGCAATTTTAGGTAAATTGACAAACATGTTATAATATTAACTTCTTTGAGAGGCATTTAGAAGTTGGAGTACTAAGTAAGGATAAGAATTTATGGATGAACAACTTCTTTATCACAATTAAGAGCGACGTTTCGGTGTAGGTTCTAACACGTTATCAAGCGATAAGATACATCTAATTGTAATAAAGAAGTTGTTGATCTATATATCTTATCCTTACTATGTTCAAAGTATTGCGGTAAACCATTTGCTAGTCGTAAAGTGGAACTTTTCACGACCTAACTGTCAGTCCAAGCAAGTTGTATCAGCGTTCTTCAAAACCCTCTCTGTCTCTGTATACTGACAGTGTGTGATGTATACCAATCTAGCAGTTAATTGGAGAGACAGTGTGTTAGCTTCAAACAACGCTCTTATTACAATGTCTAGACTCTGATAGAAACTTGACTCAAGATAGTGGCGTGTGGTCTCTCTTTGATCTCAATTTTGCATATATTTTCTCCGTATTCAGATATAGCAGACACTACCAATTATACAGTTATTGTTTAATATGTTTCAGAATTGGCATATGATGGATGAAAACTGTCTCTAAATATTTCAAGATGGCGGACGAAAGAAGCTTGTTGTCGTCTGCTCCCAAACCACCCAAACAGGAAAATGATAGGCCCGCAGATCAAGAGCCGAGACAGGCTCGAAGTCCTAAGAAGAAGAAAGTCAGACGCCATCGAGCACCGAAAACAACTGGACTAGATCGTTTGGAGGAAGAGACAGACGAAGAAAAGGAGAAGAAATTAAGCTCTCGGGAAAAGACACAGGTATTTGAATTTTAAAGTATCATATGTGACGTTGACTATATGTGTCGATACAGGGCTAGCAATGTTTCATCAACTTCAGCCGTTGATGTCTACATTTCACCAATTTTGAGGTACAATCGAGCATGCTCTTCCTACGACGATTTAAAAGGGCAAGTCTTGCTCAAAGTTTGTTTGATTCAAGGCCTCACAAAACCTTACAGAAATGTCTATGGTAGACAGGTTGAGGGCATTTCCAAATTTGACGCATCAGTGACAAGAATGATATCCGATGCAATTCCCTATTTTGACTTGTACCATGTGTTCCCGTGCCTTTTTCAGGCGAACAATAGACTTTATGCAATTGTTACTGATGGGTGCCACCGGTGGGGCAGGGTACGCTCACTTTTCGCGAAAACCATAGATCATCCCTATTAGATAGTGATTCATAAGACCCGTGAAGATCCGGGGTAGAATAGGTCTTCAGCAACCCATGCTTGCCGATTATGCTTGTCGTAAGATGCGACTAAGGGGATCGGGTGGTCAGGCTTGCTGACTTGGTTGATGCATGTCATCGTACCCCAATTGCGTGGATGATGTCAATCACTGGATTGTCTGGTCCAGACTCGATTATTTACAGACCGCAGTCATATAGCTGGAATATTGCTGAGTGCGGCGATAAACAACAAACAAACAAAGTGATTCCTAAACACATGCTTATGATTAAGTACAGTGGACTCTGATATAGACTGATATACCTCATGTAAGTGAGTAATATGTAAGTTAGCATACAAACAAAATTTTGGTTGAAAGATTGGAACCAATTTGAATGATAATTTTCCATAGCCACCCCCTCATTTTTTGTCACATTAACCATTCAATAAATTTAAAGTTTTTTTAGTGTTTGAAATGTTGTCCAGGCTTTTTTGGTCATCATTTTGGTATAAACATAAACAATAAACAACGCGTATACTGTGAAGAGTTCAACATTATCAGAGTATACCTTCATTGGCATAACACAAATTCGCACAAATGGGACACAAAAGATTGGCTTCTCAAACTGACACAAGTTATAACAGAACAGGATATATTTCATACAGAGGGATTAACTAGGCGTCACCCTGTATAGGTATCGACATTGTGGCTTCCTGGCAGTGTCACTTGACCCTGACGCTCCGTGGGTCAGGAATATAGAAGTAAGTTGGTCAATGGAAGCGTAACACCAATGCACTCGGATTTCATCGGTTTGATCCGACGTGGTCATGCATCAGTCAGCCTAAGGACGTGCCGATTGCATTTGACTCGCTGGTCATGATATGAAACAATAAGGTGTTAAGGTTTTCGGTGGCTATTATTTCACTAAATGCTATATCATAGTCGTTGACAATATGTCGGCGAAAATCAAACACCAAACCTTAACTTCGTAAAAAATGTGTCGAACCTGTTTCTTTCATAAATGATATAAGACCTCATTTGTTTCTGCAGACTTTCTGTTGTGAGTATTTTAGCTTGTCTCATTTGAAATCTATTATGGGGCATCGTTTGGTTTGAAGTGAGTGAATATTGTTTTACGGCGCTTTGAGCAATATTTTAGCAATACCACGGCAGAGATGGGCTTCGAACGCTTTAATCACAAGGCTATCCCACCACGCCCTTTTGTTTAACAACTTCATACTTTACAAAACAGGATCGCTCTGTTTTAACACTTGATTTGACTTGCTCGAAACGTAGCATTCTCTCCCGAACTCTTATAGTAGTATGTTTTCAATTGTAAAATACATCAATCAGACTAAACTGGTCCACTTCTCAGGTCCTTCACTCGCCGGGGGGTGGCGTTCTCTGAGCTGCACCGTCATTCACGCTTTTCTTAAGCCCCCGACTAAACCCTCAACTTGCCAACTTTAATCTTCAACCTGCGAAACTGACGACTGTTAAGATTAGGAGTTGATTAAAGAACGCTTTGGCACATGCTGCTTTTGACAAAAAATCCCACACAGGGGCTAGCTAGGTCAGGGAAGTGAAAAAGTCACATTTGTTAAATGTGGTTTTGATCAAACACATTCTCAGTCTATAAGTGGTACGACTTTGTACTTTGCATGTGTTAATCAACTTTACCTTGAGCTAGGAGAAGACTAATACACCCTAGCACTCCTCCCTTCTCTATATCACTGTCATTCCTCCCTTCTCTCTATCACAATTATACCTCCATTCTCTCTATCACTATCAAGCCTCCCTCCTCTATCACAATCACACCTTCATTCTCTCTATCACACCTCCCTTCTCTCTATCACTCTCACTCCTCCCTTCTCTCTATCACTCTCACTCCTCCCTTCTCTCTATCACTCTCACGCCTCCCTTCTCTCTATCACTCTCACTCCTCCCTTCTCTCTATCACTCTCAAGCCTCCATTCTCTCTATCACTCTCACTCCTCCCTTCTCTCTATCACTCTCAAGCCTCCCTTCTCTCTATCACTCTCACTCCTCCCTTCTCTCTATCACTCTCAAGCCTCCCTTCTCTCTATCACTCTCACTCCTCCCTTCTCTCTATCACTCTTAAGCCTCCCTTCTCTCTATCACTCTCACTCCTCCCTTCTCTCTATCACTCTCACTCCTCCCTTCTCTCTATTACTCTCACTCTTCCCTTCTCTCTATCACTCTCACTCCTCCCTTCTCTCTATCACTCTCACTCCTCCCTTCTCTCTATCACTCTCACTCCTCCCTTCTCTCTATCACTCTCAAGCCTCCCTTCTCTCTATCACTCTCACTCCTCCCTTCTCTATCACTCTCAAGCCTCCCTTCTCTCTATCACTCTCACTCCTCCCTTCTCTCTATCACTCTCAAGCCTCCCTTCTCTCTATCACTCTCACTCCTCCCTTCTCTCTATCACTCTCAAGCCTCCCTTCTCTCTATCACTCTCACTCCTCCCTTCTCTCTATCACTCTCACTCCTCCCTTCTCTCTATCACTCTCACTCCTCCCTTCTCTCTATCACTCTCACTCCTCCCTTCTCTCTATCACTCTCAAGCCTCCCTTCTCTCTATCACTCTCACTCCTCCCTTCTCTCTATCTCTCTCACTCCTCCCTTCTCTCTATCACTCTCACTCCTCCCTTCTCTCTATCACTCTCAAGCCTCCCTTCTCTCTATCACTCTCACTCCTCCCTTCTCTCTATCACTCTCAAGCCTCCCTTCTCTCTATCACTCTCACTCCTCCCTTCTCACTATCACTCTCACTCCTCCCTTCTCTCTATCGCTCTCACTCCTCCCTTCTCTCTATCACTCTCACTCCTCCCTTCTCTCTATCACTCTCACTCCTCCCTTCTCTCTATCACTCTCACTCCTCCCTTCTCTCTATCACTCTCAAGCCTCCCTTCTCTCTATCACGATTGACATGCTTCATAAAATTCGAGCGAGCGGGTTTTCTGTAACATAATTCATTCTTGCAAGCAATGTCATTCAGCTGAGACAAATGATGAACTGTGTCTGGTTCTAAGCTATGGAACTCGTGGGGATTATGGGCAAGAATTTGTCCCCCGCTTGTCGTAAGAGGCGAGACGAAATGAGGTTTAACTTCTCGTCCAAGATTATTGACAGGGTAACAATACCATCTTTTAACGTCTTTTGGTATGGTGCGGCCAGATTCGAACCCCGGACCTTCTGCTCTCCGGGCGGAAGCTCAACTACTAGACCATGGAGGCGGTCCGGCGATTAAGTGGATCGAGTGGTCAGGCTCGGTAACTTGGTTGATTACGTGTCGTCGTACATCCCAGTTACGTGGAACGATGCTCACAGAGCCAATCACAGGGCCGACCGCCATTCTGTAGTGCGGCGTTACAAAACCTCACAATCTATGCTACCGAGCGAGTGAGTGAGGTTTAACGCCGTTTTGCAGTTCTCCGGTTATATCACAGCGTAACTATGGAGTGAGTGAGTGAGTTGGGTTTATCGCCGCTTTTAACAGCATTTCAGCTTAATGTGGGAGAAAAGCACAAAGGGATGTAGGTCTTAGACGTTTACCTGGCAGAGGCAAACCAAGAAACACAATCAGCTTGAATCTGGGACAGGTACCCGTGATCAGGATGCTGACACGCACCACAAAGCTCTGCAGGTGAGTGAGTTGGGTTTAACGCCGCTTTTAACAGTATTCCAGTTATATCGCGGCGTATCAGCTTAATGTGGGAGGAAAGCCCGAAGTGATGCAGGTCTCAGATGTTTACCACTTCGTTGAAACCCACGAGCACGGGAATGGTGCTGACAAACCTAGAAACATAATCGGGGCGAACCGGGATTCGAACCCACAATCATAGGTTTCTGGCGTGCCCAAGGGACGCAACTCTGCACAGCGAATCGCGGCGCCTTAGACGACTGGGCCACCCGTGCCCCACAAAGCTCTGCAAGTAGTAGCAGAAAGATTTGATAATTTACCTCCACATTTATGAGACAACATGTCGTTTATCTATCATCAGAATTCAATTGAAAGATAACAACTGTCTTTAGTTTGCACATAAATCAAGGTACTGACAGATACTTTAAAATAGAATGGATTTTATTGCTCGAAATGGCTTCACTGAAGAAGCCTCGAGTGTCACGTATGTTACACACGTTTGTTTATCAGAGAGAAATGCAAACATCCGAATAGAAAACGATGACACCTGGAACATTATTAAACACGGGTAGAGATAAGGGTCTGTCTGTTTACTGTCTTCGTAATTACATTCAGCGACAGGATGGATTTACTGTACTGTTAGGTTGCATGACTTATCAGTGAAATAGCTTTACACTGGCACCCTGCGGATTAACAGGTCTGATGTGTCTAAAATTTGATTGGAAACGGTGACAACTCGTTGTATCAAATCGATGAAAGGATTGCGAAATATCGCGGTAATTTAACATCCTGCTAGGTTTCCTTGACAAACATGTACAATAGATCCACATTCCTTGTACCGCCCCACATGGGTGCAATGTGTGAAGCCCATTTCTGGTGTCCCCCGCCGTGATAAAAGCGGCGGATAACCATACTCACTCACTCACTTACTCACTTGTACCGTATTGAGGTGAGGTGAAATGGGGTTTAACGTCGCGTCCAATATTATTGCACTCATATAGCGACGTGCATGTACGTGTGTGTGTGTGTTGGTGTAGCTGCTTGTACTAGTCCGGACTGATGCCGATTTATAGTGCTAGCTCACTGAGATATCATGCCGCAGTTTAACATGAATACCCCACTCAGACACAGTATACTGACTCCGAGCCGACCAGGTCTTGTTTTAGCCCCTTAACGCCGAGCGCCAGACAGGGTAACAACAAGTACAATCTTTAAACGTCTTTTGCTATGACGCGGCCGGGGATCGAACCCCGGACCTTCCGCTCTCCGGGCGGACGCTCTACCACTAGACCACGGAGGCGGTCGTACCGTGTTGAAATACTAGACGGGAACATTACAAATTTCATTCACGGCATATTCAAGCACGGTTGACAGCGGCTGGACATTTAGCTTAGATTTGTTTGTTTGTTTGAACTAATAGTCGACATACATCTCAAGTCCCTAGATGTGTAGGTAAACAGGACCATGTCTTGAAGTAAACGCGTGTCAGCTATGTGGTTGTGGTTGTTGTGGTAGCTGTGGTTGTTGTCGTTGTCGTTGAACAGGAGAAAAGTAAATTTTCTTTGCCGTCTAGAGCGCATGACCGAACCCACAAACTGAAAACAGATCCGTACAAATGAAAATAACTATATATAACTGGCTATTATATACATGTATTGTTATACGGAGTTATTTCCGCACAGAAATGTCCTGTTTGAATCATTGTCAACAGACTTCCCCACAAACCACGGTTGAACGAAGCACGTGTTGACGATGTATTAAGGTGACGGTTGTACCAAGCACGTGTCGACGATGTATTCAGGTTGTACTAAGCACGTGTCGACGATGTATTCAGGTTGAACGAAACACATGTTGACGATGTATTCAGGTTGAACTAAGCACGTGTTGACAATGTATTCAGGTTGAAATAAGCACATGTTGACGATGTATTCAGGTTGAACTAAGCACGTGTTGACAATGTATTCAGGTTGAACGAAGCACGTGTTGGCGATGTATTCAGGTTGAACGGAGCACGTGTTGACGATGTATTCAGGTTGTACTAAGCACGTGTTGACGATGTATTCAGGTTGAACGAAGCACGTGTTGACAATGTATTCAGGTGACGGTTGAACTAAACATGTGTTGACGATGTATTGAGGTTGAACTAGCCACGTGTTGGCGATGTATTCGCGTGTCGACGATGTATTCACGTGTTGACGATGTATTCACGTGCTGATGATGTATTCACGTGTTGACGATGTACTCATGTGTTGGCGATGTATTCACGTGTTGATAATATTTTCAGGTGAAGGTTGACGACGCGGAGGTGGAGTTCATCCCCAGCGTCAACTACATCGACGACAAAAAGATCCCCGGCGTCGAGGAACTAGAGAAGGACGAAGGCGAGGAGGAGGAGAAAGTGGAAGACTTTGAAGAAGAAGATCCATGCATGACAGCAGAGGAGAAACAGGTACTTTACTTACTTTACTTTACTTTACTGTACTTTAATAGTGCCGATGGGGGTAGGTAATAGCAACAGTCGGAGGGTAGTTTATTCCACATATGGGGACCCGTGAAGATTCCGGGGTAGAATAGATCTTCAGCAACCCATGCTTGCCGTAAAAGGCGACTAGCGGGGTCAGGTGGTCAGGCTCGCTGACTTGGTTGATGCATGTCATCGATCCCAATTGCGTGGATCGATGCTCATGATTTCAATCACTGGATTGTCTGGTCCAGACTCGATTATTTACAGACCGCCGTCATATAGCTGGAATATTGCTGAGAGCGGCGTTAAACAAACAAACAAACAGACAAACAAACGTTAGAGACAGGCAGAGTCCAACACACACACACACGATTGAGATACTAACGCAATAGAAAGACAATTAGGAACTAATGAGACAATATTTGATGTGACAAACACATATTGACAAATTGACATTTGTGACGGAAGGTCGAATTTCGTTGCTCTAAGTAGGTTAGTTTTGAGACCTTATCCACTGTATACGAAATATGATGATTATTATTATTGCTATAGTTGTATCAAAGACTTTAACGGATCTAGTGTTTGTTCCCTAGTTGTCAAACCCGGCATTAAGGGTGTAAAACAAGGACTGGTCGACTTGGAGTCTGTGTACTGTGTCTGAGTAGGGTAACCATGCTCAATGGTATCTCAGTGGCTAGTACAATAAAACCGGTGTAGGTCCGGACAAATATAAGCAGCCACGCACACACACGTGCATGCACGTTGCTATATTGAGTGAGTGAGTGAGTATGGTTTTACGCCGCTTTTAGCAATATTCCAGCAATATCACGGCGGGGGGGGCACCAGAAATGGGCTTCACACATTGTACCAATGTCGGGAATCGAACCCGGGTCTTCGGCGTGACGAGCGAACGCTTTAACCACTAGGCTACCCGACCGCCCCCGTAGCTATATTGAACGCCCATTCCACCTTACATTTTCAACGGCCTTGTGTTTAAGTGATTGTAATCTGTCATCAGGCTATGTACAATGCGGCATCGATCGGGGACATTGACCTCCTGGAGGACTGTCTAGACAAGCGCTACTCCGACATCAATATGATTTGGGTACGGTGTTTTTCTTTTCTCGAAGATACTGTTTTGTTACTGTATTTCTTGGATTGTTCTTCAAAAGCCATTTTGAACATATCTTTTGTTATTCAATAGCAGATCCTCTGGAGTATTACTTTAGATCTACGTTAAAAACATATGCTATATTTCCCATGGGACATAAAAATCATTACCCCAGTGTGTTTTCGTATTGTAAACATTAGGAATACAAATTGTATAACGCAAACCTTTGGTGCAGTTAACTACGGTTATAACGAACTCAAAGGGACCACTTATTTTAGTTCGTTATAACCGTAGTTCGTTATAAGCATATATACAGCATATATACAACAAATGGCCGGGACTAAAAATAAGTTCGTTATATCAGTCAGTTCGTTATAAACGTGTTCGTTATAACCATAGTTTACTGTAAATATCTTTTTATCATACGATTTCATTCCTAATACAATCGAGGTTTAAGACATGTTTTGTTATTCACGAAAGAAACTTTTGATATTGTGTAGGAGTACCTGAGTGAACTGTCCCATATGTTTATAATGCTGAATGTAGATCCCGCGTCAATGTACAAAACGCTGTTCTTGCTAAATGGCATTTATTTGCATATAATGAGATTGTTATCGACAACAGCATCAATTACACTATAAGTACATTTGATATGAAAATGGGAAGGTCTTTTTATGTCATTTAATTCTCACATGTGTCACATGTTGCATCAAATATATTGACGTGCATGACCCAATTGTGTCCCCGTTGCTGCAGTACCACGAGAATCTGCTGGTGGCCGCACTTAAGTCCAAACAGGAGGAGATGGCGGAGTTCCTCATAGACAACGGCGTGAACTACAACTACAAGACATCCCTCATTGTAAGTCACTAGCGGCCGACCCGTGAAGATCCGGGGTAGAATAGGTCTTCAGCAACCCATGCTTGTCGTAAAAGGCGACTATGCTTGTCGTAAAAGGCGACTATGCTTGTCGTAAAAGGCGACTAACGGGATAGGGTCCAATTGCGTGGATCGATGCTCATGATATTAATCACTGGATTATCTGGACCAGACTCGATTATTAACAGACCGCCGTCATATAGCTGGAATATTGCTGTGTGCGGCGAAAAACAACAAACCAACCAACCACCGCTAGGATCTGCCCACGTGCCCTCTGTCTTGGAGATAAATGAGTGAGTGAGTGAGTATGGTTTTACGCCGCTTTTAGCAATATTCCAGCAATATCACGGCGGGTGACACCAGAAATGGGCTTCACACATTGTACCCATGTCGGGATTCGAACCCGGGTCTTCAGCGTGACGAGCGAACGCTTTAACCATTAGGCTACCCGACCGCCCCTGGAGATGAATGACCACAAAGCAAATGACAGTCCCTCTTGTCTGGGACCTTCCTCCGTCCGTGTAGTCTTAAAACATCTTAGCAAAACATAACTCGATTTTTTTGTGGCTGAGATATGCACGGCTCTTTGTCTTTAAGATAAAAGAAACAAATTTTCAATGTTATTTCATCGTGTGGTTTCGTCAAGAATTATATGTGACTTTTTCATACCCGGGACCTACACGACTCTCATCAATGTGTCATCCTTAACTATCTTCAAAACGAAATAAAAATATATGACGACATGTCATCGTTCATAATTTCAAATAATTATTTTGACTTTAAAAACAGTGCAGATATTCTGCAAAATAAATATCTTTTTATCAGGTCATATTTCACAGGAATAAGGATCCTTCACAGTAACATCATTTGGCCATGACTTCAACTGCAGTCCGTGTGCTTCACAATCTATTTCTTTGACCCGACACCTGTTTTGATTTGGGGGGCACGGGGGGCCCGGTCGTCTAAGGCGCCGCGATTCGCTGTGCAGAGTTGCGTCCCCTGGAAACGCCAGAAACCTATGATTGTGGGTTCGAATCCCGGTTCACCCCGATTATGTTTCTAGGTTTGTCAGCACCATACCCGTGCTCGTGGGTTTCACCGAAGTGGTAAACGTCTGAGACCTGCATCACTTCGGGCTTTCCTCGAATATTAAGCTGACACGCCGTGATATAACTGGAATACTGTTAAAAGCGGCGTTAAACCCAACTCACTCACTCACTCACTGTTTTGATTTGGACTGAACCCTATCCGTTCTCCTACACACTGCCTGATGTCGTCCGTTAATCATGAAAACTATTAAGGGAGCAGGACATGCTTACCCAAGACAAGATCGACGATGACTGTTTTTCAAATGCCCTATCCGTTTTGATATGCAGTTTAACACAAAGCATTTTCTTTGACTTCGACACTCGAATTAACCCTGATACTACACGTGTAGGCCATCAGATCTAATGGGTGACCCAGTCGTCGAAATCGCAATTCAATTTGTAGAGTAGCCTCCCTTTGGCACGCCAGAAACCTATGATTCTGGGTTCAAATCCCGGTTCGCCCCGATTATGTTTCTAGGTTTGTCAGCACCATACCCGTGCTCGTGGGTTTCATCTAAGTGGTCAACGTCTGAGACCTGCATCACTTCGGGCTTTCCTCCCACATTAAGCTGACACGCCGTGATATAACTGGAATACTGTTAAAAGCGGCGTTAAACCCAACTCACTCACTCATCAGATCTAATGCACACCTTCGACACTGAACACATGTGTCCTTCGTTTCAGAACATAAAGGATGAGAGATCACGGGCAATAGAGTGGTACACCTGCAGCTGTAGACAGCTGGCTTTCGACAAGGGGATGCACGACATTGTGGAGCTCATCGACTACCTGAACGGGGATTTGTTCAGCTTCATTAAACCTAAAGAAAGGATCCCCAGATACCGCCGACCCAAGCCCCCCACACCTGAACCGTCCACTGGGGGCGAGTCCGAGAATGATGCTTCCAGTGAAGCCAGCAAGGACAGGTCAGAAGATGAGGACGAGACTCGGCCAAGGAGGAAGAAGAAGAAGAAGAGGAAGGATTCCAAAGAGGAAGATGGGGATAAGAAAGATGAGACTGATATTGGTGAAGAACAAGAGACAGAAAAAAGTAATAAATCGGAAAGAGATGTCAGTGACAATTTTGATGCAGATTCTGGACATCACAGCAGTGATAGTGTAGCTGACACTGATAAAGCAGAGGCTGAGAGAGAAGACGAAGGAAGAAAAACACAACAATCTGACAGCTTCAGAAGAAGTAGAACTAGTTCAAGTCGGTTTAGAACTGGTTCCAGCCGGTGCACTAGTTCCATACTGACCCTTGACGCTCGCAGCCCTTCTCCTCCGCGATTTCGGAGCGAGACTTTCATGAAGCGCTTTATGTGCATCAGCGCCGCCAGTGACGAAGGCTATGGCTCTCTTTCTTCCAAAAGTTCCCCCACGAGTGCAGAAAGCAAACAGAAAAGGCCACGAGTGGCAATTATAACTCTTCCGCCACGAGGCACCAAGTCTTCACTGATGCTGAGAAGGGCATCCCTGCATCGCAAGGCAGAGGCTGAACAGGAAGCTGAACAGCCTTTGCTGCAGAGGAAGGTGCGGATTCCTGGCAGTTATGGCGCCGAGAGTCGACTGTGGTATCAGACATCAGTGCCTACCAATACAAACAGTTCTGGAAACCCCATACAAACGGGGAAACGTGCAGATCTTCAAAACATTAACAATGTCAAGAATGTTCCAAATCGCCATGCCGCGCACTATATGCAAATGACAACTAGTGCTTATACGAAACGAAGGCTGGATCCTACTTTCACCAAGTGCTACAGTTCGCTTGACTTTGTAACTGATAAACTCATCAAAGGTCCCCGATCGGGGAACAGAAGGGCATTGCCCACAAGACAAACTGTGAACTGTCCCAGATCGAACACTAAGTCTGGCAAGGAGAACATCTCAGCAAAACTCCCGATTTCTGATAATGAGACAAAGATTCCACCGTTTCGTGACTCAGTGGTGACTCTGACAAGGGTATGGTGATCACATAGGACTTATTCAGTATGACTTCATTCTATTTCATTATTAGTTATCAATTATTGACCAAGGAATATGATGCTAACAACATCTCCTTAAATCTAAATGAGACGGTCTTTTAAATCTTGATAGTGTATACATACCGATTACAAACTTAAAGTAAAATAATATATTGTATAATATTTTTGTACTAAAATTCAGAATAAATGTTTATTATATTTGTTGTTGAATGCTATAATTATTCAAATGATCTACACATACCATCATTCAACACATAGTTAAATTACATTTCTATCCTGAAATTTTGTGTGTGAAATATTTCATGGACTGTAAAATCATGTGGTGATGGTGATGAAATAGGGTTTAGCGTGGCCTTCAAGATGAAACTCATGTGATAATGACGGGGCTCTGTTGAGTCAGTGACAAGAAGGATCTGAAATAGTTAGTTCCAAATTTGACGCATCAGTGACAAAAGTGATGTTCGAAGCAATTCCTTATTTTTACTATTTGTTCCCGTGTTTTTTTCAGGTGAAAAACTAGAAAACTTTTCAGGCTACTTTCATGAAACTATCAGCCTCTGCTTATTCGTCCCAGTTGCACTACAACTGCTGTGATGTCCAGAATCTGCTTCAAAATTGTCGCAAAAATTGACATCTCTTTAGTGCTTTTTCCTGGCTCTTCTTTAGCTATATACCTTTTTGATCCAACAACATGCACCTGTAAAAATAACTACAGGATCACTGAGAGCACATGAATAAGTTTTCTTTGGACAGATGATTATGGCGTGACATCTGCTGTAACATTTCATTCCAGCTTGGTAGCATTTACACGTGTTTGTCCTGCACTGTTTACCACTTTTACCACGAGCCTCTTCTTGAATACCGTGTCTGTTTCCAACGTCTTTGTCTTCACAAGGGGGGCACGGGTGGCCCAGTCGTCTAAGGCGCCGCGATTCGCTGTGCAGAGTTGCGTCCCCTGGACATGCCAGAAACCTATGATTGTGGGTTCGAATCCCGGTTCACCCCGATCATCGATGCTGTACAGTTAATGGGTACACGGGTCAAATTTAATTCTGCTCTAGCGTCCAACGACACGGATTGCTCCAGACATAACTCATTATCAGGACGATGCCATTGATGTTTCGAGGATCACTTTTACTGTGGTCTGACAGTGACATTTTTGCTAGGGTTGCCAGCAACATGTTCAACTCGACTGTGTTATCCATGCGTTCTTCTTGAACCAGGTGACCATCGACTCCTCGCTTGTGGTTCATTACAATGGTCTCACGCACCACTTGGATCTGGTCTTTGGCAGATGGCACTGATGATGGCTCGGAGGCACATGATATGGTGGCTTGTGTTGAGAGATCGGGGCTTGAAACAGGTGTGTCGTTGAAGAAGTCTTGAATGATCTGCAAACGTGGAAGGTCAATATACAGCTGTCAGGTCGTCTTCTGACACCGGGCTTTTTAAGGATCTCAGTAGGAAGTGATATTGAACGTAATTCTACATGAGCATCATTTTCAAACAAAGCCTTGAAGGGAGAATACTTCCAGTATGATAACTACTGCACTTCTTAAATTGAACAAATCGAAGTCCTGCTGGCTAATCTGTCAAGCCATTGTCACCTAGCCACGCAGTCAATATGTCCTTGTCACAGTTCAGACGCTCCACTGACCCCTGGCTTTGTGGATGGCGAGGTTTACAGTGGACCATTAGTAGACCAGGCCACATTATCGTGTGATGACTGCTGAGGTAAAATCACTACCATCGTCACTTTGCAGGATCTAAGGGGCACCAAACAACAACAGAAATGTCGACAAGCTGAGATGCAACTTCAGCAGCACATTTGGAGGACACGGGGCGTAACTCACAGTGGTTAGTCATGTGGTCTTGATACACCATAATCCACCGATAGGAACCTTACACATGGGCTGCATATCGATAAGGTCGACCTGGAACCCTTACACATGGGCTGCATATCGATACGGTCGACCTGGAACCCTTACACATGGGCTGCAGATCGATAAAGTCGACCTTGAAACCTTACACATGAGCTGTATATCGATAAAGTCGACCTTGAAACCTTACACATGAGCTGTATATCGATAAGGTCGACCTGGAACCCGTACACATGGGCTGCATATCGATAAAGTCGACCTTGAAACCTTACACATGAGCTGTATATCGATAAGGTCGACCTGGAACCCTTACACATTGGCTGCATATCGATAAGGTCGACCTGTGCACGAGAACCAAGTCTTGGGGGGTAAACTTGGTTTTACAACCACGCCCTTCTTCGTAGCTAGTTTTCGTTTCTCTTGGCATTTAAGACAAAGAAAATTATAGAGTTCCACTGAGTCCATGAGATCATATTTGTTCAATGTTTTTGTAATTGTATCTCGCCTACCATGACCACTTGAAACGTGCACGCTTTATACGGTCAAACATGTCTAAATGTGTTTAGTTGATAGGCTCTTGATAATCTGTTCTTACGAATCAGCTTCTCAATGTCACGACATTTGAGAATTTGAATCTTATTAGTATGTAGTACTGACGTTTGGACTTCTTTTCAGCAGTAGATGCGACTTTAACCTCTTCCAACAATAGGACGGGGCCACGTGTGGCCCAGTCGTCTAAGGCGCCGCGATTCGCTGTGCAGAGTTGCGTTCCTTGGGCATGCCAGAAACCTATGATTGTGAGTTCGAATCCCGGTTCACCCCGATTATGTTTCTAGGTTTGTCAGCACCATACCCGTGCTCGTGGGTTTCACCGTAGTGGTAAACGTCAGAGACCTGCATCATTTCGCGCTTTCCTCCCACATTAAGCTGACACGCCGCGATATAACTTGAGTACTGTTAAAAACGGCGTTAAACCCAACTCACTCACTGACTCACTCCAACAATAGGAATATTCTTGTTTCGTCATCAGTACAGATGTGTTATCTGATTGTCTCCGTTTCAATAACTCTTCGCGAAAGTTGTCTTCCATTTCATCCGCCAGCTCTATCTCAAAGTGATAGTGAGACTTTAATCTAGGAATGGCATTTATACTCCTAGTAATTTTGGACCGCCTCCGTGGTCTAATGGGTAGAGCGTCCGCCCGGAGAGCGGAAGGCCCGGGGTTCGATCCCCGGCCGCGTCATACCAAAAGACGTTAAGAGATGGTACTTGTTGTTACCCTGTCTGGCGCTCGGCATTAAGGGGCTAAAACAAGGACTGGTCGGCTGTGTCTGAGTGGGGTATTCATGTTAAACTGCGGCATGGTATCTCAGTGTGCTAACACTATAAATCGGCATCAGTCCGGACTAGTACAAGCAGCCACACAAACACACATACACGTGCATGCACGTCGCTATATAAGTGCAATAATCTTTGACGCGACGTTAAACTCAATTTCACCTCACCTCACCTCACCTAGTATTTTTGTAAAAATGTTACAAATTGGCTTTGATTGCCCAACATAAAACCGATTACAGTTGGTTTCGAGCCACTTGACTGCTTGGTTTTAATGAAGACGGGAAACCATATTCTGTGTTAACTGTTAAAGTCCTTTATCCGAGAAAACAAGTAAAACGGTGATACACCTGACTTTACGCTGAATTTGGAGGCAAGTGACCAAGAATAAACCAATCAGACAATGATGGTCTCAGTGGTTGAGTGCGTGTCATGTTTCCCGACGGCATTGCTCAATACTCATGTTATCAACCATTGCAACTACCTCCACCAAAAGACAAGACAATCTGCATGTTCACGTCCAAAACATGCTAAAACATCACGGCCTTCAGGACTTGACAGGTCCTTATAAAAACGGACCAATTAGAAGCCAAATTTAAACTGTATTATTGAAAATAACAGAATATTTGCTTATTCGTCTGATCAATGGTTAATCATAACAAAATCATTGACAAAACTCATACCTGGTAACAGGAGACGCCCTAAAAAACGGGGGATGTAACAGTGAGTGAGTTGGGTTTAACGCCGCTTTTAACAGTATTCCAGTAATATCACAGCCTGTCAGCTTAATGTGGGAGAAAAGCCCGAAGTGATGCAGGCCTCAGACGTTTACCACTTCGGTGAAACCCACGAGCACGGGTATGGTGCTGACAAACCTAGAAACATAATCGGGGCGAACCGGGATTCGAACTCACAATCATAGGTTTCTGGCGTGCCCACGGGACGCAACTCTGCACAGCGAATCGCGGCGCCTTAGACGACTGGGCCACCCGTGCCCCCTGGGGATGTAACAAATCAATTAACAGTGTCAATATCGGGTACAGCTAAGATTTGCCTTTGAACAGCCGAGGCAGCGGCGGCACATTGGAAACACAAGATGATTGAAAATAGCATGGCGGATTTTATTCCAAATGTCAACCAAACATTGTCCCAATTGAGCTGGCATTACCGACTGGTTCTGGTCCTGTGGTAGGCGTCGTTCTAACTCATCGCAGACACGTTCTATGGGGCAGAGGTTTGGAGAAACAGCCGGTAAAGGCGGTACAGCAATGTTATGCTGCCTCAAAAAGTCCCAGCACGTGCAACACGTGGGCGGGCATTATCTTGCTGCAACGTGACGTTACGTCCTAGGATATTCAAACCGGGAGAACATGATCTCGAACAATGTCATCCAGATGGCATACGCCGTCAAATTGCCATTAACAATGAGTTGTGTCCTTCTATGAGTTGGACCATACCATTACACTTCCACTCCAAAATGGACGACGTTGAGCAAAGCAAGCGTCGATAAAACGTTCTCCCGGTCGTCTACACGCCCTTGCACAACCATCAGAACGATCATCTGTGAACAGTATACTGTCCCAGTCTTGTCTTCTGAACCTCGGATGCTGTCAACACCAAGCTAGGAGTGCCTGGTGGTGACGTGGAAGCAAAATTGGGTTTATTGCTGAGCGACGGAACCGGATGTTGTGCTCCCTCAACCGGTTTCCCTCGGTTCTGCCACTAATTGATCTCAATCTAGTAATTGACCAAACTGTTAATGTGGCAGTTTGGAATCGATTCCGAAGATGCACCAACCGAATACGGTTGTCTTGTTGACGTGACGTCACACGTGGACGACCGGTCTGCAGATAACGTCTCCAAGGAGATTTAAAATCTCTGGCAACTTCGTTGTGAATCACGACCTTAGAATCGAGATGCTGTTGCATTCCTTCTCGGCCTTTTCGTCTGCGAGTTTTATTTGGCGAGTTCGTTTATTATCATTATTATTAGTTACATGGTCCTGAGCTCCAATGAACTCTCAGAAAGTGAAAGTCAATTCTTAATTACCTAGAAACCAAAGCCATCGCCAGTTTTAATGGACATGAAGACATCCTTTCCACCAAAGATTGTAAGAGGGCATTCTTTTGCATGTCCGTCAGTTGTTCAATGTTGAATTTCTCGCACACTCGATCATTATCAACGGGATGCCAATCCAACATTGAGGCTCGTTTGTAACTCGCATTCTGATTGGTACGTTAGATTCAGTAGTCTAGCCAATCAAATTGGCAACTGGAGTTCAAGGGCGGATAATTTGAGATTGCGCGAACCACGGGAATGGATCAGGGGTTAGTGGACTTGGTTTGCCGAAATGCTAGCCCTGGAGATCTAGAGGATACAAAATGACTGCCCTATGCATTTTGATTTAGCGTTGACTAGCAGATCTAGAGAAGAGCGTCGCCGCGAATAGCTGCAAAATTGCTGATGCGGCGTTAAGCAATATTCACTCACTCACTCACTAGAGAAGGGCGAGTGGGTACTTGTCAGTCTGCTTTGGTCCCTCTACCATTTGGTTTTAATTACTTCGTGACTGTAACTCGACTGGCACATACAGAATGCATTACACGTATATGACATGCAACATACAATTAATCACATGGTTTCCGTTCTACAAAGCAATCTATATGCAAGTCCTACTGCTGTCCACACTCCTCTACTTAACATTTACAATACGGTAAACTACGGTTATAACGAACTCAAGGGGACCACTAATTTTAGCTCGTAATAACCGTAGTTCGGTGTTAGCATATATACAGCATATATACAACAAATGGCCGGGACTAAAAATAAGTTCGTAATATCAGTAAGTTCGTTATAAGCGTGTTCGTTATAAACGTAGTTTACACTGTTAACCTGAGTTCTCTGTTGGGTCGACAGACTTAGCGGGGTAAACAAACAGAATTCAGCTCAACCTTCAGACTTTTTATCCAACATGTGTTGAATGATTTGGGCTTCACGTTTACTTTGAATCATACAACAAGAAACAGTGGCTTTGCAAATATAGGCTGACAGATTTTCAACAATAACCACTGAGAGATACCAAAAACGCTTTGAAGGCTAAAACTGTATTTATTTTGACTCGAGTAAAATCAATATGCCTTTGACATTAAGCGGTAATACATGTTTAACATTGATCAGTTATTCTGGTTGTCAGACGGTAGCATCTCGACACCAACGATTAACGGCTACATGCACTTTTAACAATGGTTATCTCGAAGTGCCGGTTTTTGGCAGAGATAATGTATATCCGTCATGCAAGTATAGTCGACGAAACAAGTCGGACCTGCATCAGACACGAGGAGCCCGAGGCAGTCCTCCTTCCCATTCTTGTTGTTCGGTTCTCCCCTGCACCATCGATTTATCAGGGCACCATCGTTCCATCTCCAGGCACCTTCCTCCTTAATATCAGTTGAGCCAACCCAGAAAATTCCTGTCGGTAACTTGCCTGAAATAGTAATATTGACAACAACATAAATAGACTTGTCATGTCAAGGTAATGTTATCGTCATATACAGTAAACCACGTTTATGACGAACTTACCGATATAGCGAACTTATTTTTTAGTCCCGGCCATTTGTTGTCCATATGCTGTATATATGCTTATACCCAACTACGGTTATTACGAACTAAAATTAGTGGTCCCCTTGAGTTCGTTATAACCGTAGTTTACTGTACTATAACTCAAACAACTTGGTATCCATAAATCATAAGAATGCGTTTTTCAATCTGGAAAGCTATTAAAAAAATCTAAATTTTTCATTATTTTTGGTCTGGGGAATATTTTCCTAAAAGACCACGTATAGGCAAGGAAGTAAATAGAGGTCATCAGGATTTCGTATTTGTTCTCAATGTGTTGTTGTCTAAAGTAATATCGTATTCATTGGTATGAGTGAATGAGTGTTGTCACTTCTCTCAGCAATATTCCAACCATATGACCGCCTCCGTGGTCTAGTGGTAGAGCGTCCGCCCGGAGAGCGTTGGTCCGGGGTTTGATCCCCGGCCGCGTCATACCAAAAGACGTTGAAAGATGATACTTGTTATTACCCTGCCTGGCGCTCGACATTAGGGGGCTAAAACAAGGACTTGTCGGCTCGGAGTCTGTGTCTGAGTAGGGTATTCGAGTTAAACTAGTCTGCTAGCACTATAAATCGGCATCAGTCCTGACTAGTACAAGCAGCCACACACACATGCATGCACGTCGCTATATAAGTGCAATAATCTTGGACGCGACGTTAAACCCCATTTCACCTCACCTCCAACCATATGACGGCGGTCTGTAAATAATCGATTCTGGACCAGACAATCCAGTGATTGACATCCTGAACAGCGATCCACATAATTGGAATATGATGACATGCATCAACCACGTCAGCGAGCCTGACCAAACGTAAGTCGCCTCTTACGACAAGCATAGTCGTCTTTTAAAGCAAGCCTGGGTTGCTGAAGACTTATTCTACCACGGATCTTAATGGATTGTCTGGTCCAGACTCGATTATTTACAGACCGCCGTCACATATCATGAATATTGCTGAGTGCGGCGTTAAGCAACAAACAACATAACAACAACCACTGTAACTAGACATGTACCTACCATTGTTGAACATGTGTCTAACGATTTCGTCAAATACCCCGCCAAGGGTCATCTGAGCCAGCACTGCTCCATCACTGGCGCATGCGTCTGAGGCTAAGGTGTAATTACTGGCTACACTGGACAGTTTCACACACGTCCGATCGATGAAGGTGTAGTCAGGTGGGCACCTCCCTGCAATTTCAAATAACACACCAAAATAGAGACGTATTGAAATTTTCATAGATTTAATTACATGTACCGTATTCGACGTAATAAGCGCCCAGGGCGCGTTCTAAATTAGAACTAGGGGGCTCTTACTAGAACAGAGTTGAAAGATCGTAAATTTCGTGGTATATGCTGACAGTCTGAAATGTTTATATACGACAGATAGAATTTTCCAGAATTTAATTGCCGATAATTAAGGGTGCATATAACACACGAGTGCGTATTATACACAAATAAATAAGTCTTGTGTACATTGATCAATTGGAAGGGGTGCAATGGGGATTGTTCACTAGTGGGCGCTTATTACGTCGAATACGGTATATCACTTTCTTGATATGATTGATTTACAATGAGTGGCCGAGTGTGCCACGGTGAAGACATCACAGCTGTATCTTGGCAGACCATAAATACATAAATAACTCCAGCTCCTTTGAACCTCCTTAATGCCAGTCAACAGAATAAACACAAAAATTATCTGTTCTTATCAGGAAAACACTATTATTGTTTTAGCGGAAGTACTCTAAAAACAATAAGTAATATCAGTTGTACAGTCAGTGATTCTAATATCTAGGTCACGTTAGAATATAGTAATCCTTTGACCGTGATTTTACAATTTACCATCATTTCTCTTATTTAGTCCTGAAACAATTTCAACTCATATTCACAAATTGGTCAGCTGACTGTGAGTGAGTGAGTGAGTTTGATTTTACGCCGCTTTTAGCAATATTCCAGCAATATAACGGCGGGGGACACCAGAAATGGGCTTCACACATTGTACCTATGTCGGGTCTTCGGCGTGACGAGCGAACGCTTAAACCACTAGGCTACCCGACCGCCCCCACTCAGCGTTTATAAGTGGTGCTATTTGGTGTGTGGTTGGATCAAGGTAAGGTTGGATTAAGTTGAGGATTCTCCTGTAAACCTGACAGAGTGAGTGAGTGAGTATGGTTTTACGCCGCTTTTAGCAATATTCCACCAATATCACGGCGGGGGACACCAGAAATGGGCTTCACACATTGTACCCATGTCGGGAATCGAACCCGGGTCTTCAGCGTGACGAGCGAACGCTTTAACAACTAGGCTACCCGGCCACCCCTTAAACCTGACAGAAGGCATTTTCTGCTACAAACAAGTCGTAAAACACAACTCTTATACATTTCTAAATATATTTTATCCTGTTCACAGTAAATATGAAATCGTGTCCTACCTCCATTGTCAATATATAGTTTTGTTGTATCTGCTAGACGAGGGGCAGAAGCCCAAGTCTTTTTCATGAATAAATATCTGTTCTGTTCTTTATACACACATGCACAAAAGTTAAGCGCCACCCACCATATTTGTGAGCTGTTACTTTTGGCACTTAATAATGACTATAATAACGAGATGTACGATTGTTATAAGCCGTATATGTAAGCCTCATGTGATGCAAAAGTTGTCCGAAAGCAAGTTTATCTTGTGTTCCAAAAGAATATGAGCAGAAAGGAATTTTACCGAAGACCAGAAATTGAAGGATTACAAAACATTGAAAAACCTTTTTTGTCATGTAACTGTCATGATATCAGCAGACCATATCAGGTGTAATATAGACACCCTAGGGAGTGCAGAGTCTATTGCAAGACAGAAACGTCAGTAACGTGTGTATGATCCACGGACATTGACCACAGCTTCAACCCTACGCCTCATACTCATTACAAGTCGTTGAATGCTTCTCTGGGGCAAACGGATCCATTCTTCATGAAGTGCGGCTTCAAGTCCAGCGAGATTTTGAACTGGAAGATCACGATGTCTGATTTTCCGGCCAAGAATGTCCCAGAGATGCTCAATCGGATTAAGATCCGGACTACAGGCCGGCCAAGGAAGAGTGGCGATAGCTTCTTGACGCAAATAAGCCAAAACTGCCCGAGATCTGTGTGGTCTAGCATTGTCGTCAATGTTAACAGGTCTTGTCTGAAGAGGATGGTTGTCAAAATGAGGGACTACCACTGGACGGCATCTTGGTATTGTTGGCCATTCAGGTTTCCACGAATTGTCATCAGCGGAAGTTTGCAGCCGAAGGAAACACAACCCCATATCATGACAGACCCCCCGCCACATGCTAAGGTCTTCTGGGTGTTCCTTGGTGCAAAACGAGTGTTACGTTGCCTTCAGACGATTCCGCATGTGCCTCTCAGTCAGTTGAGGACGTCTTACTGGTCTTCTGGCGTTATAACCAGCCGCTCTGAGACGACGCCTTACGGTCATCGTCGAGAGTCTCTGATGGGTAATCCACTACAGTCTTAAATCTGTTGAAGTGGCAAATGGATTTCGTCTGACTATCCTGAAAAGACGTCTATCCTCTCTGTTAGAGGTCTTTCTTGGCCTACCAGACCTATGCCTGTCATTGACATCATTGGTTCGACCATGTTTGACAATCAAACGAGTGATAACACTGTGATGACGACCCATTTGTCTTGCAATGGCCCTGCATGACATGCCAGCATTTTTCATGCCTATCACTTGCCATCTTTCAGCGTTCGTTAACTTTCTCCTCACCATGGCTGATTTTCAACCTCTATTGGAAGGGGAATCTCACACAAGAGCAAAATGCAACCACGTGTCTGAAACTTGAATTTCACTATTTATAGGGTAGGGGAACTGCAGCAACACGTAAAGCACGCTTTCTTTGTGGTATTCATTTCACGATTTACAGTATTCGTGTCCAGACCAGACACACCAGTGACTGTGTAATAAACAACTATCTAAATATAAATGTCTACACCAGAGAATAATCAGCCTCGGTTATCCGATGAAATAGATTCCACCGGGCGTAAAGGGGGAAATAGCGGTATTACAGACCGCATCTCTAAAAGTGAATTGTTTGATCACGGGGCTATCATTGAAAAACGTGTGTTAACACCAAGTACTCACAGATCATCGTATAGGATTCCACGACCTCATCCCTGGGAGGCTCTGTCTCGGCTTGGGGTCCGACAGTGTCAGACATCATTTGACACAGTTCAGTCGCCTCATTGGAGGAAACGTAACTGCACTCCGACTCTCCGGCACAAGTCTTAGCACACTGGATGAGGCTCGTAGAGGAGAGTGTTTTGTACGAAGCTGTAGCGCTGCGTGTGATTGAGTCCTGTTGAAACTTAATGACCTTACAGTTGACCGTATAAACCAAATCCCACTGTGCAATTAACATGTACGCTATGAGGGGAAAATATAACCACTCCATCTGGGCGGTATTGACATATATCTTAGAAAACTGTACACCTGCCTTCGGAAGCTCCTCTCCGGAAGTTCTTGGTTGAACAAGGGTAGAAGATAATGTCTGATGACTTTATTTCCCGATAACAATAGTATGAATTGATAAGTCAACAACCCCACTTTAATGATGTGAATTCGTCCTACTCATAATCACGACACAATGGTAACAAGCTGACAACTCTCCCCTGGCAGGGCAGACGTAATTTCAATGACCCCCCCCCCCCCCCCCCCCCCCGTTAAAAATCAGAATTTAATTCATTTTCAAACATTAATACAATGGAATGTGAAGCGTTTGTCCATTGTGAAGACATTTGCCAATAGGTAAGGGTTGGGTTTTTCCCCATTAAGCCTTTGTTATCACGCTACTTCACAATATCCCCAGCTTCTAATGAATATGTTAATTCTGAAGCAAAGTAATCATTACTTTTGACAGAAACTTTTCTTCAAAGGCTAATTATCAGTAAATTCTAAAAGTTTCCAGACGATTGATAATAATAAATTTATTATTTAGATATTATTGACTCACTGACTATGAATAAGCATTTATCGATATTACATCCGTCATTGAAGTTGTGCATTGGATATGGCTTACGGAAGCCAAGGAATCATTAGTGATAGTGACTTTGTCTTCAAAGGCTAATTATCATCTAATTTTAAAAGGAATGTAATAATCGAAAGTCTCGTTATTTTAAAGACCTGACAGAGATCATGTTCAACAACACTCTGGTTTCCGAAACGGTCTGCAGGCAGTTGCTAATCATAAATTTATTATTTACAGATTACTGACTCAGTGACTAAAAATAATCATATATATGAAGTTTGAAGTACATTTGTCAATATTATTGTTTGGTTGGTTTGTTGTTTAACGCCGCACTCAGTAATATTCCAGCTATATGACGGCGGTCTGTAAATAATCGAGTCTGGACCAGACAATCCAGTGATTGACATCATGAGCATCGATCCACGGAAATGGGACCAATGACATGCATCAACCAAGTCAGCGAGCCTGGCCACCCGATCCCGTTAGTCGCCTTTTACGACAAGCATAGTCACCTTTTACGACAAGCATGGGTTGCTGAAGACCTATTCTACCCCGGAATCTTCACGGGTCTTGTTTGTCAATATTAAATCATTTATGCTGTTAATTGGATATGGCATAAACTGTAACCGTAAATGCCCGTTGTAGATGGAGGCTTTCGAATGGCAATAATCATCTTTCCTAGGCAAGGGAGTTAACTGACTATAAAAGTCCTGTTTCCACCCTTGCCGTACGAGGCTGGAATTCCGGAGTTACATTTTGGCTAGACTAACGGGTCTATGCATTGTCCAATCAAAATCGCGTAACGAAGTAGACATCCGGTTCGTACACAACATGGATATCAACGCGCAGATTTTGGTCGACTGCAGGATTTGCAAAGCATGTGTACCACCAACTGGGCGTCGACAGATATTTTGCAAATCTGTTCATGTTTTTAATCAAAATGCTGAAGTGATTTGATGCACTTCGCGGGGTAAGACCCGTTTTTTTACAATAAAGACTTGATTATCGATCGGATCGTCCTGACAGGGCGCCGCCATTTTGATGGTGTGATGTGAGTGATGGAATCTGATTGGTCAATAGAAGGGACATAGAAGGGACGTAACTCGTAATAGCCACTGGTGGAGCTACGATCGAGCCTGGAAATTCCAGCGTAGTTCGGCAAGGGTGGGAACTGGACTTTTATGGTCAGGTAACGCCCTTGCCTCGGGAAGATGGCCGATAATGTGTTTCTTAGACCAAAAGATGTATATGGACTAGCAAATCTTGTTTGGTGGAATTGCTGATGCTGTCACAAATAATTAAGCCAATATAAAATGTGTTTCAGGTCGTATGTGCATGGAACTGTGTCACCATTACCCGTCATGCATTGTTGTGCATTGATAGTTGATTGACGGATTTCACGTTTCAACAGACAGGTGCTCAGGGTGAAACGATTGGCCGATCTATCACAAGTTAGAATGCTACCTGAAGTAAATATATTTCCAAAAGAATATTTTGGCCTCCACTGTGATATAGTTTCATTTTATTTGTCACTAGTTTCAACTCATGTTATTAAATAGAAGCATATTTAGTTGCTTGTAAAATCATATTTAAGAGAATCACATTTAATAAATGCAAAAACAGAAGCAGACCATAACAAATAGAAAATTATACCACCATTGACCTCTTTTGGTATGATTTGGTTTAGTTTGTTGTTTAAGGCCGCACTCAGCAATATTCCAGCTATATGACGGCGGTCTGTAAATAATCAAATCTGGACCGGACAATCCAGTGATTGACATCATGAGCATCAATCCACGCAATTGGGATCGATGACATGCGTCAACCAAGTCACGGTTGCTGAAGGCCTATTCTACCCCGGATCTTCACGGGTTCACACATTGGGGAATTGCAGACACATGTATGCGGTCCGATTTCACGGCAAGTGTGAGTGGCCATCCTTTTGGTATGACGCGGCCGGGGATCGATGGATTGTCTGGTCCAGACTCGATTATTTACAGACCGCCGTCATATAGCTGGAATATTGCTGAGCGCAGCGTTAAACAACAAACCAACCAACCAACCAACCCTGAAGATCTGATACATAAGGCACCTGACACTTCTCACATGAGCAATAAGCCACATGGCCACACCACCGCTCATGTCAGCAGTCGGACCTAACGTGCCATGGAGCAAGCAGACCAGTGGTTAATAGTGTGTAGATCTGACCTTGCCGTTCACAGTTGGTAGCTGTTCTTCCAAGGTTGTCCCTGTTCGCTGCACACAGATGGAGTGAGTTGGGTTTAACACCGCTTTGAGGTGAGGTGAGGTGAAATGGGGTTTAACGTCGCGTCCAAGATTATTGCACTTATATAGCGACGTGCATGTACGTGTGTGTTTGTGTGGCTGCTTGTACTAGTCTGGACTGATGCCGATTTATAGTGCTAGCTCACTGAGATACCATGCCGCAGTTTAACATGAATACCCCACTCAGACACAGTATACTGACTCCGAGCAGACCAGTCCTTGTTTTAGCCCCTTAATGCTGAGCGCCAGACAGGGTAACAACAAGTACCATCTTTTAACGTCTTTTGGTATGACGCGGCCGGGGATCGAACCCCGGACAACACCGCTTTGAACAGTATTTCAGCGATGCAAATATCAACCTTAACCACTTTAGTGGTTATGGTGCTGACAAACCTTAAAACATAATCTATCTGCTCACGATCACACACACTCATCTTATTACAAGCAACTCGCTATGGCTCCATTCTGCCCTGGAGTCACCACATAGAAAAAGGCCAATATATCATTTTTTTAATATATTTTGCTCAAAACTACTTGCAACTAGTCAAGCTTCTTTTCCTCAGGCTGAACAACTTGACATATTCACAAAAATACTTGTGAATGTAAAACAAATTCTGATACAGAAGTGTGAGTGAGTTGGGTTTAACGCCGCTTTTAACATTATTCCAGTTTTATCACAGCCTGTCAGCTTAATGTGGGAGGAAAGCCCGAAGTAATGCAGGTGTCAGACGTTTACCACTTCAGTGAAACCCACGAGCACGGGTATGGTGCTGACAAACCTAGAAACATAATCGGTGCAAACCGGGATTCGAACCCACAATCATAGGTTTCTGGCGTGCCCAAGGGACGCAACTCTGCACAGCGAATCGCGGTGCCTTAGAGGACTGGGCCATTCGTGGCCCCTGATAAAGAAGACAAAACTCAAGTGTGTGCAAAGAATAGTTTATAATTTGAAAATAGGTAAGAATACCTAATCACAGATCTTAGCAACAACAGTCTTACAGTGATGTTCTTCCTTCATTGTCAGGCATAGCAGTCAAAATAAGTAATTCTAAAGAAAATAATTACATTCGTTCGGACATTAAAAGTTTCTCTTGTAATTGGATTGCATAGTATTCACTATTCATTCTTAATCAATGAAAGAATAAGACATGCAATTTATTCCATGTTCACTGGCCTTATTTGCATCTATTTCCTGACTTTCAACAAATTGATGTACCGTATTCGACGTAATAAGCGCCCCGCTCTAATAAGCACCCACACCGATATTTGCTAATATACTGGCTGGTGATCAATTCCAATTCCTTTTGATTGATCATTGTACACAAGACTTATTTATTCGTGTATAATACGCACTCGTATGTTATATGCACCCTTAATTATGGGCAATTTAATTCTGGAAAAATATATCTGTCGTATATAATACACACAGATTTTTCTTTTGTATCATTTCAGGCTGTCAGCATAAACCACGTAATTTATGTTCTTTCAACTCTTTTTTTCACCAAAATTTTATTCTTATAATAGCCTTCTTATTCTAATTTTAAGAGCTCCCTGGGCACGTATTATGTCGAATACGGTAACTTTTCTTTCCTAAATGTTTCAACAAGCAACTTCAACATACTGACTGAAACTGACTTAGCACTTTCATGTTATGATATATCATAGGAAGAGGAGATATGAATATAAATATACACAGACAAATGTAGGTACATATATGAAACTGTGGTCCATTGAGGATAGCTTCCCTTTGCTTGCCTCCAATAAATACCTGTGTGCATCATGTCACTTAGGGACCAGCCATTAAATATTCTGTTGGGGCAGCCTGGTACTTATGAAGGCTAAGATGTTTTACAGCTACAGCTGCAAAACCAGATATATTTTTTTAATTAAAACTAATTTCAACAGTCTGAAGTATAACTATGTTTTAAGCTTTTTCGGGGACAATTAATTTTTTATCAAAACATTCCCAGCCTCTGCCCAAATAAGAAATGTGCGGTCCCTTACAGTATCAATTCAAAGAGAAACACATGGAGCTTTCCCTGCATTATAACCAGTGTATCAGTCAATGTGGTCATGTAGCTTGGCTGATATTCCCCTCAAATGAAACAAATAAAGACATGTGCCTTATTAATAAAGACAATTCTTAAATCTGGATAACATGTTTTCACACACAAAACAAAATCACGTCACCTGCACCATCACTGAATCACAATTTCTTGGAAAAACAGTTCGACATATGCTACTCAAGAAAAGCTAAGGCATGAAAGATTAACTCTAGTAATATGAAAGAATCAGGTGATCCGTAACCATTTTTTGAGTAGCATATATTTCAACTGGACCCATTGATAGTCATAGTATGACTGGTCCTCTTTAATAGTGGCATCTTCAATGTTTGTGTCCATCACAAGTATCATCAACAATAGCTTCACAGGCTTGTATCCACTACCTACCCACTTTCATCCTGGAGCGACCCGTGAAGATTCCGGGGTAGAATAGGTCTTCAGCAACCCATGCTTGCTGTAAAAGGCGACTATGCTTGTCGTAAAAGGCGGCTAACGGGATCGCATGGTCAGGCTCGCTGACTTGGTTGATGCATGTCATCGGTCCCAATTGTGTGGATCGATGCTCATGATATTAATCACTGGATTGTCTGGTCCAAACTCGATTATTTACAGACCGCCGTCATATAGCTGGAATATTGCTGGGTGCGGCGTTAAACAACCAACCAACCAACCATCCTGGTGCAGCATTGTGTTCACAAGCCTGTGTAGTACTGATGATGCATTGGTATGAGGCCACACGGAATACTCTCACACTCTGGACACACTCGTGTTACATTGCATCACTGACATACTGCAAGAGCTGACTAAGGCTGTCTCATGTCTTCCTGGCTGGAGCGTTGCCTTCTAGTATATCATAGATGTCATCTAGACTATTGCTACAGCACTGGATGAAGTCTCGGACATCTCTCGGAGGGGGATAACTTGTGATGTTGAAACCTATTCTGTTGTTCTCTATTGAGTACCCTGAAATAGAAATGTAATTGTATTAACGACAAAATATCTGTGATAGTGTAACATGACAACTATGGGGCAAGACGTTGTATTTGTTTGTTGTTTCACTGGACTCGGCATTGTTCCAGCTGTATGACGGCTGCCTGTAAATAATCGAGTCTGGGCCAGACAATCCATTGATTGATATCATGAGCAATGATCCCGTGTACAATGACACGGAATTAGCTAAGTCAGTGAATCGAGACAGATAATTCCTTATTCTATGTCTCTGTGCATTTTTGTCCTGAGAGGAAAGCGAACGTGACTGCAGTTCTTGCACAACAATAACTTCACAGGGCTTTAAAAATGTGTGCCAGTAAACGTGAAGGTATAAAACACTGAATCAGGAGTCCGAAAAATTTAAAATCCCAATTGGACATTTGCATTTAGGCCACGCCCCCTTCAAATAGCATATTTTCGTGCGACTTTTCACACACATTACAAGTTGTTACATTCAGTGTTCCCTCGTTATTGAGCGCTTTGGTTATAGCGCGGTAAAGCATGGCTCCCAAAATTTACTAACATTTTTAGTAAACTCAATATTTCCAATGACACAATGTTTTCCCCCCATCTCAGACATTTGAGATTCCCAATCAGACATGTCCGGGGCATATGACCGTTCCCGGACCCCTGCACTGAACCTACCTATGCCATATCCATCCGGTACTACTGGAGCAAAGCCTCCGATGAGGACTGCTGGGTCGGACAGAGTGGACGTGGAGAGGATGTTATAGTTGATCTTCTTGTAAGCTGGGTCTTGGAATATGTCTGGGACTTTGCCGTGAGACTCGGCAAGTGTCCGCATAGCAAACATGTGTCTGTCAAAACCCTGTCCTGGAAAAATTTAGTAAAATCTAAATATTTTTTACATTTGTATACTTATCCTGCATTACTCCTTAATGCATTCACTGCTTACTTACGACAACTAGAAGGACAGCGCTGCGAAGGTCCTGGGTGAAGAAATAAAGTTGTTGTTCTCAAGTCCCAATCAGTGGCCTTCCGTCGCTGTCCTGTGACCTTGATGACACCTAAGGTCATCTTCACATCACTGCCTGTCGCCCAAGCTCTTAGAAAAACATACTTTTGAGGTTTCTGAAGCCAAAGTGGGGAGGCAAGTCTAACGACGGGTGGGCCTTAAGCGTAGTAATGCAGGATAAGTATACAAATGTAAAAAATATTTAGATTTTACTAAATTTTTTACTTATCCTGCATTACTCCTTAATGCATCTGTATCGGACGGTTTGGAGGTGGGTAAACCTTCAGAATACAGAAACCTCAATAATTCACACCCTGCAATACGACCCCATTTGGTCGATAAACCGTGAAGCGGAAAAGTTCAGACAAAAACGCCACTACGGTAGGGTTGTTCAAAAATCAAAAACATTGAACATAGGAATTAAAGAGAAATTCCCTATACACGCTTAGTAATAAAGAAAATAATAGCTATTCAGCTAATTCTTTACTTACTGCGTCATAGAGCCGTCGCTGACAAACAAGATTGTCTAATATTCTTCCACTGGTGGCGACTGAGTGACTGCACATGGAAGTTGACTGGCTCTGTATAGGGCGAGTTCATTATTTGCGTCAGTGGTTGGCAATCTGCAGGATAACAACCAGAGGGCCAAACTTCGAACGTCTTCGACATCCTCGAGAGTCACAACGCGAAGGTTATGACTAACAAAAATATGTGTCGAATCTCCAGAAATATCCTTCCGTGATTGTTCCAATACCACAATTGCCGTGTTGAGCCCTGGTAAGGCTGACACCTTGAGATCTTGAGGGTAATTCGCTCTCGGCGAGTTCCGTTGATGATCTCGTAGGCCTGAAGGATTACTGCGCGTAACCATATAGATATGGTGTTTGCGATTATGCGACTAACTTCTGTCGTGGACGAACCACGCCTTGTCTTGGAGCGTCGAATGAAAACTCGAACTGCTCGCACCGAGCCCAGGAGAACTTCACCATGTACGATTCCCACAATAGTCGATATCGGTGGGATGGTGAAGAACGGTCGGGTTGGCCTGGTAGTAGATTTTAGCAATAAAATCCCAGCATAACCCTAGATGTCCCGTTCCGTGCGTCCCATGCTCAAAACGGATCCGGGTTGAGTCGATCACATGTAGTTCGCTCACCCGTACCGCCATTGCTAATGCCAAGAGAAACCATTGTTTCCTTGGTGGTGTCCAAGCTCCTCACAGCGATAGCCCGTTCGCGGAGCTCTCTATACTATACCGAGAGTGTAACGAAGGTGTCACGCGCTGGGAAGGAGCTTGAAAATGAGGATGCAATGAGGGGCTCGAAGGGGGCCCTCGCAAACCTCGAAGTACCACGTTCAAGTCCCAATCAGGTGGCTGGAACTTGGCCTTCTGATCCTCAAACCTGAATGAGCATAATATGGCCTGTAGTTCCGTGACCTTAATCACACTGTGATTTTCCGGAAACGGCCAACACTAAGATAATTGCAGCCAATTACGTAGTAATGGTGCTACCTTCCAAGTGTTTTTGGGTACGCAATGTAGGAGGTATTCCTCTAGGAATTGTGACGCAATCGTAGGGTCTTGATTCTTTTCTTCCCTGTAAAAAGTCTCAAGTGATCCCCACTTGTCATCGTCGTCTCTTGGAGAGTAACGATGAACTAAAGCTATAGCTTTGCTGCCCGTGTCGAAATAACCCTTCGCACTTAAACGCCTTTTAAAGACGAACCATGCGTGCAGACCTTGGGTGAGGCAATTTTCTGTTGAGGGTGGATGAGTAGGTTGGACCACTGTGAGAGGGGAAGTGAATCGTTTTAGATTTTTCCGAGCTTGACGAACTACCCTCTCGCCGGTTACCATGGTGCGACCAAAGGAGAGATCGAGATACCTTGTCTCCTTGATCCCCTGTAGCACCTTGGGAAGTAAAAGTGGTGGCAGAAGAGTTTTAGTTCTTTGCCCTTCCCAAGTGATACTGAACTCGTCCACCGCCCAAGTCTGCGGATCCGGCAACGGGGAGATATACGTCATGAGTTGGTGGCCTAGGCAAGTAATAAACAAGTCAATGTTTGGTTGCCTGAATTCCTGAAGCAGTAACTGGAATGCTTCTGTGAGAAATTTCCACTCAGTGGGAGCCACCCTGTCTGGACGTGATAAAGTATTGGCCAGTATGTTTCTACATCCGGGGATGTGCTGAACTATGAACCTTAGTCACAGCCGATCCACTAGATGGAAGAAATCTGAATGTCCTTAGAAGTGGAGAGTGGGAGTGTGTTGTTCCCCGATTGCACAGGCACCACACCGCAGTGCTGTTGTCTGTGGATATAGCGAGTCGGGCTAACTTCCATTGTGCGCCGGGCCATAGCCCTGAGATTATCTGGTCTTGTAAGTGAAGACTCCACCCCTGAAAGGGGACGTCCACAAACAGGTGTGTATTCGGGGAAAACCCGAATAAACAGACTCCGCAGACATTCAGCGCCACAAATTGAGGCAAGGCTCTAGCTTAGTTGGTAGAGTGATGGCCTTGAGTGGATCCTGACTCCTGATGTAAGGGTTCAGGAAAAAATTGAATTGGTCGCTGTTGTAAGCGGCCCATGCTAGTTAACTCCTGTGCCGAGGTGATTAACCCTAGCACCACTTGCCACTGGCGAAGTGTGTGTGTGGTTGGTGTAGAGTAGATGACAAAAGAAGTAGAGACTTGTGCCATCTGTCCCTCGGTACAGATAGGATATCCTGGTCTGTCTTAAACAGGTCTCCTATGAACTGAAGTCAATAGGAAGGAGAATACTCCCGACTTCGCCTCGTTGATTGTCTATCCCAGTTATTGACATGTGTTGATGATACAGTAGATCGCCCTCCATCTACGACTCGAACCAAGTGTTCGTCACGTGTAGATAGTTATTGGCTTCATTACTCCTGTAAATAGCCATAAGTGTCCCTGACATGTCAAATGGGAAATACTACCATTGGTAGTGAACCCCAATGAACTGAACCTGAAAAGTCTACGGTTGGGATGGATAGTCGAGACTGATGAAGAATCAAACGTTCGTTGAACACAGAGATTGTGGATCATTCTCATCTTGTCTGGGTCCTTCATGAGTACCAGGTAGGTGCGAGGATAAAACCCCGGAGTAAAGACTGGGTTGTGAACCCACTCTACAGCTCTTCTTACCAACAGTATGTCTATGTTGGATTTTCCCAATCAAACTGTTGTCAACGGTGGGGTTAACTCTACCCTTATACGGACACCATGATATAGTGCGATAAGTACGAAATCGTCCTTGAGACTTGTCTCTGCCACTCCCTTTCTCAGTAAGGGAATGCTGGTCTTCCCTGAGAAACGCGCGTCTAGGCTTATAATTCCCTGACTTGGACTTTCCAAGCTTTTTGGGAACTTGACGTGCGTGTCTGCGATCTGTTCGTTGAACAGGGGAGTAGATGATCAAGGTTGACGTAATAGACTGCCCTTGAAACCAGCATCTCAGTTGGAAACGCTATAAAGTCTTGGGTGTAACGGTAATCACCGTCAGAACGGTCTCAAGATGAATTTTCCTGTGGTCAAACTGACGCTGTAGGAAAAACACCATAGTTTGGAAGTGATCTAATCAGATAGGGTTATCCTCTAATAGATTCTGATCCACTGCAAACATTGACGATATTGGTCGCTTAAATCACGGAGCAAATGTGAGTTTTGGAGAAGGCTTCCTCCAATGACCTCGTGGTGTCCCTCTTATTTACCCTGTTATCAGGGGAGGGCGTTACTGACACGAGATGGTCTGCTTCCCAATCGGGTACATGTGCTAAGCTGATCATGTGCCGGTTACGTAACCGAGTACACTGTAAGCCTTGGGCTAACGTCATTGTAGAGACCTTGATTGATACGCAGACGCTGCGCTCAGCGCAGGTCTGGAATGTTGGAACAGCGCTAAGCTGATCGTGCGACGTTTGCGTAATAGGAGCGCTTTGGGTAGCAGTCAGACGCTGCGCTCGGCGCAGGTCTATGCTGGATATGTTGGAACAGCGCTAAGCTGATCGTGCGTCACTGGCGTGATAGGAGCGCTTGGGTATCAGTCAGACGCTGCGCTCGGCGCAGGTCTATGCTGGATATGTTGGATATGTTGGAACAGCGCTAAGCTGATCGTGCGCCGCTTGCGTAATAGAAGTGCTTGGGTTGAAGTCAAGTGCTGCGCTCGGCGCAGATAAATCAGACACAAAGCTCAAAAGTATTGACTGGATCAAGGCTTGCGTCTAATCTACCCCCATCATAGCATCTCGATACGCTGGTGCTGGTGCTGTCGCCGACGTCACAGATTATCATACATGTATCTGGAAGTGTCCGGCGGCTGAAAAAATAGGAGCAGTTACGATACTCACAAAATCCTCCGGTATTGTTGATTTCGGTGGATGGTGTACTTCTGCAATCACAGTCGTCATAATACTTGCCGATAATAACGGTTGGGTGGTAATGACAGAACCATATGTCATTCGCTATTCTGCGATAATGACATTCCTCTCGTCCCACGACGGAATAACTGCAAAATATGATTGTGAGTAATCTGCTTTTATATAGTAAACTCGTTGGATTAGAGATTTACATAAAAATTACATTTTGAATTTTGGCGAGCACATCTACGTGCATGCCTATGACCGTGGATAAAGAGCTTTGGGCGATTATTCCACGACAATATGTACACCGAGCAAACATAATTATGTTACGCAATTAAACCATTGAAGAAATGGTACTGGAAGAATGCCGTAGAATTGAACAGTAATCTATCGGCAAAAATACGAATTGCAAGGGTATAAAATATTTTTATATACGCAATTCAATGTAAACCAAGGCTATTTACATTTAGAGATTGGAGAGCACATCCGCGCGCAAACCAACCAATCGTGGATGATAATCTTGTAAGGTTTTTTCCACGACAATTAGTAAAATGCTCAAAGGTATGTTACGCAATGACACCCTTGTTGATGAGATAATACTGGAAGAGTGCCGAAGAATTTGAACACTAATCTATCGGCAAATTTATGAGTTGCAAGGATATACAATATTTTTGTATGCGCAACCCAATGTAAACCAAGGGTATTTATATTTTCATTTAGGGTTTGGAGAGCACATCTGCGCACAAACCAAACAACGTGGATGATAATCTTTGTAAGATTTTTCCCACGACAATTAATACCACGCTCAATCATAAGTTACACAATTACATATATATATGTATATTCAATGTCTGTACATATAGAGTAGGGAAAGGGCCACCTAAGTTGGATAACTTTTGCCCAATCCCGTTGACCATATATGTCAATAAAATATGTTTAAAACAAACACAATTACGCCATTGTTGATGAGGCGGTACTGGAAGAATGCCATAGAATTGAACAATAATCTATCGGCAAAAACTACGAGTTGCAAGAGTATACAATAGTTCATATACGCAACTCAATGTAAAACCAAAAATACCAACAAAAAACTATTAAATCGCATAAACATAGGTACGCAATAAAAGAATTGTTGATGAAGCGGGACTGGAAGAAAGCCGTAGATTTGATATTAATCTATCGGCAACCATATTTTTAACGAGTTGAAAAAGTATACAATAATTTTAGTATACGCAACTCACTGTTACGCCAAAGCTAGTAATATTTAAGAACATAAGAATATGTTATACATACGTAGCTGAGAATTGTAAACAATATGACTACCTTGGCAGGCAAACGATTGTAACACAATTCAAAATGGCGGCGAACAACAATATTTTGGCGGGAAAAAAGACAAGCGTGAAATGGTGAAAGTAATATGAAAAGAACACATCACCCATCGCAGATCAATTTTTAAGATTGTAGACAAACTGAAGGTCTAAAATTAATCCAAAAGGAGAGCTCCGCTTGGACACGTCCTAGCTGTGCTGCGACAAGCAGTGATGTGAAGATGACCTTAGGTGTCATCAAGGTCACAGGACAGCGACGGAAGGCCACTGATTGGGACTTGAGAACAACAACTTTATTTCTTCACCCAGGACCTTCGCAACGCTGTCCTTCTAGTTGTCGTAAGTAAGCAGTGAATGCATTAAGGAGTAATGCAGGATAAGTAAAAAATATACCATTCTATGTTAATTGTAGACACAAACATATGAAGAGTATATATCTCTTCCATGGTTATCTAAAACATATAGATTGCGATGTAGTGAGTGAGTGAGTGAGTATGGTTTTATGCCACTTTTAGCAATATTCCAGCAACATCATGGCGGGGGACACCAGAAATGGGCTTCACATATTTTACCCGGTCTTCGGTGTGACGAGCAAACACTATAACCACCAGGCTACCCCACCCCACCACCCCGATTGCAATGTAGAGTGCCTGATGTGAGCACATGATGTAACAGAACTTCAGTATTGACAGTAATAACGAACTGCTTTAAGATACAGATTCTGTGTAACAAATAAACTGCAATAGTGAACTGATTTTTCACTCAAACAGACCTAAAAATCAAACATTTTCTTTACAAAATATCTCTTATATTGGTTATCCTGTAGGTAAAAAGTGGACCTTACATTACCTAATGAGATTGGTTTGGTTTGTTGTTTTACGCCGCACTCAGCAATATTCCAGCTTTATGACGGCGGTCTGTAAATAATCGAGTCTGGACCAGACAATCCAGTGATTGACATCGTGAGCATTGATCTACACAATTGGGATCGATTGACATGCATCAACCAAGTCAGCGAGTCTGACCAACAGGTCTCGTTAGTCGCCTTTTACAGAAAGCATGGGTTGCTGAAGGCCTATTCTACCCCGGATCTTCACGAGTGTACCTAATCAGAGATAGACACTATTGGACATATGTAAATAGACCATGGGTCATTTCAGACTAGAAGGCATTGTAACATGACTTGATTTGGGGTGTAAACTAGTCCCCCTAAATTTTCACCAGTCCTAGACTAACAAACTGGTGGTCGTGTCTATCCCTGTTTTTACTACCCCTCAACTCATGTCACCCACCCATTGCTGCTTCTTTAGTGAGCTGTTGGTGCACGGTGGAACACTCTCGGATGCCCTGCTGAAGATCACTGACGGACGGCATCTCCTTCGAATCAAACAACATCTGGCACATGTTCTGCGTGGCGGTGGTGCATGGCCTCATGGTTTCAGTGCGGCCATGCTTGAAGGCTGCAGTGCTACAGGACTCGTAGGTACCGACGGTGCTGCCATTCTGTCTGTAGTACGCCAGCTGAAGAAGAGATTGTAATGTTTCATTGTGGTGAGGTGAGGTGACATTGAGTTTAATGCCGTATCCAAGATTATTGCACTTATATAGCGACACGTGTGTGTGTGTGTGTGTGTGTGTTTGTGTTTGTGTGTGTTTGTGTGTGTTTGTGTGTGTGTGTGTTTGTGTGTGTGTGTGTGCTTGTACTAGTTCGGACTGATGCCGATTTATAGTGCTAGCCCACTGAGATACCATGCCCCAGTTTAACATGAATACCCCACTCAGACATAGTATACTGACTCCGAGCCGACCAGTTTTAGACCCTTAATGCCGAGTGCCAGAAAGGGAAACAACAAGTACTATCTTTTAATGTCTTTTGGTATGACGTGGCCGGGGATCGAACCTTGGACCTTCCGCTCTCCGGGCGGACGCTCTACCACTAGACCACAGAGGTCGTCTTCTTTCATTGTGGTCTTAAATATGTCATGAATGAGAGCGGTGAAATATGGACCTACATTTTATGTAACGGTACATGTATTATGAAACACGAGACATGTCCTTCCCTGTCGACAAGCTGTAATTTGATTTAATGTGACATCACATCTGGTCAAGTGACTACGGCAATGGTCCTACAAAAAGAAGACGTGAGATGGAAACAGCTTTTTCTTTTTTCACCCAGGACCATCTGCAGGCGGTGTCTCTTTTGTCCCAAGGTAAGCAGTAAATGCATTAAGGAGCAATGCAGGATAAGTAAAAAATCATTATTTTTGTGAATCATGCTGTGTGTGGAGCAGGTATTTTCCTATCACAGAGATGTAATATACTATTTAAACATAGATGTATAGTCTGGAAGGTAATTTAAGGTACCTGTGGCCCTGTGACTGGAGTAGGTCCGATAGTTTTTCAGATATTGTAGTAAACGTCGGTACCTTAAATTACCTTCCAGACTTTACACAGACAAGAACAGACAGTTGGTTCACACACGACGACTTTTGAAAGACCAAACAATCCAGTGATCAATATTCAGCGAGATGTACTATCAACCATGTTGCAGAGTCTGGCAACCTGATCCATTTGGTAGCTTATTATGACCAACATGGGTTCCAGGGGATCAATTCTAACCTGGAATCCCCTCGGGGGACATGCCTTGGCAGATTATCTCCCTTTACCTGTATTGCTAGCTGCATGATGGCATCAGGGCTAACTTTGTGCTGCTTGGCAAACGTCTTGTTGTATCTCCTGTACTCAAGGTGGTGGAGGTCAAGGGAGCTGGTTCTCTTGTCGAACTTCTCTTTTGCGTCTTTAATGGCCTGCTTTATGCCAGCGTCAAGCTTGAAATCTGCACAACAAACAACCATACAACAACCACATTTCCTCTGAAACATTTCTATTCCAGCATAATTCTTGTATATATTTTCATCCATGTTCTATTTCATGAAAAGACAATTACTTAAACGGTTCTTTCATGGTTCATGACAACATGGGTTATTCATTCCAACAACCCAGGCAAATCTTCTAAAACAGAATAAATAATTTGGTACCATTTTCAAACGATCAAATCCTTCTGGTTAACAATCTTGTTTTTGTCCCATAAAGCCTTCTTAATGTTATGGCTATCATATGCCTATTTTAAAGAATATGAGTTCTGATCATGTTAGCACTAAGATTGCTGTATGGAATGGCCCTGGGACCCGTTCCACAAAGTGATCTTAGCGCTATGACTGTCGTAAGTTAGTGTTAAAGAATGGGAGTTACGACCGACTTAGCGCTAAGATCGCTTTGTGGAACGGGGCCCTGGGCATTTAAGATTTGTCCTCAGACCTCAACCTAAACATACCCAGCTTCTTCACGTCACTGCTGGAGTCTATGTTAGCTGGCTTTGTGTCAGGACCGACTTGGGCTTTCTCCGTGGTATCCTTGAACACCTCCTTGAAGTAGCGCAGAACTGCCACCCCATCACCCCACGCATGCTCGAAGTTGACGGCCGCTGTGCCCGCAGAGTTGAGTATAAGTTGGAAGCTCTTGTCAAACCATCTATAAAAACAAGAAGTAATATCAGTTGTACAGTCAGTGATTCTAATATCTAGGTCACGTTAGAATATAGTAATCCTTTGACCGTGATTTTACAATTTACCATCATTTCTCGTATTTAGTCCTGAAACAATTTCAACTCATATTCACAAATTGGTCAGCTGACTGTGAGTGAGTGAGTGAGTGAGTATGGTTTTACGCCACTTTTAGCAATATTCCAGCAATATCACGGCGGGGGACACCAGAAATGGGCTTCACACATTGTACCCATGTCGGGAATCGAACCCAGGTTTTCGGCATGACGATTGAACGCTTTAACCACTAGGCTACCCGACCACCCCCTCAGCTGACTTTTATGAATACTGTTTATTCATCTGTTTAATGCAACACTCAGACACATTCGAGCACCCTGAATCTGGCCACTCAATCCATTAAGTTTCCTCTGATGACCAGTATAGTTGGCTGGGGACCAATTTCCTTTACCCCAGAATGTTCACAGGGGCCAACCCTGATGTAAGATATGTCATGGCACCTGGTGTTAAATCCAGTACCTCACCCCTGATTATTCCGGGTTAGAATTGGTCTTCAGCAACCCATGCTTGTTGTTAGAGGCGACTAACTGGATCGGGTGGTCAGGCTTGCTGACCTGGATGATGCATGTCATTGTATCCCGATTGCATAGATCGATGCTCATGATGTCTGGTCCAGACTCCATTATTTACAGACCCCCGTCATATAGCTGGAATATTGCTGAGGGCAGCGTTAATCAACAAACAAACACTGTTCACAGTATGCATGAGGATGCTCAAGTGCTGGATCGAGTGATTATATGCTTTGATTACACCTGAAGTACCTGTTGATTCCATCTCCGTGTAGGAAGAGGCGGGACACGCCATCAGGATCTTGTGGTGCTTCCTCGTCCAGCACCAGGGCAAATATAGCACTGTCCAGATGCCTCAGCGTGGCCTCGTTGCCTGAGTAAAGCAGGCATGATATTATCACAGTGCTCAAAATCAAGCATGAACATCAAGGGAGTCCTTGCCATAACCCTGAGCAATGATAACTGCTGACTTATTAACTTAAGCATACAGCCCAACATCAACATCCATTTACAACATAAAGGGAGATTACTCTCAGAAAGTATATGGAAAAAGCAATGAAATGAGAGATATTTTGAGTGACAGATTTATGAAATATTATGGTAACATAAGTGATATATCTATTGCTTGAAATATCAGTTTGATAAAAAGACAAGTGAGTGAATGTTGTTTTCAGCCGATGTCAGGAAGATTATAGCTATGAGCTGGGATTTTATTTTCTAGAACAGAAAATCTTTTACAAATAATTCAGGCCCATGTGCCCAGAATGTCAAATGATCAGGGTCCTTAAATCATTTTCTACATACCAGCATCTACCAGCTGCGACCTGACAGCGGTCCACACATCTCGGTTCTCGCTGGTCAGTACCCCCAGTGGGAACTCAGGCTGGGGGGAGGGCTCGTCTAAGATGTACTTCAAATTGGCCATGATCTCAACGGCAGGTCGAATGTTGCCTGCAACAGACAGTTCATCTGTGCAGCCAAGGACCATAACATATATCTTAAAGTAATAATAATATGTAATATGGCCCCTATTCAGCGCTATCCTCCACACTTCAGTGTGCTGAAACGGCTCACAAAGGTTCATATTAATAATTAAAAGTCAATGGAACAGGTATGTCTTTAGACGTTTCAGGAACTGATTGAGTGGAGAATGTTATCTAAAATCTTCACGAAGTAAAGTCCAGTCACCCGCTGCATTATAGGCGAGAGACCTCGCTCTCAGTGTACAGAGCTGCACCTTAGGGACATCAAACAACATCTGATGTGTGTAGGGTCTTGAATGACTTACTCTTGTCACTATATCACAGACACCCAGGGCTGTGGCATACAGAAGCTGTAGTATCAGTGAAGACAGGGTTGACTTCATCTTCCCGTGGCAAGGGAGTCAACTGACCATGAAAGTCCAGTTTCCACACTTGCCGAACTAGGTTGGTATTATGGAGTTATATCTTGGCTGGACTAACAAGTCTATGCATAGTCCAATCAAAATCGCACAACTAAATCGAAATCTGGTTCGTAAACTGTCGTGCAGATTTCGGACGATTGCAGGATTTGCAAAGCATGTGCACCACCAACTCATTGTCAACAGATATTTTCCAAATATTCATGTTTTTAATCAAGGTGCTCACATGATTTGATGTACTTCACAGTGTAAGACCCGTTTAATCACAATTTAGATTGTTATTATCGATCAGATTGACTTGGCACCGCCATTTTGTTTGAGGCAAATGCAAGTGATATGAGAGGTGGAATCAGATTGGTCCATTGGAGAGACTTAGAAGGGACATAACTCGTAATAGCCACTGGTGGCGTTACATTTGAACCCAGGAATTCCAGCCTAGTTCGGCAAGGGTGGAAACCGGACTTTTAAAGTCAGTTAACTCTCTTGCCTTGGGAAGAAGGTTTCAGGGACTTATGAATGTCACTTCTTTATTCTTTCAATGCGACATTGTGATACAAATGCTGATACTTTTATTAATCAAGAACTCATCACCTGATTTGATAAAGGAACTAGCATCTGTACCAAAATGATGTACGTAAAGAATAAAGAAGTTGAAATTCACAAGTCTAATCTGTATTCGCTGACCATTATGGTGTCCACGTGGAACTACATGGTAATGTACAAATTTATACTTCTTCTTCTTCTGAGATGTGTTTAATGCCGAATTGAACAGTAGTCCAGTTATGACGGCGTGAGTGAGAGTGAGTGAGAGTGAGTGAGTTATATCAGGGCGTGTCAGCTTAATGTGGGAGGAAAGTGATGCAGATCTCAGACGTTTACCACCTTGGTGAAACCCACAAGCTTGTGTATGGTGCTGACAAACTTAGAAACATCATTGGGGCAAACTGGGATTTGAATCCACAATCTTAGGTTTCTGGTGTGCCAAAGGGATGCAACTCTGCACAGCAATTGTGCCTTTGACGACTGGGCCACCCGTTCCACCAATTAGAATGTAATGGTCATGAGTTGATACACTCTATCCTGAAGCAACTGACACAATTCTGATCTCAAACACAAACTCTTTAACCAGTTACTGATTTAATAACATAAATAAGTAGGTAAACATCTTGCATTTTTAAACTTGTTGGTCTCACCTAGACATTTTATCATGACAAGCCCCAATAATCAGCCTGCCATATTTGCTTGATTACATGCCCGGGTGCACATTTATTTCAGGCACCCTCTATCATCGGTGTTTATTCCAGCCCGAGGGTTTAATCGAGGAAATACGGTATCTGACCTAATCTCAGCTATTACAGTGTGGCTTTGAATCTGATTCTGGCGGAGTATGTAAACAAAACTTTCTGTGTAAAGTGTTAACTTGATCAGCCTTGAAACCTACCATCTTGATCCAGGACATCAAATGTGTAGAAGTTGCCCCTTCTTAACACTAGCAGGTGTCTGGCATTGTTATCAGTAAACAGCTCGTCTCTCTCAGGTCTATAAAGTGAGAGCATAAACATCAGAGTGTGGTATAGGGGATCAAACTATATCGAAAATCTTTTCAAATGACCAATTCCTATTCAACAGAAAATACACTGATTTGATCTCACTGTGCATTGGATTGTACAAATTTCACCAAAAGTGCTCATAATTGAAGCTTGGTCACAAAATATAAAAAAAGTCTACCGAACACAGGGCAGGTGTGGGTTATACTGTAATTAAACATTTTTTGCATGCAAAACAATAAAAACTGTATGTTCTGAAGAGGAGAGGTGAAATGGGGTCTAAAATCACGTTCAAGACGTCACTTGTTTTGTGACGTGCATGCTAATGGTAGTGGCTGCTTGTCCTAGTCATGACTTACGCTGGTTTTATAGTGCTAGCCCACTGAGATACAATGCCACAGTTTAACATGGATACCCCACTCAGACACAGCATACTGACTACAACCCAGCCATTCCTTGTTTTAAAGCCGAGTGAGGGCAGGGCAACAGGCAGGCATTTCATTCTCAGCTCCCTGGGGAGTACACACCCCAAGCTTCATTATGAGGTTCTAAATGGTTAACAGTCACATTGCCACTTCAACCAATCAGGTACCCATTCGCTGCCGGGTGAACAGAAGCATATTTCAAACAAAGTCACTTGCCTAAGGAGTCACTACACGTAAAGGTGTTTCAGAGTGAGGCAGTAACCGAAGCCCTAGAAACTCTCAGGAGTCAAGCTGCCGAACACGATCACCCATCTACCTTTTTCTTTGATCAACATTCACAACAGGTCCTGTCAGTGTCCCCTGTCAGCTATTGTCAACCACTGATGACACTTACCTGGGAATCCTGGTGGAGTTGAACAGTCGGCCATACTGACTCATATCCAGGGGGAAGGCCTTGTACCAGTAAGCCCCATACGATGCAACAGACTGAGGCAGAAGCCTGAAAGAAAAACACCATAGTACCTGTAGTGTCTCTACCGCTGAACAGTCATAGCTGATATATAGTCTTGGGTAGTGATGGGTACCACGAAAAATACAGTACCATGGTATACCGCGGTATCTGCTCAAATACCACGGTACATACCATGGTATTTGAACACACAGAGAAAAGCCTTCATTTACACCATTTATACCGTCTATTTTGAGTTTTTTCAGGCCCAAATACTTCCATACCAAAGCTTTGGCCCTCACGCTTTTCACGGCCACGAAGTCCGCCATTTTGTTACCAAGCAGACATGCAGTTCACTCTCGAGACGGGAATTGCACGGGAAATTCAAATAAAACATAACTTTCTATGGAAATTTATTAAAAATCTGATGTCCTTTACAATATATTAGTTGTTTGTAACACACGTACATGAAAAATATTACTTGAACTATGAAGAAACGTAATATTCATCATCGGAAATTTTCGTAGCCTACACGGACTCTGGAATGTGCCGAAGTACGGTATAGTAAGGAAGTTTACCAGTACAACTGGGTATCTAACACTACCTTACACTCTGGGTCTCCACTGCTAAAGCTATCAGGATATAGGACTTTATCTTTCCTTATTAGTGTAGCAGGGCGTGGAGTCATCCCACAGATGACATCCTTACCTTGTCAGCTTGCTGACGGGGTTAACCTCTTTGGTCATGTTCCTTATTAGTGTAGCAGGGCGTGGAGTCATCCCACAGATGACATCCTTACCTTGTCAGCTTGCTGACGGGGTTAACCTCTTTGGTCATGTTCCTTATTAGTGTAGCAGGGCGTGGAGTCATCCCACAGATGACATCCTTACCTTGTCAGCTTGCTGACGGGGTTAACCTCTTTGGTCATGTTCCTTATTAGTGTAGCAGGGCGTGGAGTCATCCCACAGATGACATCCTTACCTTGTCAGCTTGCTGACGGGGTTAACCTCTTTGGTCATGTGGACAAGGTGTCCGACCTCGGATCAGAAGGTCCGTGGTTCGAATCCCATCACGGGACTCGGAAATTTTATGGCCACTACATTAGCATAAGTTTGACTTGTGACCTGTGTCTTACCTGGTAAACTTTCTGAACTGTGGGGTGTCACTTTTAGCTGCATTTAAATGAAAGACTTCCGGCTCCAAAACTTCTGCTTTTAAAGTTTTCATGAACCGAGCTGATGATGCTATCATGTTTGTTGCTCTCACAAGCTACAAAAGAAAATGTCGTCTCATAATGTCAGTGTGTAGCGAGTAGGGCTGTTACGATTCACTCGGGTATTCGGTGAATCGAACCGTATCCATTCATGAATTGAATTCATTATTCGTGGTCAATAGAATCGACTATTAATGAATATGCAGTCATGTGCATTCACATACCCTGACCCTTAAAATATCCATAAGAACACATTATATGCATAGATTTCTTCAAAGACAACACTCTTTAATATTTCATTTGTCAGTATTGTGGTCACTGGTCATTGTCACATCTGAACAGATACTAGTACCTCGATAAGTGCAGTATATAAATGTATAATATATTAATAATTAACAAACCATGTCAAATAATTAATGTTGTTATTGTTTCACTGAATATAAGAAAAAATACATCAACTGCTGACTTGTTATTGTATTCGTTAATATATATTCGTATTCGTTACCCTAGATTCATGATACGAATCGTATTCACCTCATAGTGTATTCGTTGCAGCCCTAGTAGTGAGAACATCTGACTGAATAATATGCTTCATACTGTGTTCTAGGTGTAGTGATCTAAATGTTTGCTTTTAGGAAACAGGGCTGTACACATTGCCTGGCTATTTCAAGGGAGATAATGCTACATGGTCAGGTGTCCATTTTTTGGCCAGGTGAAGACATTGTAACTGAAACCATGTCTGAAACTTAGACATTGTGTCTGTGCAGTTAGAATAACCATAAACTGTAACCTTGACATACATATTAAAATTTGACCTAGGAGACCCAAAAACTGTTATATAAGGGACATGAACCAAATCTGCTAGGACTGTCAATAAGCCGAGTGTAGTCCCCTTGTAAGTGTTTTCATAGCTACCTCCACTTGGTGCGTTACTTGTTGTAAACTGCATCACAGATTCACTTACTGGTGTGTGTGTGTGAGTTGGGTTTCACCCCGCTTTTAACAGTATTCCAGTTACATCGCAGCATGTCAGCTTAACGTGGGAGGAAAGCCCGAAGTGATGCATGTCTCAGATGTTTACCACTTCGGTGAAACCCATGAGCATGGGTATGGTACTGACAAACTTAGAAACATAATCGGGGCGAACTGGGATTCGAACCCACAATCATAGGTTTCTGGCGTGCTCAAGGGACGCAACTCTGCACCTTAGAAGACTGGGCCATGCTTCAATGGTCAGGATGATAGGCTTGTTATGGTGATCATCAAAGTCAAGCCAGAAAGGTCTATAGCTCACCTGATATTTTTGGGAAAATGTATCAGATAGGAAAGTTTGAATGACACTGCAAGAGGGTAAAGAAGAATATATTCTAAGAAGGGTGCTATTGTTTCTACACAACAGATCATGATCGGAAATATTCCAAAAGTGACCACCCCTACTGAAGTATCAAAATAAAAAATGACCACCCCAAATCAAGTATCAAATTAAAAAGTGACCACTCTTACTAAAGTATCAAATTAGAAAATGACCACCCCCTACTGAAGTATCAAATTAATAAAGTGACCACTCTTACTAAAGTATCAAATTCCAAATGTAACTGCCACTACTGAAGTTTCAAATTCAAAATGATTGAAATTAAAAAGAAGAAGCCCACCCCCACTGAAGTTTCAAATTCATCCCCTATTAAGTTACACAGCTGGTATTGGTTTATTTTGGCCAACTACCACACAGATTCATACATACAGGGTTTTACCTGGTCATTGTACTCTGGCCGTGGATCGTTGTTGAAAACTACAAATGGATTGTGTGTGAGCACTAACGGTGACCTGTCCTTTAAATACATGTCAAACCAGGGACCTGGAAACAAATAATTCAAACAGTTCATCTTAACTTACTCGCACGCCACACGTGACATATACTATTTATGGAGATGCCATGTGTGGGCCATGAGACACATAATCAGTGACCAATCAAGTGTTGAAAAAAATCATGCAGTCTTGAGGTCAATACCAATGAGTTTGTACTTCCAAAGGAGTGAGTGAGTGAGTGAGTGAGTGAGTGAGTGAGTGAGTGAGTGAGTGAGTGAGTGAGTGAGTGAGTGAGTGAGTGAGTGAGTGAGTGAGTGAGTGAGTGAGTGAGTGAGTGAGTTGGGTTTTACGCCACTTTTATCAACATTCCAGCAATACCATGGCAGGGGACACCAGAAATGGGCCTCACACATCCATGTGAGTAATCAAACCTGGTCCTTCGTTGCATTGGCCTGGTTGATGGTTTCGGCCAAGGTGATTTTTTTTGTACCAGAAAAAAATGGAATACGGTAAGCTACAGTAATAACAAACACAAAGGAACCACTCATTTAGTTCATTCTCAACAAAGTTCATCATAAGCATTTAGAGTGTCAGACATCTTGGATCAAGCCGCGTGCCCATGATGATCACATCGTGTTACTCGATAAAAAAAAAGTGAGTGAGTGAGTGAGTTTGGTTTTACGCCGCTTTTAGCAGTATTCCAGCAATATCACGGCAGGGGACACCAGAAATGGGCTTCACACATTGTACCCATGTCGGGAATCGAACCCGGGTCTTCGGCGTGACGAGCGAACGCTTTAACCACTAGGCTACCCGACCGCCCCCGATAAAAAAAAAAGTGTGCACGGTACAAATACAGTATACTGTATTGAGTTTATTCATCTCATAAAATACATAACATAGGTAAATACAGTGAGTGAGTGAGTGAATATGGTTTGATGCCGCTTTTAGCAATATACCAGCAATATCACGGCGGGGACACCAGAAATGGTCTTCACACATTGTACCCATGTCGGGAATGGAACCCGGGTCTTCAGCGTGACGAGCGAACACTTTAACCACTAGGCTACCCGACCGCCCCTAGGTAAATACATGTTATAAACATATAATTGATATAGTCACAGTGACACAAGATTCGGTTGCTGTTAGTCAAGAGAGCTGGGACTTTGCTTTGAACATTGGTTGAAAGACAGATCTGGTCAAGTGTTGTCACATTGTTTCACACAGTTTTGATTGTTACTTTTGACAATTGAGGGTGTTAACGAGGACAATTGTCAGTACATAATCCAGTTAATCACTTGCCTTCAATTATTCATTGCCACTTTGAACAGCCACACTTGGCCACGGATGTTTGGACAGGCTAATTGGTGACACGTATTTTTTTTTTGTTTAACGCCGCACTCAGCAATATTTCAGCTATATGACGGTGGTCTGTAAATAATCGAGTCTGGAACAGACAATCCAGTGATTGACATCATGAGCATCGATCCACGCAATTTGGATCGATGACATGCATCAACCAAGTCAGCGAGCTGACAACCCGATCCCGTAAGTCGCCTCTTACGACAAGCATAGTCGCCTTTTATGGCAAGCACGGGTTACTGAAGACCTATTCTACCCCGGATCTTCACAGGTCTTGTGACACGTGAGCAGCTCAGAGATTAACAGCCCGTTATAAACATAAACATTTTGTTGACAGAGTATGCACAGGACCACAAAGTGAGTTTGCTATGTCTGTTATTTCATTATTAGCGTGTTCCTTATATCCATTGTTTGATAGGCATTACTTAGAAGTTGACGGATGACAAGATAGACACAATTTTTATGGATAACAACTTCTTTAATACTGTAAAAGGCGACGTTTCGGTATAGATCCTTATACCGTTGTCAAGCAAGACTGAATGAGGGACATAGTGCAGAATATATATAGCAAGTGGCTTCTAGCCATGTGTTTTCTGCCCATCGTGTTGTGATAGCATAATCCCTTTGTTGTCACACCTACCTATGTTATCCCACTCATGTATGCCCTTGTTGTTACTATTAATCCTCTACTGTTAATCCTCCACTTGCTATATATATTCTGCACTATGTCCCTCATTCAGTCTTGCTTGACAACAGTATAAGGATCTATACCGAAACGTCGCCTTTTACAGTATTAAAGAAGTTGTTATCCATAAAAATTGTGTCTATCTTCCTTATATCCATCAATCTTATATGACAAGTATATGTAGTTTACTGTAATGCTGAATGAGGCATATATAAATAAAAAATCTTTGTCGGACAGACCAATCCTTTGAGTTCCTACCTGATATATAACTTGTATGTTTATTGCTCTTGTCATTGGCGACCAATTCCTGGTGGAGTTCTGAAACAAAACAACTATAATAAGTGAGGTGAGGTGAAACAGTCTGTAAATTTAGCCACTAGTCCGAAGCTTGAGCTCTGTTTGGTCTTGTAATCTCAGCTGTAATAGTCCTTATCATACCTCGAAGTCAGAATGATGAAATCTGATTGGTTCACGTGATCTTGATAAAATACTATGTATCCCACATAGGAGTGAAATATAGTTTTTCTGAGCAGGAGAATTACCGGTAATTCCTTTTACCCATGCAGCCATGAAGAAGACATGGATTTCTGAGCGGGAGAATAAATCCCTTATACTCAGCTTCAAAGCTAAAGGCTGCACTCTTTTTCCGAGCCAGTGTATGTCACATGACATAGTACAAGTTAACAGTAGATCAATAGGACAGCAGTTTCCTATCAATTTTGAATTTGTTGTAAGTCCATTACAATGGCAGATTGAAACATGTCAGTAACATAAATTTGTCAGTCCTTGTTTTATCACCTTAATGTCGAGCGCCAGACAGTGTAACAACAAGTACCATCTTTTAACGTCTTTTGGTATGACGCGGCTTGGGTACGAACCCTCGGCCTTCCGCTCTTCGGGCGGACGCTCTACCACTAGACCACAGTGAGTTTGTATACAATAATGCTGATGTTGTTTTGTCTTTAGGTATGACACAGCCAGGCGTTGAACCACAGACTCTCCGCTCTCCAGGCAGGTAGGTATCCACTATACCACGAAGACGGTCACCTTCAGAGGTGGTGAGGTGAGATGAAATGGGGCGTAACGTCGCGTTCAAGATTATTGCACTTATATAGCAACGTGCATGCACATGTTTTGAGTGTGTGGCTGCTTGTAAAAGTCCGATTTATAGTGCTAGCCCACTGAGATACCATGCCGTAGTATAACATGAATACCCCACTCAGACACAGTATACTGACTCCAGGCCAACCAGTCCTTGTTTAAGCCCTTTAATGCCAAGCGCCAGACTGGGTAACAACAAGTACCATCTTTTAACGTCTTTTGTTAAGACGCGGCCGGGGATCGAACCCCGGACCTTCCCCTCTCCGGGTGGACGCTCTGCTATTAGCACTAGACCACGGAGGCGATCAGTCTCCTTTAGAGAGTAGCAGGTATGTGTAAGTAGTGCGTAGCATTAGGTACAAAGTCTCCTTAAGATGCAGTGAGACTGAAGTAGGGAAAAGAAGGAATGGCTATAATAGCAGTCAATAAATAAATCCATTTAAGTCACCAGGATGTCATGGAATAGGTTGTCACAGTTTCGTTTAGTTGCCTCCTTTCACACTTACCTTGCCCTTCATTTTGAAGAAAGCTTTGCACCGTTGTTTCAGTCTGAGAATATTCTCCTGGTGACAAGAGAGGTTTCTGAGCTTTCAGATACCTCTCACAAGTTTTTTCCAACTTTGGGATCCCCAACCGTAACAAACTCTTCTGAAAGTGGTATGTTGGTAAGACACTTCTATGAAGGTACTCTTTTTCATCAGGAGCAGTGCTGTAAGGGTTTAGTATATGGAATTACATTTGTGTTTGTTGGTTGTTTAACGCTGCACACAGCAATATTTCAGCTATATCATGACAGCGGTCTGTAAATACTGTAAATCGCAAAATTACTGCGTCTCCAAAATAATGCGACCACTGGCCCCTAGCCCAAAATGCGACTCAATATTCATGCATCCACCCCCTCCTCTCAAGCATCAGTGGATTTACATCTAAAGAAAATGTCCTCTGTCAGGTTTACGGGAGAATCCTCACCTTAATCCAACCTTACATTAATCCAATCACACACCAAATACCACCACTTATTAGCGCTGAGTAGAGTACTTCCGCTAAAACAATACATCCACGCTGGCTCTTGTTGGCCTTTGACACAGTCACAAAAAACAAAGACACCATGTTGCGTGGGTGGCGTCTGTCTGGACTTGCAGGTGTGATCAGTGATGACATAAGTGCGTAGAATCTTGTCTTGAGCCCAGCAGTGACAATTCACAGGATGGAATTAGTGTTTGAATGACATTGTTTATATACTTGTTACAAGTGCTTCTCAATAAACATTGATGTGGAATACATAGTTGTTTGTTTTCATCATATGTCAAAGTTGGTATTTCTGCTATCCAAAATGTCTTTTTGTTGATATAAATGTGATGTTTAATAATGGGAGCAAGGACCTCTCACATTTTTCGCATTTAATTCACGCTCGCGTTAATTTCAAGATGTACAGTAATCAAATCTGGACCAGACAATCCAGTGAAGGACATCATGAGCATCTATATACAAGCAGTTGGGACACGATGACATGCATCAACAAAATCAGCTCGCCACCCAATAGTCTCTTACGACAAGCATGGGTTGCTGAAGACCAGTCCTAACCAGGAATCCTTACTGGACTAATAAATTATAAAGTATCATGATTGCACATAACTTTTCATGGTGATGGGACAAGGAATTAATCATAGACAAAGGTAATTTTTATGTGAAAATGATTGAGCAGAATGACATTGTTTCATGCTTACCTGTATAACTTCTTTGTGCCCACAGAACTTATTTTCAGAGACTGAAAAGACAAGAAATATGAACATTAAAATGGATAACAGCCAGTTCACTTGTTTGTCTGTTGTTGAGTGCCAGACAGTCAACAAAGGCATTGAGTCCAATCCACATAGTCGCCTTGTAGGACAGACAGACAGTCAACAAAGTCAGTGAGTCCAATCCACATAGTCGCCTTGTAGGACAGACAGACAGTGAACAAAGTCAGTGAGTCCAATCCACACAGTCGCCTTGTAGGACAGACAGACAGACTGAGCAATCAGAATATATATCTTGAGAGCCAAATGGGCTATAAGTGATAATTCTTGGTGTCATGCACTGTTGACTGGATCTAATCTGAGTGAGTGAGAGATCTAGCCTATCGCCACAGACAGCATCTTTACCATGTTTACAACTCTAACTTCTATTTGCCACGTTTGCACCTTTTGTGAGATGTGGCTAGCAATAATTGTTTGCCTTTTATCTTTTTTTATATTTGCAGTTTGTTCGTAACTCTTTGTTGTTGTCATTGAAAATATACCATACAATACAAATATAATTTTGCAACTACAAACAGCTGTTTAATGCAAACTATTTTCGGTCAAGTTGCAATATATTTGGTTGTTCTACATACATACGTACCTACCTACCTACCTACTTAAAGTTACATACATAAAGTTACATGCACAAAGTGATCATGTCACATATACTGTCTTCTGCCAGGCTGACAGAAGAGCAACAGTAGGACAAACCCATGAAATGAAAAAGGATGGTATTAGAAAACTGTCATCTGCTACTAATGTATGCTTATGACATTTGACATGCAGCAAGTATGTGGTGTGTCAAATAACGCATGATGCAATTTTTAGCATATTTTGATGCCAGCTGTGGTGCTTCTAAAACTACACACAGAATTTCATTCTGACTATATGTCCACAGTTCTTAAATCACGCATGAAATAATTTCAGGGCGTTACAACAGATGCCCGATTCAATTCTCAAACCAAATAACAATTAAAAGTTACAAAGGAGCTCTGCACAGGGAAGCTGACAATGCAAGTGCTGTGCAGAGTAAACTGGCTTCGGCCATGTTTTTTATTAGGTACAAATTGAAGAAACAGCTTGTGTGGTTTTTTTAATGGGTAACTTACAAAATACTAATTGCCAGTTTGTTTAGATTAGAAGCTGGTGTTTATCAAATCCTAAATTACCACATACATTTGCCTCCGTCGTATGAAGCTAATCACTCTCCTACCCGAGTTCTGTGAGGCCAGTCGAGTACCTCTGTCATTTTGGATGAATCTACACAATCTACAGAAAAGTGGGCACGGGTGGCCCAGTCGTCTAAGGCACCCGCGATTCACTGTGCAGAGTTGCGTCCCTTGGGCACGCCAGAAACCTATGATTGTGGGTTCGAATCCCAGTTTGCCCCTATTATGTTTCTAGGTTTGTTAACACCATACCCGTGCTCGTGGGTTTCACTGAAGTGACCATCTCCGGATGATCTACTGTGCATGCCCTAACAACATATGACTACTCAACAAGACCGGGTCATCAGCTTTTGTTTACAAGCAATGCTTCAGAAAGGTCAATATCCTGTCGCTTTAATGTTTGTCAATAGTTTAGGTGAGCTACAGAGCCCTATGGCTCTCATTTTTATGACATGTTGCAATCATGAAAACACTTTGTTCTCGTATGCGGATAAACATGATAAACGTACAAATACCAACACAAGAATAAATATATGAATCAGTAAATGTTGTCATGTATCATTTGCTGAAGAAAGCGTTACTGGCAAGTGCAAAGTATTGCAGAGGACTAATTATCGCCAATCGCCAATTCCCCGTTGTAGAGTGCATGTGATCCTATTTCATTTTACTTTTGCTCGTTTTCATCAGAAGAGAGAAATATTTATCCGAAAAGGATGAACAAAGCGGTCTCTTGTGAAGAAATATTAAAAAGAAACCACCATAATCACATCGCTCAAATTAAACTTCAGAATAGACATGCAGCGATGTCCCGTGACTAATTCACGTGAAAATATAAATCAAACAACACGATGATTCACTTTCGGTTGTCATTGCTTTCTATCTATCTGTCATTTATTCCTCAAAATACAATTCTGAAACCTATTTGAGCTATATTTCCAAAAATGCATAGCCGGAAAATATCGCAAAATCCATAGTACATAGTGTTAAGGATAAACATATGTAAAATAAATTTTGGAATACCGTATTCGACATAATAAGCGCCCCGCTCTAATAAGCGATATTTGCTAATATATTGGCTAGTGAACAATCCCAATTAGCACCCCTTCCGATTGATCAATGTACACAAGACTTATTTATTCGTGTATAATACGTACTCATGTGTTACATGCACCCTTAATTATGAGCAATTAAATTCTGGAAAAATATATCTGTCATATATAAACATTTCAGGTTGTCAGCATAAACCACAAAATTTACGATCTTACAACTCTGTCTTTTTCACCAAAATAATATTCTAATAAAAGCCCCCTATTTCTAATTTTGAGAGCGCCCTGAGGGCTTATTACGTAGCATACAGTATTGTTTTTTGTCTGCTTGCAGACAACAAATTAATAAAAGCATTTCATATTCATTTTGACCAATAATAAAAATGGAGTGCGATACCGGAGATACTAAAAAATGTAATTTGTATAACTGAAGCGGTGCATGTGCTGTTAACATGATGGCGATATGTGGTACAGTGAGTCGATGGGAAAGTTCTATTTCCACTGTTTTGATTCCTTATCATAGCGTTATAACAGAAATCAACTGAATCTTATTCAGTGCATTTGCTCATTGTTCCATAAAAATTAAAGTTATTGTAACAGTCAACTTTGCACACAGAATATGTCAGAAATAATATGAAAAAAACCCAATAATTGCTCGGTGACCAGTATTCATTTTGATTTCAGAAAGACTTTCACCCGTATCCCCCCTCCAAAAGTTAGATATGTATGAATTGCTCCTCAGTCCTTTTAATCATATATTATTTAGGGAGGGATACGGGCTGAAGTCTTACCTTGACTTCAAACAAAACAAAAATACAAGTAAATGTGAACAGAATAGTTCTTCATATAACTTTCATCCCTGTACATCACGAAGGGAGAGTGTCCAAATAGGAACAGTATTCACAAGCAACTATTTTTGTGTCATCTGCTTAACTAACAGCGAGTCTTTCATCTAGGAATTCACATTAAATTGGTTTTAATAGAAACAAATCGTTCAAGTAGATATCTACATAAATATCAAATGTAATGTTTTAAACCATTTGTTTAAGTTGGTCGTGCGAGTAAAGGTTCTTAAATGCGAACAAAAGGAGAACACACGGATACACAAAATAATTAAGGCATAATGAAAATACTGTAATTGCTTGTATGTGATAGCAACTCCGTGACCAAAAGACCACAACAGCTGTACTTTCCTCTGATCTGTACAAAAATGAATCGTTTTCTCTGGCTTACCTTTTCATAAGTTGCAGCTTTTTTCAAAGATTGTCCACACTGACCATTTAACGGTCTTGTAGCAATTGTCCTCAGCATGTTGAAATTCGAAGCTGTCGAAAGTCAGGTCTATTTTTTTCATGGAATGATGATGTCCTGAGCACACAAATGAACTTTGGACTACCTGCTGAACAAGCAGTCACTAGCAGACAACCGGCAGGTGCTCTACTACAGTAATCTACCGCTAGGTGGCGCTTGACAGTCCTCAAATTGAATGTTGGGTAAATCCGAAACTTGAAGCAACTTTGTATAACAGTATTATAAACCTAAGAGTAATAATTCCGTTTTATTACACTAACATACGCTCCACGTAATATTATGAATATGAATTGAGCCTTTTTATCGTTACTGACGGCATCAGCGCACTTTGTTTAGAAACCCGTTCCATATGTGTTTTCCCGTTCGACTTTTATATTCCGTCCCTCCATTCACAAGCGTAAAAGAGTGATAAAGAAGAATGGCTGCCCTGTCTTGCAAACAACGACTTAAGTACTCTGTGGTGAAATGGTCAAGTTATTCCTACAATTATGTCCCAGAGTGCGTTGACATGTCATTTGATTTATTCCCTATATGTAACTGTATTCGCATGCTGTTATCCAAGATAACAAAGTGAACTGAAACTACAATTTATATTCTTTCGGTTGTCTATTTGAGAGAATAAAGGAAAACAACAGCGGTAGAAACTAACAGTTTTAGTCCACTAGCCCTTATAATGATAACATATAGCGGCAAACCCCTTAAAAATGGCAAATTTCTACTAGTCCTTATGACACCTTAACTATTGGGCAGTTTGGCAAGGACTACAAGACTAGTGCCAGTTTCTAATGCTGAAACAATGAATTTAGATTGTTTATTTCTCAGTCATTGGTGCTGGATATTCATTTGTGAATGCCGAATTATCTGCAGCATGTGAACTACATAATACTCTTATCCATACTAAAATGTAAATTATGAATCACTGTTGGCAAGTATGGCTTTTGATCCCCGAATATCCTGATTATTGCGTAGACGAAATTTATCATTGTGAATGTTGACGCTAAAGCAAAGCTGTGAAAATAATTCGACAGCCAAAGTTCTAGTAGGCCTAGAGAGTAGAGATTTCCTTACAATTACAATGGCTGCATTAGAATCAACATTAACCATGCTTATGTGGGTGAAAAGTAGGCAACACTTTTTTTTCCACATACGTGAACTGACAGTCACTGTTCACCTGATCCTCTGTGCTTAGATAGTTTTATAACTGTGAGATGGCTATCTATCATGTCTATTAGTGTGTTGTCTTGGTTCAGCCATTATCATAAGAAGATGAACATAAATAAAATTGCAAGTAGACCATGTTGACAACTTTTTTAATTAGTTAAAAAGTTGTAATTTATCCCTAAAATTCTGCATTTACATGTATTTAACCATGTTAACAAAAACCTTCCATTAGCTATGTATCTGAATAGTCATTCCATGATGTAAATTTTATTTTGAGTTGAAGATCATTACACCTATCTCGATATATGCATGATCTGAAAGTCAAAAGATACAAATATTTGACATCATGCAGAAATCAATTTTATATGAGATAAATGTTTCAAGATACAATGTCTACTGCACACTACACTATTGAATAAGCCACAATCTTCTTGATAAAACTGCAAGTAATCTTTATAAACACTGATTAGTTACTCATTCAGAAATTTTACATGTCAGCCAGTAAAGAAACTAACTGGTAATATGTGAAAGTGTTGACTTAAGGATTTATTATGATATTTATTATTATTAACTTGCCTAACATGATGATCGATTTGTTTTTGAGACTTGCTGACTTAACCATGTTGACCTTTCATGCAGCATTTCATTGTGTGTCCATGACATTTTTTTTGGTCTATAAGGGGGTGCAAGGTAAACTCATTATTTTGGTGACCACGCTTTCTAGGTGCATTCATGTGTGGTTTAGGGATGTCAAAGATAAGAAGCAAATAGCACACTTGTCGTATCAGGCTAAGTTTATTATACGATATTCTAGTGATACACAGAATTCTTAGATTCCTGTAAATTTTACCATTTCAGAAACATATGTCATGACAAACCAGGCGACCAGACTTCAAGATGGTCCTCAGATTCCAACAACCCTCCTCAGGTAATCATCTGCTAGTCTAACATTTAAATACTGGTTTGCATGTGTACCTGATATGGAATACCGTATTTGATGTAATAAGCACCCCGCTCTAATAAGTGCCCACGGCGACATTTGCAAAGATATTGGCTAGTGAACAATCCCAAGTAGCACCCCTTCCGATTGATCAATATACACAAGACTTATTTATTCGCGTATAAAAGCACTCATGTGTTATATTCACCCTTAATTATGGGCATTTAATACTGGAAAAATATATCTGTTGTACATAAACATTTCAGGCTGTCAGCATAAACCACGAAATTTATCTTTCAACTCTGTTTTTTTCTCCAAAATAACATTCTAATAAGAGCCCCCTATTTCTAATTTCGAGAGCGTCCTGGGCGCTTATTACGTCGAATACGGTAGGTCAATTGTTTATTGATAAGGTTCAATTCTGAAACACATAAAAGCTAAAACTATCCGTTGAACTTCTACCGGGGTAAGTAAATATTATGGTAAATGGTAAATATGAGAATGTATCAGACATTAAGTATCTTGTGTTGAACATGCTATCGTAATAAGAATTTGTTGACAATTCATGATGAAATATTCTATGAGATGCAGTTTGTACTCTTTGAGATTATATGTTTTGATAGTTCTGATGTGTAAACAAAGTTTGGTCATAAACAAACGAAACTGATTTTTTGATTGTACTATACCATGTATACTATTCACATCTTCCCGAGGCACAGTTAACACCTTGCCGAACTAAGCTGGAATTTCAAGGCTCGATCATAGCACCACCAGTGGCTGTTACAAGTTATGTCCCTTCTATGTCTCTCCTATTGACCAATCAGATTCCACCTCTCATGCCACTTCCATTTTGTTCAAACAAAATGGTGGTGCCCAGTCAAGACGATCTGATCGATAATCAAGATTTATATTGTAATTAAACGGGTCTTACCTTGTGAAGTGCATTAAATCACTTGGACACCTTGATAAAAAACATGAAAAGATTTGCAGAATATCTTTCGAAGCCCAGTTGGCGGTACACATGCTTTGCAAATCATTCAGTGACCGAAATCTGGACATTAAAATTGATGTTGTTTATGAACCAGATGTTGTTTGTTTGTTAAGCAATTTTGATTTGACCATGCATAGACTTGTTAGTCCAGCCAAACTGTAACTCTGGACTTCCATCCTAGTTCGACAAGGGTGAAAACTGGACTTATATAGTCAGTTAACACCCTTGACTTGTAAAGATATACTACTCAACGTTTAGTAGGGATAATCAGATATGTCATTCTATTTAGATATACACTTGACATATATTATGAGAATCATGTTTGTGTCATGGAAAGTAATTATCCCTATCGAAAGTGGAGAAGTATAATAACAAACAGCAGCCAGACAGAACAAGTTAATGGTTCGTAGTAAAAATAAAAATTAAAGTTAGGGTTAGAGTCAGGATAAGTATAAATGATATTTTTACTCTAAAAATACATTTTCAAGTATTTTGTTGTAGTTTGTATGAAACAAGGTGCTGGTGATTGTATCGTCAGATGATTATTGATTACTTGATGGCCCCATTTGAACTCCGGATTAGAGTAGGCCCCCTGCAATCTATGCTGGTTGGAAAAGGACACTTTGGGGTTATTAATTAACATAAGTCAGCAAGTCTGAGACAAGATAAATTCAGGGAGTAGTAGGCACCTTTTCTTGATGAAAATTCTAAATTTCTAACCCTAGACTTAATAATTGGAGGGATTGTTGCTCATATCCATTGTCTGGTCCAAACTTGCTTACGTATAGGTCACCTTCTTATTGCTGGAAGGCGGTCGGGTAGCCTAGTGGTTAAAGCGTTTGCTCGTCATGCCGAAGACCCGGGTTTGAATCCCGACATGGGTACAATGTGTGAAGCCCATTTCTGGTGTCCCCTGTCCTGATATTGCTGGTATATTGCTAAAACCAAACTCACCCACTCACTCACTCTTATTGCTGGAATATTGGTGAGTGAAGTGTTGAACAACAAAGTTAATGTTTTTGTTCATTAATGTTACAGTATTTGGTGCTCAAACTGGAAAGACCAGCGATTGTGGAAACTGTATCATTTGGCAAATATGAGAAAACTCATGTGTGCAATCTCAAGAAGTTCAAGATCCATGGAGGACTCACTGAAGATCATATGATTGAAATCTTAGACAGGTAAATACTAAAACTGTCTGGTACTGGATTGTGATAACAGTAAACCCTCCTCACCATGTTCACTCAGGGTTATGCCCGTGAAGAACCAGGGTAGAATAGGTCTTCAGCAACCCATGCTTGCCGTAAAAGGTGTCTATGCTTGTCGTAAGAGGCAACTAACAGGATCGGGTGATCTGCCTCGCTGACTTGGTTGATGCATTTCATCGATCCCAATTGCGTGGATCGATGCTCATGATGTCAATCCCTGGATTGTCTGGTCCAGACTTGATTATTTACAGACTGCCGTCATACAGCTGGAATATTGCTGAGAGCAGCGTTAAACAACAAACAAACCAATCACTCTGGTTATAACGAAACTTATTAACCCGGTAAGGCTGTAATGTTAAAACAATGGGGAAATTTGGAAATTTGTATTAGCCCACAGAAATTGGTACTAGTCCTGGGCTAGTGTTAAGTTCTAACCCTGTCACTATGTGAATAAGAGGAGAGTTACAAATACTTAAAGATTGACTTCAGTATTTTTTGTGTTTATGGATGTATAAACATAAAAGAACAAGTTGTCCATACTGTGTATATCCACATAGTATGCTGTGGAAACACTTGTATGATAACACTTGTATGATAATTTTTAATTGCTAAATTATCATTATTTTTACCAAAGAGGAATATTTGTAATAATTATTCTACCTCACACTGTGCATTTCATCCTTCTGTGTGGAAACAATCTTAAAAGACGTTTCCAGCATAGAAAAACACATCACCCAAAACCTTCCATTTGTAAGCATGGCTACCATCACTAACAATGGACTGTGCACGGCCTGATTCCAGCGCAGCTTGATCACGTGAAGCCCCAAGCTTACTTATTCTCATCGCCTTAGTGTGGAGACGTTTTTTATATTTGAAGTGAATTATGTTTTTAATTTTTTTTTTATCTCTGTGGAGTCAGCTGAGTGTGTTATCATGGATAATCAGAAACGCAAAGTGTGTGATAATTGCAGATGGACCTCTCTGTAGATAACCCACACTTAAATTGCTCCAACTGTTGCAGTCGTTGTACTGACTCTAAGAGATGCAGCAAGTGTAAAGATCTACCAAAGGCTGAATTGAGTACATATATGTCCCTTGGGCCCGCCAGACACCTATGATTGTGGGTTCGAATCCCGGTTCTCCACGATTATGTTTCTAGGTTTGTCAACAACATACCCATGTTAGTGGGTTTCACAGTAGTGGTAAATGTCTGAGACCTGCATCACTTCGGGCTTTCCTCCCACATCAAGCTCACATGCCGCGATATAACTGGAATACTGTTTAAAGAGGCATTAAACCCAACTCACTCACTCACTCAGTACATATAAACGCAAGTGTGACAGGCGAGACATCAGCAAATGCTTGAATCAACATCAGTAGAGCATGGTCCAATCAGTAGCAAAGAATTGTAAGACCACACTTAACACAGTTCATTCAACAACCTTAAAATCTACACCCTTGGACCAGTCTTCTATCACGACTGCACTTGCCAAGGCCAAGGTGTTGTGAAGATTCAGAGAGGGTTTCACGGAGGTCGGCTGATATAGTCGGCTGATATAGTTGGCATTCATCACTGTCATCGACGAAAAAAAGATTGACGAAGATACGATCATTTGGATTGGAACTTTACATTCGATGATCGGAGGATGTTTGGCAGGTGTCAGGATTGTTGTACCCCTCAACGATCGTCTGCAGATCGGATAGCCAGGATTGGGGTTGATGTTCTTTTAACAATTGTTTGAACCTTGTCATTTATACGACAGTCAGGATTGAGAGTGGCAACTGCTCCCTCCATCTATGTACCTAGAGTTTTGACAGCCCTGATCATGATAGACGAACACCTTATAGATCCTCATATTTTGATGGTAGACAGTCAATCGGGATCAGGATCGTGCATACTGGAACGATTGCATGGAGCATCACGATCGGAGGGAGCATCATGGGATCACCAAACTCGATCCTGAGAGTCTTCCCAGTCTGACATTCAAGCATTAGTTATAGGCTATGACTACTGCTTTTCATGAGCAGGACTTGCATAAGGACAAGACACTCCTGGCACCAGCTGATTCTATTGAGGTTCGGTCACCTTCACAGAGAACACACTCAGACAGTGTTGAGTCTATACTGGCCACACAACCTTGTGTATTGGAAGACGACACAGTTATGCGACTTCAATGTGGGCAAGATGTTTGTTCCACTAGACAGGTGGACGACGATACAGAAACTAGGACTGTTGGCACTCAACGAGTCACTTATCCTTTGGCAGTGGCAAGAAGTCCTGGGCCTCCAAACTTCAGCACAAGGTCTAACCGAGAGAGGTCAACCACAGCTTCGACCATTACACTGTTTTATGTGCCAGTTTCTACAGAAAGACGAACGCAAGATCAAAATTTGACTCCCGATATCATTACACCATCACCTTTAGTGGTGGCTTCGGGAGTCAAACGTCTGCAGAGTCTTCTTGAGCCCGTTCACACCTACACATCAATGATTGGTTGGGGAGCACACCTATTAGATCTGTGTGTGGCAAGGTGTTGGTCTGTAGAGGAACCAAATGTACACACAAACAACTTGGACTTCAAGGTAGTGGTGCTAGCCATGACACATTAGATGGAGGTTCTACGAGCATCCCGCCTGATGGTTCAATTGGACAATGCTTCAGTTGTGTGGTACATCAACAAGAAGAGGTCAACATCGCTCCTATGAACGATGAACCAGTTCTTTGAACTGGGCGACTCGCTTTACATTCAAGATCAAGCCACGTACATTCTGGAGATTCAACCATCCCGGATGCACTGGCAACTCCTTACGGAGATCTTTCGGTGGAATTGCCATCTTTACCGGGAACCGGAAGTCGATCTGTTTGTGACAAGATTCGACACTTAACTACCAAGGTTCACCTCTCCCATACCGTACCCTTGGTCCTGGGATCACAAATGTGCTAGCCATCTCTTGGGAAGGACAGGATGATTACGCAAACTCTCCGACAGGCCTTCTTCCCCGGGTAATACACAAGATCTCAGGCACTAGACGTCTTCATCTACATTTGGTTGTGCCCTTCTGGACAGTGAGAAGTTGGTTCTTCGGACTCGTAAACGTTGCAAATTGAAGGTACCTAAGGTCAGACCCACTTTTTCAACCACACTCAAGCCAGCTACATCTGACACTGGAAATACTCTATCTTTGCATAGGTTATTCTACTAGAGTGGCTCGAACTATTACAGATGCACATTGTACCTCCACTAAAGCTGATCATATGTGGGAAGCCTTTAAATCTCGGGACATTCAATCCCCGACTACAGCATCAGCTCAACAGATAGTTGAATACCTTCAGCACTTGAGGTCGTCAAGGAAGCTGAAAGGTACTACACTCGCAACTTACTTGGAAGCTATCAACTTAGTGCTTGAGGGGCCACAACAGTTGCAGCAATTTAAATATTGGTCATGTACAGAAAAGGTCCATCTGTAATTATCACACACTTTGCATTTCTGATTATCCATGATAACGCACTCAGTTGACTTCCCAGAAATGAAAAAAAAGTAAACATATAATTCCCCTCAAAAAACAAAACACACTCTGGGCGATCAGAAAGAAAATGAGTCAGCTTGGGACATCATGTTATCAAGTTGCACGGGAATCAGGCAGTGCATGGTCAATTGTTAGTGATGGTAGCCATGGTTAGGGCTGGGATGTTATTGGGTGAGGTGTTTTTTGAAGCTGGAAACCTTTTTTAGGATCGTTACCACACAGGGATCGAAGAAGAAGGATGAAATGCACTGTGTGAGATATAAATATGCAATTGTTGTAAAATTTCTTTTGCTGTTTCTGTAGACGAGAAAATGATGAAATTTATCATTTTTTAATTCAGTGGCTTGAAGAATGATCACACACCAGAATGTTTCAGTCTTCGACATGAAATTGATGGCAATCATTTCCCCTGCAGATATATCAAAATAGGTATGTATTCTTTATTTTATAATTACATAATGTTTTTTGTAACGATTGTTATGTAACTCAGAAAGTTACAGACTGACGTTTTTTGAGGACCCTAGATTCAACGAATCTCAACAATCCTCAAATCCTCTTTTCAAAATTAATATGAACGTGCTCAGCCCCACGTTGGGTGCCAATGTAGCGGCCATAAAATTTCTGAGTCCCGTGATGGGATTCGAACCACGGACCTTCTGATCCGAGGTCGGACGCCTTGTCAACATGACCAAAGAGGTTAACCCCGTCAGCAAGCTGACAAGGTAAGGATGTCATCTGTGGGATGACTCCACGCCCTGCTTCATCCATTTTCAAAATTAGGCTTATGACAAAGACCCCTTTACTTATATGCTTAATTTCAAATATGTGCTCTTTAGGAATAGGTGGGGGCACGGGTGGCCCAGTCGTCTAAGGCGTCGCGATTGGCTGTGCAGAGTTGCGTCCCTTGGGCACGCCAGAAACCTATGATTGTGGGTTCGAATCCCAGTTCGCCCCGACTATGTTTCTAGGTTTGTCAGCACCGTACCCATGCTCGTGGGTTTCACTGAAGTGGTAAACGTCTGAGACCTGCATCACTTCGGGCTTTCCTCTCACATTAAGCTGACACGCCGTGATATAACTGAAATACTGTTAAAAGCGGCGTTAAACCCAACTCACTCACTCACTCTAGGATAGGTCATGTACTGAAACACAGGAATGGTGACTGTAATGGTGGCTTGTACATTACTGTGACTAAGAATATAGAGCAATTCTTGATTATTCGGATGTCATTACAAGGATGGTCATGTTATCCTTATCCGTCTCTTGTGGACAATTTTGAAATGATAATCAATCAGTGTCCTATATTCGGTATATTCGGGATTCAGGTATTCAGAAAACATGTTTAGGTGTATTTTGGTATGGGACATGTTATGCATTATAATTTTGGTAACCACAATGCTCTTCTTTTTCAGTCCCAATTCAGGCCTGGGGCCCGAGTTTTAACTTCAGTATTTGGTATGTTGAACTTTACGGACGTGATGATTGGGATGCTGTGAAACCTTGCATGAACTGGTATAATACAGTGAGTATGATAGTCCTCTTCAATCATCCATGTAGGGACCTGGGCTAGTATGTGTCCCATTGCTAGGGACCGCCTCCGTGGTTTAGTGGTAGGGCATCCGCCCGGAGAGCGGAAGGTCCGGGGTTCGATCCCCGACCGCGTCATACCAAAAGACGTTAAAAGATGGTACTTGTTGTTACCCTGTCTGGCGCTCGGCATTAAGGGGCTAAAACAAGGACTGGTCGGCTCAGAGTCAGTATACTGTGTCTGAGTGGGGTATTCATGTTCAACTGCGGCATGGTATCTCAGTGAGCTAGCAATATAAATCGGCATCAGTCCGAACTAGTACAAGCAGCCACACAAACACACACACGTACATGCACGTTGCTATATAAGTGCAATAATCTTGGACGCGACGTTAAACCCCATTTCACCTCACCTCACCTCACCTCACCTCACCTCACCTCACCTCACCTCACCTCACCTCATCCATTGCTAGGCAAAAGAGGCGACTGATCTGGGAACTCTCGGGGATTCTGGTTTCGAATTGGTCTAAAAACAATAATGCTTGTCGTAAGAGGGGACTTAATGGATTGGGTCGTCAGGCTCATTGTACCATGACAGTGTGGATCGCGGCTCATAATATCAATCACTGGATTGTCTGGTCCAGACTCCATTATTTACAGGCTGCAGTCATATAGCTGAAATATCGCTGAGTGTGACATTAAAAAAACCACACACACACACACACACACACACACGCACAGACAGAAAGAGACACACACAGAGAGATTTTGTTAAATAACTGCTTTGAAATATTTTGGATATTTCGTACATCTGTTAAAAAATGTCTCTTTGTTTCACCTTTGGCTCAACTGCACTCAAGTATCAGATCAATTGTGTGTTAGTGGAACCATGAACTATTGACCATGCAGCATGACATGTGTAACCTTTCTCTGCGAGCTTCTTGTCAGCTAGGGGCGGTTGGGTAGCCTTCTGGTTAAAGCGTTTGCTCGTCACGGCGAAGACCCGGTACATGGGTACAATGTGTGAAGCCCATTTCTGGTGTCCCCCACTGTGGTATTGTCGGAATATTGCTAAAAGCAGCGTAAAAACCATTCTCACTCTCATTCTTGTCAGCTACATCATGTGATTACAAACTTGTTATGACCCGTGAAGATCCGGGGTAGAATAGGTCTTCAGCAACCCATGCTTGCGGTAAAAGGCGACTATGCTTGTAAAAGGCGACTAACGGGATCGGCTGGTCAGGCTGGCTGACTTGGTTGAAGCTTGTCATCGATCCCAATTGCGTGGATCGAAGCTCATGAGATCAATCACTGGATTGTCTGGTCCAGACTCGATTATTTACAGACCGCCGTCATATAGCTGGAATATTGCTGAGTGTGGCGTAAAAACAAACAAACAAACAAACAAAAACAAACTTTTTACTGTTTGCTTATTTAGCAATGTGATGGACTCGCTTATATCACAATGGATGCATGATCGTGAAGTAAATCATGCTGAAAATAATCATCTTTTGTTGTTATTTTACGTTGTTCAAATGAATGTAATATTGCCAGGTGGGCCTCATTGTCGTGTCTATTTTTGGACTGCAGTTGTTATATAATCAGACTTGTGTTATAGTATCGGGAACGAGAGGCAATACGATTGTGTTTGAAGCACTTCCGACAGAGGAGGTACATAGGGGCATATGAAGCTCTGCAGAAGAAGACGAAGATTGTTCTGGAACACCCAATACTTACAGAGTTACATCACTCTCTGGTGAGTAGAGTTCCAAATTGAGGAGACTGTCTCCATGTCGAGTGCATAGAGTGTCAGGCTGGAAGGTTGGTGAATCGATCCCTGGCCCCGTCAAGCCAAAAAATAATAAAAGATGGTAAGGAGATACAGCAGGCAGTTGTAGGCTCTAAGACTGTATGCTGTGTTTTGAGTGGGATATCCATATTATACTGTAGCATGGTATCTCATGGGCTAGCACTATAAAACTGGTGTGGACTAGTACAATCAGCCAATCACATGGGCAGGGAAGTCGCTATATCAGCGATTTGAAACCCCATTGCACCTCGCCATCTTCAGATTAAGGATGAACGTCAAGGGGTGTCTCCATGTCGAGTGCATAGAGTGTCAGGCTAGAAGGTTGGTGATTCGATCCCTGGCCCTGTCATGCCAAAAGATAATAAAAGATGGTACTTGTTGTTTCCCTGCCTTGCACTCGGCATTAAGGAGATACAGCAGGCAGTTGTAGGCTCTAAGACTGTATGCTGTGTTTTGTGTGCGATATCCGTATTATACTGTAGCATGGTATCTCATGGGCTAGCACTCTAAAACTGGTGTGGACTAGTACAATCAGCCATCACATGGGCAGGGAAGTCGCTATATCAGCAATATAAAACCCCATTTCACCTCGCTATCTTCAGATTAAGGATGAATGTCAAGGGTCATGCCTTAGGCATAATGCAAATGTTTCTATTGATAGATTGATCAGTATAGTAGGTCATGAGACAAGATACAAACATGGTGAAAGAACCCAAGAATCCCAGGACCCATCGCCATTCTAACACTGGGTGCCGTTGTTCAAAGCGATTCTAACACTAAGGTGATCGTAACTCCCATGATTTGTACAACGGCACACTGTTCATTTGAGGCCCTTATATCATTGCTTGGAATATGACCAAGGTAAACACATTTGACTCTATCAGTGGCGTGCCTCCTCTGTCAGTCGAATTTGAGAAAGATAAATGTTGTAACCCCTTAACTTCTGTTATGGGAGATTTCAAAATGAACTGAATGTGGGATTACCTGTTTTACTGTATCTGGCATATCTTTCTGTTTTTCAGGTTATGAAAGGAGATTTTGATGCTTGTGAAAAGTTAGTTACAAAGGCATGTGAAGGTATGTATCTAATGTATTGTATGTTTTTCAAAGATATGGAAATTATATAAGTTCAAAGTTCTGCAAAAGAAATCCATATTTATGGCTTTGTCTTTTGAATTAATGATAGTCAAGGGGATAGCAGTGAGGCTGTCTTATTGTTGATAGTCATTTTGGGGACATAAAATGATAAATGCGAAGTTTTCTTAATGCGAACAAAAGACCATTTGCATTTTTCGCATTTAATTCAAGCTCACGTTTATTTCAAGATTTACAGTACATCTTTTTCTCATCATTTGTTTGCAGCATTACAGGAATTGTGATGTTTTGAATCAGTTCTGAAACATTTTAGGGGGCTGAACAAAGTCATTGCTTTTCACAAGGTAGTGATGTAATTAAGATATATGTCATGGTCATCATGCAGTTCAGATAACGATGGCCAACCCCAAATGTTATTGTCAGGAGTAATTATCTTGGTATTTGTTTGCTGGAAGACCTTGCACTGTTGCTAAAGTCATCTGTGTGATGTTGTTTCAGAGGGACTATTTGACCAGTATATCAGTCAGCAAGATTATAAACCAAGGTGGACAGCAATTCAGCCAGTCAGCAAAAGTAAGTAATAGTTTACAACATCTACAACTTCGGATGTCAGGATTATTTGCATTTGGCACAAGTCTGGATTCAGTTCTCCTCATGGGCTGTCCCTTGTTCCTATGTTTGTCCTGGGGCGGTTGTGTAGCCTAGTGGTTAAAGTGTTCGCTCGTCACGCCGAAGACCCGAGTTCGAATCCCGACATGGGTACAATGTGTGAAGCCCATTTCTGGGGTTCCCACCGTGATATTGTTGGAATATTGCTAAAAGTGATGTAAAACCATACTCACTCACTCACTCACCCATGGGTGTCCTGGGTTGCCCAAAAGCTTTTAAGAGGCGACCAAAGTGAAAATTACTAAGTGACCAGTCTGATTGTGTGTGGATTACCTACCAAATTCCTACCAAATTTTCAACACATGAAACAAGAAATAACCATCTCATATTACATTGACAGATATATTTATCGTATTCCCCATGTAAATAGACACAGTTCATGAAATTGTGCTCTCTCTCTCTCTCTCTCTCTCTCTCTCTCTCTCTCTCGCTCTCTCTCTCTCTCTCTCTCTCTCTCTCTCTCTCTCTCTCTCTCTCTCTCTCTCTCTCTCTCACTCACTCACCCACTCTCACTCACTCACTCACTCACTCACTCACACGAGGATGAACCTAGAATTTGAGATGGAAGATGTGTTAAGCCTTCACAAAGAAGTGATAATAATTTCTAAGCCTTGATGGTGCAGGTTAGAAATGATATAGATAGCATCCTGTTATACATGTTATATATGTTTCTTGTAGATAACGATACCAACTCCGTGTTTCGTCCAGGGATGCGAGGGGGACATCAGATGTGTATAGATGTACACACAGGTAAGATGACAGTTTGTGTAGTCAATAGTAAATTCAAATGTGAATAGGTTCTTTGCTTGTTAGATAGAATATTGTATACACAGTGTTGAACATGTTGTAAGGCAGTTGAATAATGTTGAACAGTCTAGACATTGTCCACAGTATTTTGAGTAAAAGTCACACATTGTCATTAGTATCTTCAGGCTCACTGACTTGGTTGATGCATGTCATCGATCCCAATTGCGTGGATCAATGCTCATGATGTCAATCACCGGATTGCAGTGTTCCTGTTGGGTTTTGAATCTGCCAGTCCTCGTGGACTGGCAACTCTAAAAATTACCAGTCCCCCTAATTTTTGCAAGTCCCAACTTTCAACAAATGGAATAACGTATGAAAATTATTTGGTTTTAATTCATTCATCTTCATGTTCAGTGCAAAGATGTCATCTCTGAAGTAACTTAGTTAGATCTATACGTCATTCATACAAACTTCAGTCACAATTTTCTCTTTGTTTTTTTAATATTTCGAGACAAAGTCGCCACAAATGGATATTTAACCTAGAAATAGACAAGGGGAAAGAAACCCTGATGGTAACAGACAAGCTGACTTTGTTCGAAAATGTACTTAATGAATATCACTGATGTTTTGTTCAACAACAAAGATTTATAAGTACTTTATTTGCCGGTCCACAGGGACTGGCAGTCACATGAGTTACCGGTCCAAGCCTAATTTTACAGGTAAAAAACTGGTAATTACCGGAAAACGGGAACACTGGGATTGTCTGGTCCAGACTTGATTATTTACTGGCTGCCGTCAAATAGCTGGAATATTTCTGAGTGTGGCGTTAAACAACAAACAAAAAACACCAAACAAACATGAACAGCATGCAATATGGTCGTAAGTGTAAAAAAGGGATGACTTTAGTTGTATGATTCTACTTTCTTCTTCCAGAAACAATATACTTGTTTGGGGGTTGGGATGGCAATCATGACCTAGCTGACCTCTGGGCCTACAATGTCCCCACCAGACAGTGGACGTGTGTGTCGAAAAACACAGAGGAAGAGGTGAGGGCTGTACTCTCTGAGGTTTCGTGATTAGCAATATTATTGTGACACTATAGGAACACCGTATCGTGAGGTTGTTTATCAGTACAAAATGATACATGTATGTGTCAGGAATGTTTTTTGGTAAGAAAGGGAATTAAAAGTACTATTTTCTGATGGTATGTGCAAGAGTTCCAAAGCCATTGACATTTTGTTTGATGGGGTTTACCAGATATGTTTTTGTTGGCCTCAAGCGTTGGTGATGAATAAGACTCCCTGTCATTCAATACTTCATGGGTTTGTCTACATCTCCGTCCCTGGTAAGTACACATGACCAATAGGGACTACTCAGCGCACAAACTGTGTGCAAGGTTTTACCTTGACCTACAAAAGTGGGGTTCAGGGGATCCCCCATAATTAAGTTTAAGGGTCCTTGCCGGCAATATGAGAGTCCTGTAATGTAATGAAATGGTGTACTGTTCGTTAAGATAATTACTTTAAAGCCTGTAATGAATCAATGATCATCTGGACAGTGGTCATGATTGATGGGCGAGATAAAAGACACCCATAACTGCTCTTGATACGCTGTAGGTACAGTGAATGTTACTGTGCGTCCTTTGGAATGCAGTTTAATTTTCGTCTGCGTCCTTTCTCTACATTTGTCGCGTAAAACCCTGTGTGTGTGAACCCTACCATTGCCTGACATTGAAGCAGCGTGTTGACCAGATAGCCAGCCACATGACTCTGGCACATGTTGAACATGATGTCAAGCAACAAACACTACTGCTTGTGCCATGATCACTTGCTGGCATTCATCTTGCTGGAGGGGCGTTCGGGTAGCCTAGTGGTTAAAGTCGATTCCCCACATGGGTACAATGTGTGAAGCCCATTTCTGGTGTCCCCCGCCATGATATTGCTGGAATATTGCTAAGAGTGGCGTAAAACCATACTCACTCACTCACTCACTCACTCACTCCGCACCGCGATTCGCTGTGCAGATTTGCGTCCCTTGGGCACGCCAGAAACCTATGATTGTGGGTTTGAATCTGGGTTTGCCCCGATTATGTTTCTAGGTTTGTCAGCACCATACCCGTGCTCGTGGGTTTCACCGAAGTGGTACACGTCTGAGACCTGCATCACTTTGGGCTTTCCTCCCACATCAAGCTGACATGCCGCGATATAACTGGAATACTGTTAAAAGCGGCGTTAAACCCAACTCACTCACTCACTCAAGATTGCACTCGTATGGTTCTCCAAATGTCACATATATTTTGTATTTTTACGATACTGTTTGTTTTCCAGGGAGGTCCAAGTGCCCGGTCGTGTCACAAAATGTGTCTGGATCATGAAAGGAAGCAGATCTTTACACTCGGGAGATACTTAGATGCTTCCATGAGGTCACAAGATAATTTGAAAGTAATTTCCATTCTTGTTTTCTGTTTTCATGGGTTTTCTTTGTTTAAGTTCTTGTTTAAATTCACTGTTTTTTAACTTTTGAAAGACCTTTTCCCAACATTTGTCAACACAACCAAAGCAGTTATACTGTTCTTGAGAGTAGTTTGGGGTCAATGACAGATCTATTTCATAATTAATTAATTAATTAATTAATTAATTAATTTCTACTGACTTGACTGGGGACTCGACCAGTCATCTAAGGCGCTGCAGTTCGTTGTGCAGAGTTGCCTCCCTTGGGCATGCCAGAAATGTATCGTGGATTCGAATCCCGGTTCGCCCTGATTATGTTTCTAGGTTTGTGCAGAGTTGCGTCCCTTGGGCACGCCAGAAACCTATGATTGTGGGTTCCAATCCCAGTTCGCCCCGATTATGTTTCTAGGTTTGTCAGCACCGTACCCATGCTCGTGGGTTTCACTGAAGTGGTAAACGTCTGAGACCTGCATCACTTCGGGCTATCCTCTCACATTAAGCTGACATGATGTGATATAACTGGAATACTGTTTCAAGCCGCGTTAAACCCACTTTATTGTTACCGCCCATCTTAGCTGACATGCAATTTGATGAAACTGAAATACTCTTCAGAAACGTGTTGATTTGAATTGCCATCTTTTTTGCCTGTGCAGGAGGGTTGTCTGATGTTGGGCTTGTATGACTTTCAGTGTGACTTCTACATGTATGATGTGGGGTCAGGTCGGTGGACGGAAATCACGGAAGACACTGCAGCAATGGGGGGGCCGCGTCTCATTTTCGACCATCAGATGGTCATTGATGTTGAGAAGCAAACTATTTATGTTTTTGGAGGCCGGGTACTTACAAGGTAAGAATAATTTTATGGCCCTGCCACACTGCAATGTATAACAGTAATGTATGGCGACGTATGAGAATTTTTGCCAAGACGCCGGCAACGCAGAAACACACTATGGATAAGTTAAGATAAGTTGTCTACATTAAAAGCACGCTGTTATACGTTGTAGTACACTGAGGCTTAAAAACATTTTTGTGCATGCATAAAATTTTCGGTGTATGGGAACATATGAAGGTATGATTTATAAGTTAGGCATATGTTAGAGGTACGCTCCACGTACGTTTACATACGCCAGATATACGTTACCCATACGGCCCGTTTTAGGCACCTTTCCCCTCCGCTGAGCGAGCATACGCTGGCCATACGCTTTTATAAGCTGTCATAAGTTATGTATAAGTCACTGATACGCTACTCATACGTTAGTCATGCGTTACATATACGGTAAACTCTCGTTATGTATACGCTATGGATATGCAAAAATCTTGTTTTTTCGATGAAAGCGCATGACAGCGTAATGTCTTTTACACGCTAGGTGCAAGTTACTCTAAATCGTGGTAGTGTGACAGGCCCATTACACCTCATCCCCGTGAAGATACTAGTTAGAATAGGTCTTCAGCAATCCATGCTTGCCTAAGAGGCGACTAATGGGATCGGTTGGTCAGGCTCGCGGACTTGATGCATGTCATAACATCCCAAATGGGTGGATCCATGCTCATGATATCAATCACTAGATTGTCCATGTCTTAACATCCCAAATGGGTGGATCCATGCTCATGATATCAATCACTGGATTGTCCAGTCCGTCATATAGCTGGAATATTGCTGAGTGCAGCGTTAAATAACAAACAAACAAACAAACGTTTCACCTCAACACAGAGGGATGGGAAGAATAGGATCCAAGAAACCCATGCTCTCTGAACAAGCTCAACAAATTAAGGATTTGTGAGTTATAATGTGACTTGGCTGATTCTGTGTTAATGTACCCAAACAGCATGGATCATTGCTCATGGTGACCCATGGTGTTCAGCAACCCGTGCTTGCCGTAAGAGGCAACTCTGCTTGTCGTAAGAGGTGACTAACGGGATTGGGTGGTCAGGCTCACTGACTTGGTTGATACATGTCATCGTAGCCTAATTGCGTGGATTGATGCTCATGATGTCAATCACTGGATTGTCTGGACCAGACTTGATTATTTACAGACCACCGTCATATAGCTTGACTATTGCTGAGTGCAGCTTTAAACAACAAACAAACATTGGTCATGGTCTCAACCACTGATTTTCTCCTCCAGGTTCAATTGTTTCCAGTCTGTAATATTAATGAGAGTGGAGTAAATAAATTCATGATTGTACGGGTGTTATTGGTCAGTATTATACTGATGCAGGCAGTCTCAAAACTAATCATTGTTTCAGCAGTACCCTCTGCCACCCATCATTGTTCCAGTCGTATTCAAAGTTTCCAAAATCAGTCAGTTTTGTTAGTATCCCATGTAAAGATTGGCAGTATTGCTTAAAATATTTGCAAGGTTTGATCACTTTGGTTTACGATATTTTGAAATTTGAAAATTCTTTTCATTCTGAATTTTATTTTCATTGTGAGTTTCATAATTTTTTCCCTGCTTTTCCAGTGCAAATGAGAATGAGCGAGGTCATGAGCCAGTATTTAGCGGCCTGTTTGGCTATCATATACCCACCAATACCTGGTCCAGTCTCATCGAGGACAGTCCAGAGCTCCGGTCAAGGATTGGTCACTCAATGCTGTTTCATCCAGTAAGTTTTGATTTTGTGGAAATAATGAGATAAGTATGTCTGATGATGTGGGGCTAATGTTTAGAAATTTCTTTCCTTTTTATTTTATCTTGCCTCAAATTTGGCGTAGATACACAGCAATTCCTCTATTTGAAATTATTACTATGGGTATATGGATATTAATAGTTGTGGCATCATGTCCTGTAGGGCTGAGACGAGTCCAAATTTACTACCCGGGTACCCACCCCCCTATTACACAACCCTACCCAGGTACCCACTGTAGGTCTCAGGAGATGTCTTAAAATGTCCAATTGGGAACATATTTAGCATAGCCCAGGCAAAACGTATTTAGACATTAGATACATGTATTAAACAATCTGGTCATTCATACACTGAAGTTAAAATAAGTTATATCTTTATTAAACCATATGAAAAAAATCAGAAGGAATGGGTGCATTTCAGAAAGAAATGCGAACATTAGTGACTTGTAGTGTAACCATAGAGTTCCAGATAATTTTTGTCATTCAACAACATATCACGTGACTAACCACAGGCCCGGGTAGTCCTGTGGGTACCCGGCTCCTACTCAGTACCCACCCGACCCGGGTACCCGAGTTACCCAGCCCTAATGTCCTGTCAATGAGCCAAATGATGCAATATTTGTATACCGGTAATTAGTTTTTCAGGTAGAACTTGTAGGAATATGTCCTTGAGGTTTGGTGCCTGTTGTTTTTCATGTTTTTGCATGGTGAGTCATACATGTAAAATTATTTCAGATCCGCAGAGTGTTGTACATATTTGCTGGTCAGCGAGCACGAGAGTATTTAAACGACTTTCTAACATACAGTGTGGACACAGGTTTGGTGGAGACTATATCGGATGGCACAAAGAGGGATGGCTGTCAAGCAGGTAGACATACATGCTTCACATCGCATGTCTCATTTCCTTTCTTAGTATCGGGGGCACGGGTAGCCCAGTCGTCTAAGGCGCCGCGATTCGCTATGCAGAGTTGCGTCCCTTGGGCACGCCAGAAACCTATTATTGTGGGTTCGAATCCCGGTTCGCCCCGATTATGTTTCTAGGTTTGTCAGCACCATACCCGTGCTCGTGGGTTTCACCGAAGTGGTAAACGTCTGAGACCTGCATCACTTCGGGCTTTCCTCCCACATTAAGCCGACACGCCGTGATATACTGGAATACTGTTAAAAGCGGCGTTAAACCCAACTCACTCACTCACTCCTTTCATAGTATCAGTGTATCAGTGTATATCTTTCTTCAATGCTTTTTCATATGTGAGTCAAGTTCGTCAAGGTCATACGACTGATCTGATTGTCTAATTTATTCATGCCAGGAGAAATCTGTCATTTTAAAAATTCTTAGTTTCTGTTGCCAAATTCAAAATATCCAAATCATTTTAGAAAGTTTCTGCTGTTCAGGGCCCACTTGCACAAAGCGATCTTAGCGCTAAGATGATCGTAACTCCCATACTTTAGCATAGGCTTACAATAGTCTTAGCACTAAGATTATTTTGTGCAAGTGGGCCCAGGCCTCAATGACAAGCTTGCATTTTTTAAGTTCAAGTTGAAGCCCTCTGATTGGTGGTAATTCAGATTGTATCCTTTAGGCATGTCCGAAGCTTATAATTGTGGGCTCACACATCCCGAATATAGGTCTGATTATGGTTCTAGGTTTGTCAGCACCAGATCCATGATCCTGGTTAGTGGTAAATGTCAAACCCCTGTCACTTGAGCTTTCCCCCACATCAAGCTGACATGCAGTGATATGACTGAAATACTGTTCTACTCACTCACTCCATTACAACGTCCCACAGAACTCCCTTTGCTAGTGAACAAATCATATTCAAGTTGTCAGCTGGTTACTGCATGTTCTCATAGTGCAAGCTATGTAAAAATAAGATAGTTTGAGAGGTGGTCCCTTACGTCACCAGATTTTTATCCTTTTAGGCCAGAATATATTAATTACCAGATTTCCATCACAATATTTTCTCAGTGGGGATTTTATAGTTCACATCTTATGTTCAGAACAAAATCTTAAGCTGTTATGGCTTTATTATTTGTTTGAGTAAGGGAAGGGCTTGGTCTCAATCTCATTAAAATCAGATCTTAGTTTTCGCTATTGCTAAACAAAGATCTGAGGACATCCCATAACGGCTCATGTCAGAACGACCTTTCGCGAATTTTAACTGACCAGTGAAATGACTGACAAGAAATCAACATTAGCCAATAAGAAGGCAGCTTTCTCGAGCTTTACAACACAAGTTTCAAACTGGTGACTACGCTTCGAAACATATTTTGACGTATTCTCGATTAAAATATTTAAAACTGATAAAGAGAACATTCTGGAATGGCTTTTAGATGGCCTAGATTATATGGATATAATAAAAAAAACAACGTAACTGTCGTTCTGAATACCCTCTGTTAAATTTTTCGAGGTTGCATGATTAGAAAACACATTCCGTCCGTCACTTTCATGATCTGGTAAGGGACCCTCTGAATGGTTGGATGAAAGGTTGTTCTGACATGACCCGTAATGGGATGTCCTCAGATCTTTGTTTAGCGGTAGCGAGAACTAAGATCTGATTTTAATGAGATTGGGCTTGGTTTGTAACAAACTCGGATGAGCTTCTGATAATTAGTTTATCATGACCTGATGTAATGAAGACAAAATTCATTTGACATATAGATTTGGAATTAATTGCCATGATATTTATTGCCATGGATATGAACAGTTTTGTCTTCCTCAGGTTTCACACAGAGGGCAACACTCGACCCGGAATTAAATGAAATCCATGTGTTGTCGGTAAGTTGAGAAGAGAGGATTAGAAAACAGTACAAAACAGCGTCATGTGTGTGACATTATATATGTAAAATGTACATAAGCAAGTTTGATTTTATGCCTGTTGGCATTTCAAGGCAGAATGTTTGATTTTGGATAGGATTCGTATTTCTAATGATCTAATTGGGATAGCTTTCAGCTATGAATACACAATGCCTACTATAGAATGGTCAAATGTAACAATGTTATATTTGGGATTTCACTTTCTTAGTAAAGTACAAATTCTAGTACTTTTTTGGGGTGAGTCCTGTCTCAGAGTAAGGCACCTACTCGCCAGCAAACAGTAAGCTGTGGTTGGACTGCATTTGTTGGGCTTACTCAAATGTTGTAGTCACTTTTTCACCCAGTGTTTGGGTCCCTCTTTAGAGCTAATTAGTGTAGTCATTTGCATTAGAATTTCAACATGTAACATTCTGTTCTGCTCAAAAGATGAATTTTTAAAAATTATTTCTTGTCCTGATATAGCAGAGGACAGTTTCCTGCTCCACTTCGATCTGTAACACCGATCTCAAAACATGCTTCTTCACTTGGAGGACTCTCTTACCAGTCCCTCTAATTTTTGTCTGTCCCAACTTTCAACAATTAAAAAAACAAATAACAATTATCTGGTTTTATTACATTAAGTAATACGTTACCACTGTTATACCAAGGCTGTTGTCCCCCACAACTCCTCTTATAGTGAAATCTTCCACAGAGATCTCAATTACCTCATGCAGCACGTGCGTAGCCACCTAGCTGCCATGTGACACCCTTCACTCTTGTCTCTTCGCTTGCCTTCGCAAGACGTATCCATAGACTGCTCTGCGTTCTACCAGCCTCCTGCTATCCTTGGTAATATTTATTACTGTTTCTTAGTCCTAAGTAAACTGTAATTTATGGGGCGTTCGTTATACGGCGCTTAGAAAATTTTCCCGCCTAAATTTTCGTGCCTTTTTTTTCGCTACTAACGGGGTGTGGCGGCGGCACTTTGTGTTTTCCGTCTACCTTTAGTGGTATATTGTGGGGTGTTTTTTTGCATCACCTATTATTTTATATATATACCGTATTCGACGTAATAAGCGCCCAGGGCGCTCTCAAAATGAGAAATAGGGGGCTCTTATTAGAATATTAATTTGGTATAAAAATAAACAGAGTTGAAAGATAAATTTCGTTGTTTATGCTGTCAGCCTGAAATGTTTATGTACGACAGATATATTTTTCAAAATTAAACGCCATAATTAAGGGTGCATAACACACAAGTGCGTATTATACGCGAATAAATAAGTCTTGTGTACATTCATCAATCGTAAGGGGTGCTAATTGGGATTGTTCACTAGCCAATATCTTAGCAAATGTCGCCGTGGGCGCTTATTAGAGCGGGGCGCTTATTACGTCGAATACGGTATATCTATAATATATGTATTTTATGTATTCGCTATTATTGTTTGTTTTTCTTCGGAAAATCTACGTTTGTGAATATGTTTGGTGTGTGTGTTGTAACCATGTTTTGCTTTTTGTTCAAAGAACAATGTCTGACATGGAATTGGATTTGTCCAGCACCCCGTCTACTCCTGCTGCCAGGCGCTGCGGCGCTTGTCAGAAGTTTTTGTCGTCCCGGGGATTCCGTCGCGGCTTTGTTGTCGCAATTGGTGGACTCCAAATTTGGTGGACTCCAAACAGGCGGCCTTATCTCAGGATAAGGCCCTGGTTGTTCCGTCCCTGGCCCCTTCAGTGGCTGCGGGTTCGGACGCAGGGTCTACGGGTACGGCGGCGGCTACCGTAGTCACTGGTCCTTCCCTGAGCCGATACTCCCGTTATCGACTCGGCTCATGCTGGCGACCGACAACACGACGGTAGTGTCCTATGTGAACAAACTGGGGGGAACCCACAGTCACTCGCTACTCGATCTCGCGTTCGAGTTTTACGCTCTGGTGGACAGTGTCCCAGGTGTGCGGAACGTACTGGCCGACGCTCTATCGAGGCCTCGGGATCCGAGACCCACGGAGTGGATGCTAAACCCAGTGGTGTTTCAGTGGCTGTGCGAACGTTTGGGTCGTCCGATGGTCGACCTGTTCGAAACCAGATTCAACAATCAACTCCCGTTGTTTGTATCACCAGTCCCGGACCTGAGGGCCATCGATCACGATGCTCTAGCGTTAGACTGGACGGGCATGGACGCTTATGCTTACCTGCCGACAGCTTTAATACCACTCATTCTAAGCCGGCTCCGAGGAGTTCGCTGTCGAATGTTACTGATCGCGCCCATGTGGCCGAACTGATGGTGGTACCCCGACTTGCTGGCCCAGGCCACGCAGTCGCCACTTCCACTGCCTGTGAGACCGGATCTGCTGATCCACCCTCACACCCGTCAGCTTCATCCAAATGCAGGGCAGTTCAATCTGCACGCTTGGATGTTGTCACCGAGCGTCTGAGGAGTAAAGGGGTTTTTTGTCGGGCGTCTCGGGCATACGTTAGTATGCATCGTGATTCTACCCAGAAGGTGTATAATGCACATTGGGCTATTTTCACGAAGTGGTGTTGCAAACATCACATTCATTCGCCAGATAAGGTATCTGTTCAGGATATTGCTCGTTTCATGTCTCATTTACGAGAGACCCGGAAACTCTCGGGGCGTTCCATTGCCAACTATGTCTCGTCCGTTGCTATGGTACGGGACGTTGCTATGGGTACCAGTCTCTCAAAAGAGCCGGTGATTCGGAGTATTATCAAGGGTTTCAAACAGCAAGTTCTTAAAAAGGGCCGCCTTGGGGCACCGGCCTGGGATCTCTCTTTAGTGTTACAATCACTTACGGAGGCTCCGTATGAACCCTTGGGTAGTGCTTCGTTCCGGCATGTGACTTGGAAAACAGCATTACTTCTCTCCTTTGCCACGGCGGCACGAGTGTCGGAAATACACACACTCGATGTCACCAAAGTACGATTCGATAGGGGCGACGAAGGAGCGGTCCGCCTGGGCTTGCTCATGGGCTTCGCCACTAAGAATCAGAAATTTGGCCAAACGGAGAGAGAATTCACTGTAAGATCCCTCAAAGAAATCTTACCTCCTGCTGATACCGAGGACAGATCGCTGTGTCCGGTTAGGGCCCTTAAGTATTATCTTAAGGCTTCGAATGAACGCAGACAAGGGCGGGACCATCTGTTCATATCGTGTAACCCTAATCGCACGGTTGACATAACTCGCAACTCGATTGCGTTATGGCTTCGTTCTGTCATCAATCTGGCGTACCTGTCTCAGGGGTTACAGGTAGCGGGGGCTTTCTGTGTGTTTCTTTGTTTGGATTTGACAATTATTAACCTAATTGTCTGTCGTGTATTGCAACCTTGTAATGCATGCTTTCCAATATTGAATTTAGGTCACGCGCCTATTACACACGCTTAAGTAGGCTTGTTCTCGGGATATACGGTCCGAATGAAATTAATTTCATTCTTTTCGACTGTTTAACCTGATCTAAGATTTAGCTCACACAGATACTGTGTTCTCATCCGCTGCGGCGATGAAATACCTATCCAGTGGGGCCGTTTGGAGTCACCAATCGTTTTGGCAATGACGATTGAGCCTTACGGTATGCGCTTGACAGTGCTTTGGTATCCCTATATGGTAACGCCAAGCTGGGAGCATGCGCATCGAGTGCTTCCGCGTTGTTGTTTACTTCCGCTGGCCGGAAGGAACGCTAGCTGTCAGGATTCGGGTTGTAGGTGCTCCCCACCGCCTACTGTGGTAGTCAGCCTCGGTATAACAGTGGTAACGTATTACTTAATGTAATTTGTAGAATTTTCCTATTCGGAATATTCTATTAGTAATACGTTACCACTAGGCTGCTGCCCGCCCGTCCATCCCCAGAGCACTTGCTCTCGCAAGAGACAAGAGTGAAGGGTGTCACATGGCAGCTAGGTGGCTACGCACGTGCTGCATGAGGTAATTGAGATCTCTGTGGAAGATTTCGCTATAAGAGCAGTTGTGGGGGACAACAGCCTCGGTATAACAGTGGTAACGTATTACTTATAGAATATTCCGAATAGGAAAATTCTACAAAATTCATTCCACATGACATCATCTCTGAAGTTACTTAGATCTACACATCATTCACACCATATTCAGTCACAATTTTCTCTTTTTTTTATTTTTCAAGACAAAAGTCGCTTGAAATGTATATTTAACCTAGAAGCAAAGCAACATGTTATTTCCTTGCACTAAAAATAGACAAGGGGAAATCTTGAAGGTAAAAGACAAGCTGACTTCATTAAAAAAATATACTTATATGAATATCGGCGATTTTTTTGTTCAAGAACACAGATTTATAAGGTACTTTATTTGCCGGTCCACAAGGACTGGCAGTCACATAGATTACAGCTCCAAGCCCAATTTTTCTGGTAAAAAACCTAGTATTTACCGGTAAACGGGAACACTGTCTCTTCACCAGGAGCCGTTCGACAAAGCAGTCTTAGTGCTTAGATGATCATAGCTCTCGTGCTTTAACTGTGACTTACAATAGTCGTGTAAGATTGCTTTGTGAAAGGATGTCCAGGTCACCAGATCAGAGTTACCTCCACTAGTAGCTCACTTTCCTTTTCTCTGAACATTGGACTCAATATTTGTAGTTTTGGGCAAGAAACTTTTGATGGGTGATCTGGTGGATAGGCATGTTTTGGATTCTGTGTTATAAGATCGAGGATCAGGATAAATATCCTGATATAAATTTTCGGATTAATTCAATTCATTTTCACTTCGGTAAGAATTTATGATAGGAACAACTATTATGCTAAGATGCTAAAAACAAAGGCAAAAATATCTATTTTTTGTCTTGAGGGTCAGTGAATAAAAAAATGTTAAGAAATGAAGATATAACTGGTTATGAACTGGTATGTTACCTTGAAGTCATCATCCTCTAGTTTGAACACAGCATGTTGTTTTATCTTAATGAAATCGTGCCTATGAAACAAGTAATAAAATAAGCCTGGCCTGCCACAACTTTGAGAACCTGAGAATATAGTTGTTATCTCATGCATTGAAGTATTGTATTTTTGATTGCAGGGACTCAGTCGAGATAAGGAAAAACGAGATAATGTCAAAAACTCATTTTGGGTGTATGACATTGGGAAAAACAAATGGTAAGATCACAACTAATTCTAAGTGGTAACTTTCTTTGAGACCTTTAATGGCCACAATGTTATGATGAGTGAGTGGGGGAGTTTAGTTTTATGCCGCTTTTAGCAGTATTCCACCAATATCACGGCGGGGGTTACCAGAAATGGGCTTCACACATTGTACCCATGTCAGGAATCAAACCCAGGTCTTCGGTGTGACAAACAAATGCTTTAACCATTAGGCTACCCGACCGCCCCATGGTGTGATGAAGATTTTATCAATTATGTGAATGCCAGTTTTCAGTCTGTAATGTAAACAAGATATTAATGTGGGTCAAGGCAAACCAGCCTCCATAACTGTGTGTAGCTGTGTACTGATTATGCTGATTAATAAAACACCTTACTAGTTTGGAAATGTTGGTAGGTAAGGCCACAATAAATGACAAACTAGATTTGCATCTAAATGTTTCAAAAATGCGTGATTGGAGTTGTTTAAGAGAGAGAGGGGAAAGGTAGGATCCAATCTGTTGCAGTCTGTGTGATTTATTCTGTTACAGTTAGTATGCATGAAAACCCATTGTTTAGTTTTAAAATGACTGGTTAAGATGAATGTCTACTGGCATTTGTCTAGTGGACAAGAATATTTGTCTTGTGGATCAACATATTTGTCTAGTGGATCAACATATTTGTCTTGTGGATCAACATATTTGTCTAGTGGATCAACATATTTGTCTTGTGGATCAACATATTTGTCTAGTGGATCAACATATTTGTCTAGTGGATCAACATATTTGTCTAGTGGATCAACATATTTGTCTTGTGGATCAGCGGTTTTGTCAAGTGGATCAGCATATGTGTCTAGTGGACCACTGTAATTGTCTAGTGGATCAGCGTATTTGTCTAGTGGATCGGTGTATTTGTCTAGTGGTTCGGTGTATTTGTCTAGTGGGTCGGTGTATTTGTCTAGTGGATCAACATATTTGTCTAGTGGATCAACATATTTGTCTCTTGGACCAGGGGCGGTCGGGTAGCCTAGTGGTTAAAGCGTTCACTCGTCACGCCGAAGACCCGGGTTCGATTCCCGACATGGGTACAATGTGTGAAGCCCATTTCTGGTGTCCCCCGCCGTGATATTGCTGGAATATTGCTAAAAGCGGCGTAAAACCATACTCAGTCAGTTAGTCAGTCTAGTGGACCAGTGTATTTGTCTAGTGGACCAGTGTATTTGTCAAGTGGATCAACATATTTGTCTAGTGGATCAACATATTTGTCTAGTGAATCAACATATTTGTCAAGTGGACCAGTGTATTTGTCTAGTGGATCAACATATTTGTCTAGTGGACCAGTGTATTTGTCTAGTGGATCAACATATTTGTCTAGAGGATCAACATATTTGTCTAGTGAATCAACATATTTGTCAAGTGGACCAGTGTATTTGTCTAGTGGATCAACATATTTGTCTAGTGGACCAGTGTATTTGTCTAGTGGATCAACATATTTGTCTAGTGGACTAGTGTATTTGTCTAGTGGATCAACATATTTGTCTAGTGGACTAGTGTATTTGTCTAGTGGATCAAGATATTTGTCTAGAGGATCAACATATTTGTCAAGTGGATCAGCATATTTGTCTTTTGGATCAACATATTTGTCTAGTAGACCAGTGTATTTGTCTAGTGGATCAACATATTTGTCTTTTGGATCAACATATTTGTCTAGTAGACCAGTGTATTTGTCTAGTGGACCAGTGTATTTGTCTAGTGGATCAACATATTTGTCTAGTGGATAAGCGTATTTGTCTAGTGGATCAACATATTTGTCTAGTGGACTAGTGTATTTGTCTAGTGGATCAAGATATTTGTCTAGAGGATCAACATATTTGTCTTGTGGACCAGCGTATTTGTCTAGTGGATCAACATATTTGTCAAGTGGATCAGCATATTTGTCTTTTGGATCAACATATTTGTCTAGTAGACCAGTGTATTTGTCTAGTGGATCAACATATTTGTCTAGTGGATCAACATATTTGTCTTGTGGACCAGCGTATTTGTCTAGTGGATCAACATATTTGTCAAGTGGACCAGTTTATGTTTTAAGTGGATCAACATATTTGTCTAGTGGATCAACATATTTGTCTAGTCGACCAGTGTATTTGTCTAGTGGATCAGCGTATTTGTCAAGTGGACCAGTGTATTTGTCTAGAGGATCAACATATTTGTCTAGTGGATCAGCGTATTTGTCTAGTGAATCAACATATTTGTCTAGTGGACCAGTGTATTTGTCTAGTGGATCAGCATATTTGTCTAGTGGACCAGTGTATTTGTCTAGTGGACCAGTGTATTTGTCTAGTGGATCAGTGTATTTGTCTAGTGGATCAACATATTTGTCTAGTGGACCAGTGTATTTGTCTAGTTGATCAGCGTATTTGTTTAGTGGACCAGTGTATTTGTCTAGTGGGTCAGTGTATTTGTCGAGTGGACCAGTGTATTTGTGTAGTAGACCAGCATATATGTATAGTGGTTCAGCATATTTGTCTATTGGACCAGTGTATTTGTCTAGTGGATCAGCATATTTGTCTAGTGGACCAGGGTTTTTGTCTAGGGGACTAGCGTATATGTCTTGTGGATCAGCGTATTTGTCTAGTGGACCAGAATATTTGTCCATAGGACCAGCGTATTTGTCTAGTGGACTAGTGTATATGTCTTGTGGATCAACATATTTGTCTAGTGGACCAGAATATTTGTCCATAGGACCAGCGTATTTGTCTAGTGGACTAGTGTATATGTCTTGTGGATCAACATATTTGTCTAGTGGACCAGAATATTTGTCCATAGGACCAGCGTATTTGTCTAGTGGACTAGTGTATATGTCTTGTGGATCAGCGTATTTGTCTAGTGGACCAGCATATCCGTCTAGTGGACCAGAATATTTGTCTAGTGGACCAGCGTATTTGTCTAGTGGACTAGTGTATATGTCTTGTGGATCAGCATATTTGTCTAGTGGACCAGAATATTTGTCCATAGGACCAGCGTATTTGTCTAGTGGACTAGTGTATATGTCTTGTGGATCAACATATTTGTCTAGTGGACCAGAATATTTGTCCATAGGACCAGCGTATTTGTCTAGTGGACTAGTGTATATGTCTTGTGGATCAGCGTATTTGTCTGGTGGACCAGCATATTTGTCTAGTGGACCAGCATATCCGTCTAGTGGACCAGAATATTTGTCTAGTGGACCAGCGTATTTGTCTAGTGGACTAGTGTATATGTCTTGTGGATCAGCATATTTGTCTAGTGGACCAGAATATTTGTCTAGTGGACCAGCATATTTGTCTAGTGGATCAGCGTATTTGTCTAGTGGATCAGAATATTTGTCAAATCCTGAATAAATTTGGTCATGCACATTGCTTGAGATGTGATAGGTGTGTGTGGATGGTTGCAGTTTTAACACCACCTTGCTGTGATGCTGTAACTTTAAAGTGTTGAGTGTACTTAAAGTGTATTTGTTTCTTTATCAGGTCATGCATCTACAAAAATGAAAACACAGGGCAACAGTACTGGATCAAACAGCAGCATGTGGAACCAGTGCCGAGGTTCGCACATCAGCTGGTGTATGACCATGTCAGGAAGGTGAGCTGCGTAATCCACTGACAATGTGGCTGTATGTACTAGTCCGACCAATGCCAATATTTTTAGTGCTAGCCCACTGAGATACCATGCTGCAGTTTAAACATGAATACCCCACTCAGCAATCCAGTCCATGTTTTAGCCCATTAATGCTGAGCATCAGACAGGGTAACAACAAGTACCATCTTTTAGCGTTTTTTGATATGACACGGCCGGGGATCCAACCCTCGACCTTCCGCTCTCCAGGCGGACGCTCTATCACTGGACAAGGGTTAGAATGAGCCACAGTTCTATGTTGGTTGTGGAAAGTGTCAACTAATAAGCCACATTCCGGTCCACAGGGTCTTGAATGTGGGTACACATACCTATCTAGGTCACTCAGAGATCAGTTTGACAGTAGCCATTTTGTCCTTCACCGAATGGAGTGAAAGTCCTGAACTGGATGTGTGTCATTGTTCCCCAACTGCATGGAATGTTGTTATTCTTTCAGTTCTGGGTTAGCCTGGCTCCATGATATAGCTGGAATATTGCTCATTGTAAGATTACAAACAAACATCCATAAATGATATAGACATGGACATTAAAAAGAAGAAGCCTTTCTCCTTCATGCCCTACCTGAATCGACCGCCTCCGTGGTCTTGTGGTAGAGCGTCCGCCCGGAGAGCGGAAGGTCCGGGGTTCGACCCCCGGCCGCGTCATACCAAAAGACGTTAAAAGATGGTACTTGTTGTTACCCTGTCTGGTGCTCGGCATTAAGGGGCTAAAACAAGGACTGGTCGGCTCGGAGTCAGTATACTGTGTCTGAGTGGGGCATTCGTGTTAAACTGCGGCATGGTATCTCAGTGAGCTAGCACTATAAATCGGCATCAGTCCGGACTAGTACAAGCAGCCACACAAACACACACGTACATGCACGTCGCTATATAAGTGCAATAATCTTGGACGCGACGTTAAACCCCATTTCACCTCACCTCACCCTACCTGAATGTTGATTTGTGAAAATCTAGGTGCGTCCATGTCATCATTTTTGTGTGTATGCTATGACAGGCAGATCTTTACTCACTGATGACTTTGTCTCCTTTATGTTGTCTTAATATTGATAGTCATGTTTTTTGTGTTTTGTGTGTGGTCAGATAATGTAAGAAAGTAGTTGACAGCATTTTCATAACGATCTTGGAGACCCTGATTTGTTTCAATGCTTTCCAACAGTACGGAATCACATCCAATATTCTTACACACGTCCTCTTTTATTGTCATAGGTCCACTACCTGTTTGGAGGCAATCCAGGAAAAGACAGCTTACCGAAAATGAGACTTGATGATTTTTGGTCACTGCAAGTGAGTAGCATCATTGCATTATTCGGTCCAAATTATTAATTATGTTTTATTTGAGCAGTGCTAGAAAGCTGAAATACTAACTTTACCTTTGCAGTAGCTGTTCTGGGTTAGAATTCCGGGTACCCAGCAACGTATGCTTGTCGTAAGTGGCGATCAAATCTGTCGGGTTGTTAGGCTCGGTGACTTTGTTGTTGTGTGTCACTGTCTCCCAGTGGCATGGATCATTGCTCACGATACTAATCACTGAATTGTCTGGTCCTGACTCAGTTATTTACAGGTTGACGTCATATATCTGAAATATTGCGGAGTGTGGCGTTCCACAACAAACAAACAAGCTTTTCCTCCATCTTAAATAAAAGAACTCATCTTTCTACTTGTCCCAGCTCTGTCGGCCCTCAGCGGATCATCTTCTACGTCGGTGTCGCTACCTCATCAGGAAGTACCGCTTTATGGAGCTGGCTGCAAGTGACCCTAAGAATGCCATGATCTACCTTCAGAACGAACTGGCAAACACTGTCGACCATGCAGATACAGAGGAGACAAGGGAGGTAAGTGCAGTTTGACTGTTTCCTAAGTGTGTGGTAATGTTGGGAAACATCGATCATTGATCGCATTCAGTTTGTTCCAACTGATCAATCATTGATGATCATTGATAATCAATTGTCCTTTTAGGTTTCCAGAAGTTGTATGTCAAAAATACTTCATTTGAAGCATCTTGTTCGCTTAAATTTCATATTGATGATGAACCTGTTTGTGCATAATTATTTACAAAACAAAGAAATATTTAAGGGACAATTATGAAATAAAAGCTAATGTCAAATGTCATTTTCTCCACAATTAATTATATCAATTATGGACACTTACAGCCAGTAGAGGGGTGGTCGGGTAGCCTAGTGGTTAAAGCGTTCGCTCGTCACGCCGAAGACCCGGGTTCGATTCCCGACATGGGTACAATGTGTGAAGCCCATTTCTGGTGTCCCCCGCCGTGATATTGCTGGAATATTGCTAAAAGCGGCGTAAAACCATACTCACTCACTCACTACAGCCAGTAGAGAGCAACTAATCCATCATCGATTATTATCACTTGTTTGTAATTTAGAAAATTTGAAGCCTACTATTGACTACGTGCTCAGCGACATTCACTTGCTCTCTCATGTGCACACTGTGAGGAGACTGAAGGTACTATTGCACTGTGTTTCCAGTTTCAGCTGCTTGCCTCGTCCCTGTTCAACGATGGTGCAGAGAATGAACTCCTGGAAGGTACTTTCCTTACAACAGTTTCTATGGAAACTACTACTTTTTCTTCTGAATGAATAATTTCAAAAAAGAGTACAACTTTTTGTCAACATTGTCTAGTAATGATATATCTAGTATCAGTGATAGAAAATTTGAGTGAACAAATTTTGAAATATAGAGATTATAGCCCACTTACATTTTATTGGAATCCTGTCACATCATATGTTAGGAATATGAATTGTTTCTTGTGAGCCTTTGGCGAGAGTAATACATATGTTTTATTCCTAATATTTGATATTTATTATTCATAAACACACAAAGGTAATAATCTCTTTATTATATAATGTCTTACTTAAATAAAACATAATGCTATTCACTAATGTATGTTTAGAAACTGTGCAGCAATACAAAGCCTGTGTTGACACAGAGTTCCAAATGATTGCTTGTTAACATAAGTAGTCACACATTGGAAAACCACTATCAGATTATTCAGTGAACATTGTGCAATAGTTTTGACAGTGTGCAATAGATGACAGCATTGGCATATTTATCGGATTTGTGATACCATGTTTATCAGAATGGTTTATTGCATTGATAACACTTCCATTATAGGGCGGTTGGATATCCTAGTGGTCAATGCGTTCGCCCGACATGCTGAAGACCCGGGTTCGATTCCCGACATGGGTACAATGTGTGAAGCCCATTTCTGGTGTCCCCCGCCATGATATTGCTGGAATATTGCTAAAAGCGGCGTAAAACCATACTCACTCACTCACTTTCCATTATATGATTAAATACAAGAAAATGAAAATGAAAATATCATTATTTTCAGATTCCGATGTGAATGAACATTTTCAAAGTCGGACAGATCTGTTTGATTTGCTGGTGAATTACTTCCCTGATCACATGACGCAGCCTAAAGGAAACCTCGTGGATTTGATACCGCTCGACTAAAATCGGCCTGGATATGTTCGACTGAGAGTTGCTCAACCGTCATGAGTCGCTTCCCCTGCGCAATACAATGGGCTTTCATGTATAGATTTGTACTAGCACATGCTCTGATGGAAGTGTGTGTTTGAGGATGTGTCTGTGTAATTGTGACTGAGAAGATGCAAATATGTTGATAAAATCAGGAATTGCATGTCACAGTTACTTTCAAGACTTTTTAGTAGATCTTGGTGCAGTATTTATGAATCTTACAGACAGATCTGGTTTGGAAAAGAATTATCTTTATTGAGTTTGAAAAATGGTCTCCCAATGCCAGGAGTTGTTGCATTGAAATTTTTTATGTAAAAGCATGTTCGTGTTATTATAAGCACAGATTGGTATTCAATTCATCTTTACACACATTTGATCAATCATTTTCTGATATTAGTAGACACTGAATATAATGAAAATACTAATGCATGTTCAGAAGGATATTGCTTTAACAGTGTTAATGGTGAAATTCTGAAGTTTAATATTCTAGAATCAGTTAATCTAAAATATAAGTCATCCTTATTGTATTGGCATTCACGGATGAAGTGGAGAAGGTGACTTTTGAATCAGCATGAGGTTTGATAAGGGTCAGGTAGCGCAGTGTGGTTATCTCCCTTTGACCAGCTGGTCTGGATGTGATTCAACTTACCCATGATATTAACACATTAGTCAGACTGTCCGGTGACTGTGAGTCAGAATGATTTCCCAGTGCCCTAGACTGATTGCAGTAGGTGACTGTCACCTGGCCACGATGCCTTCTGAGTAGAAGTGATGGAAAGACCTGGGATGGCAACCTTACGAGAGACCACTTGCAGCTGAGGCCTAGCTGATCATGTTCCCTTGTTCCCTGACTGCATGGTTGCTAGCATTTAGATCAGTGGTTTGTCTGGTCCAGGCTGCTGTGATATAGCTGTAATACTGCTGACAACAAATGTATTTAAAGAACACCTGATTCTTTCATATTCTTTTGCTAATCTGTCATGGCATGACAACTGTAGTAATATGAAAGAATCAGGTGTTCGTTGCAGATTAACTACAAGAATATGAAAGAATCAGGCGTTTACAGATTAACTATAGTAATATGAAAGAATCAGGTGTTTGTTACAGATTAACTAAAAGAATATGATAGAATTAGGTGTTCGTTGCAGATTAACTATAAGAATATGAAAGAATCAGGCGTTTACAGATTAACTACAGTAATATGAAAGAATCAGGTGTTTACAGATAACTAAAAGAATATGATAGAATTAGGTGTTCGTTGCAGATTAACTACAAGAATATGAAAGAATCAGGCGTTTACAGATTAACTATAGTAATATGAAAGAATCAGGTGTTTGTTACAGATTAACTAAAAGAATATGATAGAATTAGGTGTTCGTTGCAGATTAACTACAAGAATATGAAAGAATCAGGCGTTTACAGATTAACTACAGTAATATGAAAGAATCAGGTGTTTACAGATAACTAAAAGAATATGATAGAATTAGGTGTTCATTGCAGATTAACTATAAGAATATGAAAGAATCAGGCGTTTACAGATTAACTACAGTAATATGAAAGAATCAGGTGTTTATAGATAACTAAAAGAATATGATAGAATTAGGTGTTCGTTGCAGATTACCTATAAGAATATAAAAGAATCAGGCGTTTACAGATGAAAGAATTGGGTGATCTTTAACTTCTTTTGAATAGTATATAACAAAATGGCTCTGTTCAACTGTGTTGTTTTAACCACAGCCATCTGCTGATGAAGGTGATGTGATCATTAACTAATAGTTAACTAACTTGTCAGATGTGTGTAAATTGGGGCTAGGGGCAATGGAATCTTAAAAAGTATGTTATCTGAGTTCCCAATCATTTCCAACTTTAATCATCATGATCTTCCAGCGTTCATGGGGGCACGGGTGGCCCAGTCGTCCAAGGCACCGCGATTCGCTATGCAGAGTTGCAGAATCCCGGTTTGCCCCAATTATGTTTCTTGGTTTGTCTGTACCATGCCCATGCTCTTGGGTTTCACCGAAGTGGTAAACGTCAGAGACCTGCATGACTTCGGGCTTTCCTCCCACATTAAGCTGACACGCCGCAATATAACTGGAATACCGTTAAAAGCGACATTAAACCCAACTCACTCACTCCAGCTTTCATGTGTGGAAAGAAATGCACAAGGTTAGTTTTATTAATGTATTGATGCAGGGTACTGTAGATGTCAGATAGGTGGTTTATTCATCTATTAGACCACATCAAACTATTAAAACAATGTTGATTTATTGTTCTGATTTATGAGTAATATTTTATAGATGGACGATAAGTGACAATACATCATGAGGATGCAGCACTGATGTTGATGTCAGTGTGAGCTGGGAGGAGCAACACGTTGTGGGACAGTGTGTTGTGGGGACACATTGTTGCAGTGTATCAGGCACTACAATTCTGTGTAGAGTTGCACCCCTTAGGCTTGCAAGGATCCACTGGTCGTGGGCTTGAATTTGCTTTGATTACGATCCTTGATCTTCCAGCACCATAGCAGTGCTGATGAGACACTAATGTGGTAACCAGTGCTTGTGCTTTTCACCAAGGTGGTAAATGTCTTAGACCTGCATCACCTAGGGCTTTCCTCACACATCAAGCAGACACTCTGTAGTACAAGTGAAATACTGTTGAAATTGGCTTTACACCAAACGCAATCACTTACCAATGTGGTAATAGTCTTTGGGTTGTCCTCTCTCATTTAGCAGGCAGCATGGGATGCCTAATCGTCAAAGGCACAGCATTTTGCTGTGCAGATACGAGTTCCTTGGGCAGGCCAGAAACTTGTGATTTGTCAGCACCATACCTGTGCTTGTGGGTTTCACCAAAGTGGTAAAACGTCTGAGACCTGCATCACTTCGGTCTTTCCTCCAAAATTAAGCTGATATAACTGGATACTGTCCAAAGCAGCTTTTCACCCAGCTCACTCACTCACATTTAGCATTTCTTTGATCATCTAACTGAATACTGTTCAAAGCAGTGTCAAACCCAGCTCTCTGGGGTAGAATAGGTCTTCAGCAACCCATACTTGCCATAAAAGGCGACTATGCTTGTCGTAAAAGGTGACTAACGGGATCGGGTTGTCAGGTTGCTGACTTGGTTGATAATGTCATCGATCCCAATTGCGTGGATCGATGCTCATGATGTCAATGACTTGATTGTCTGGTCCAGATTCGATTATTTTACAGACCACCGTCATATAGCTGGAATATTGCTGAGTGTGGCGTTAAACAACAAACAAACAAACAAACAAACCCAGCTCATTAGTGTTGTCTTGTTGATGTAGTTATGAGTTTCCAGTCTTTCTAAGAACCCAACCAAAGTACAGATCCTCCCAAGTGCATTTAAGTTTGAATATGCCACCTGAGTAGATTTACATTCACTTGTGTGACAAAATGGCGATATCTCTTTGAAAGAGCCTTTTAGCTGTTGTTTGAAAGTTAAACTTGCCCACTATAAAGGTAGTGTTGAGGTTGTGAGATGTTCTCAGGTACAGGCTAATATAAGACTGACTTCTCGGATAATCAGGGCTATGACACTATTTGATGTACTAATAATCATCCTTAATCAGTCAACTATTAATGATCTCATAGAAGCTATCAACTAACTCTCATAGGGCAGCTACTGATGAAGTATTGTGTGTAGTTTTATGTGAATAAGAGCCAGTTATCACTGAAATAACTCAACCCAGGGATTGTACATGTGTAAGTAGTCATGAGGCAAGCGTTATCTACGTAACGGTAGATAGTTGTGAGGCAAGCACTACCGACAGGTTTTGAACTGTAGCCATGTGGTCAGTCCAGTGTTTGTGGATTATTATCAGGTAATGGCATATCATATGTGTTCTTTTTATGGCATACATGTTCTTGCGTTCAAGTTATTATGAATATCGTATTCGACATAATAAGCGCCGCGCTCTAATAATTGCCCACAGCGATAATTGCTAACATATTGGCAAGTGAACTTTTCCCAATACTCACCCCTTCTGATTGATCAATGTACACAAGACTTATTTATTTGCGTATAATACGCACTCTTGTGTTATATGCACCCTTAATTATGGGCAATTAAATTCTGGAAAAATATATCTGTCGTACATAAACATTTCAGGCTGTCATCACAAACCACGAAATTTATCTTTCAACTCTTTTCCACCAAAATAATACTCTAATAAGAGCCCTGTATTACGAATTTTGAGAGAGCCCTGGGCGCTTATTAAGTCGAATACGGTAATGAATTTTTTAGTTTACCTTGAACATGGCTCTTAACATCATTTTCAGTTGATTTTAGTGTTATTATATGGACTATTACACATATTAGCTCAGCATACTAGACCAGCCTTTTACTGGCTTCAGACCAGTGGTTCAAGTCCCAAACTGCATTTTGCAACATGTGTGAAGTTCAAATGTTGTCAAAATCCTGAAAATACCTCTCTCAGAAGCATTTTCTGCAGTCGACCAGGTAATTAACCAGGTCAGAAGCAAACAGGGGGGATATATGTTACAGTTGGAATTGAAATCTGCATCAGAAAAGTGTGCTACATGTGGTGTATTGCATCTTCTGGATTTTACTTGGAAATTTGTTCGATGTGTAACACAGGAGAGGGTGTGAGATTTTAGCATCTTGATGCTGTGGTTTGGGGAAGCATCTTGATGTGGTGGTTTGGGGAGATGGACTAATCACATCGAATATGGCACAGGATCAAAAGACGGATTACATCGATTATGGTACATGATCAAACTCCTGTGGCGCTTTGTGTATGACCCAAAACTTTCACGGTGTCTACTTAATAGGTGCAAAAGATTATCATTTTGAAACGTATTTCCTCATATGCACATGGGCATTGGTTCCCAGATCTCCAGACACCGCAATTTCATGTTTCTTTCTTTTCAGCTCTGGAAAGATTTTACTTGTCCTGGGTTTGAATCTCAGGTTGGCCACAACCTGTGAAGATCCGGGTAGAATAGGTCTTCAGCAACCCATGCTTGCTGAAAGAGGCGACTATGTTTGTCGCATGAGGTGATTACCTGATCAGGTGGTCAGGCTCGCTGACATGGTTGATGCATGGCATCGTATCCCGATTGTTTAGATCGATGCTCATGATGTCAATCACTGGATTGTCTTGTCCATACTTGATTATTTACAGACCGCCGTCATATAGCTGGAATATTGTCAAGTGTGGCATTAAACACAAACAAACAAATTTGCCCCAATTAATCCTCTTGACT